AACCTAGTGAGACTCTGCATGAAAATAAAAATTTAGAAGGTCAGGAGGTATAGTTCGGTGGTCAAGCACCCCCGGTTAAGTTGCCAATAACACACACACACACACACACAAAATCCTGGAAGGTCAGAGTGTTCTTTAACAAATTTCTGGAAAAAATCCTGTTTTTTCAGTGAGTTAATTTGGTAAAAGATGAGCAGAAGTCACTTTCTTCATGATTGGTGCTTATAAAGTTTGAAATATCTTCCAAACAACAAAATTTTATTTGTTTGTATTTGGGTTGCTGTCATAGCTTTTCACATATCTTATTGGTGAAATCTGCTGTACAGTGACTGACACGAAGGTCCCAACTGTTCCTTCCATTACCAAATGAATAGACTGGGCCCAAGAGGAATTTCTTGACTTAAAGTAGTTTAATAGAATTAATCCAGCCAGAATTCTGACTGCTCTTCTAGCAGTAACCTACAGTATTACAGCTGCTAGGAAGTAAAGCTAGATCAGGTATAAGCCACAGAATGCACAGATGCATGTTCTGTATGTTCTGTGGCTTAGATTGTGGTTAGTGATTCATCAAACTGTTTTAATTCTGGGAACTCATAAAACAGAAACACATCTAATAGTAAAGCTACATCATTCTTTATATTGCTTTTCTACATATAAACTGAAGGGTATTATCTCATTTACTGATAGAATCTTTTTAGTGGTAGTTAGAGAAAAGGGTGAGCATGGGGAGAAAGAGGTTCCTTAATACTCCCCATTTTACATTTGGATAAATTGAAAATTAGTTGCTTAACCTATTGGGGTAAAGCTAGATCTAGGATCTTATACTCTAATAGTTTATTAATGCATTTTTTTGTTGTTGTTTTCCCCCTAGTACTGGGATTGAACCCAAGGGTACTCTTCCTCTCAGCTATATTCCCAACCCTTTTTACTTTTTATTTTGAGACAAGGTCTCACAAAGTTCTTCAGGCCTGCCTTGAACTTGTAATTATCCTGCCTCATCCTCCTGAGTAGCTGGGATTCCAAATCTGTGCCACTGCAACCAGCTAATTATTCCCCCCCCTTTTTTTAAAATGAAATTAGACTATTTCAGAGTATGCTGACAATTACAAATACTTTAGAAACTTTATTCAGACTTAAGGTATTGGCTTTCTCTAATTTTTTTCTAGAAAGAATATTAGTTTAATGTTACCTCAACTATTTTCAAGAATGTGCAATCTTTTTTTTTTTTTTTTGCAGTACTAAGGACAAAACCCAGGGCCTCCAGCATGCTAGGCAAGTGCTCTGCCTCTGAACCAAACCTCCAGCCTATGATCTTAGGGGATGGGCTAGTTAGACTTCACTAGCTACATTGGAATCATCTGCAACTTGATCTATATTTTATTTAATTGATTTATTTATTTTTCACAGTGCTGGAGGTTGAACCTAGAGCCTTGCACATACTATGCAACTGCTTTACCACTGAGCTCTCCCAAGCCCCTGAATGTGCCACTTTAAATATAGTGGCAGAAATGAGTGGGTTCAAAATATAAATGCATATAACTGTCACTCTAAGTTCAGGAATAATCTTTCCACCATGTTTGCAAAAATAACACGTTCTCTTGGTCTGGATCTTTCAGCTGTTTTGTGTTCACACGTTAGTGCAATTTAAACAACTACTGCTTTGGATTTTTACCTGACAGGAGTTCTGTATAAAGGACTTGGAAAAATTCATTTTGGCTCAAAGAAAAACATTGGTTTAATTAATTATAACCAGTTGACCAAGTTAAGAAAGTAAAATATTTCTATTTTTCCCTCTAGCATCTAGAATAGAGAGGTGATGTAAACAATTTTATTCTTAGAATTAGGGAGAGCTGGGTACACTGGCACATGCCTGTAATCCCAGTGGCTTGGGAGGCTGAGGCAGGAAGATCACAAGTTCAAAGCCAGCCTCAGCAATTTAGCAGCTTAGCAATACCTTGTCTCAAAATAAATAATAAAATAAAAAGGGTTGGGGATTTGACTTGTTGGTCAAGTGCCCCGGGTTCAATCCCTGGTACAAGAAAGAGAGGGTGGGAAAGTAGGAGGAATGGGGGGCGGTGCAGTCTCCAGCCAAAAATTGGAGTGCTTCTCTTTAAGATGAAGTTTTTTTAGTTTAGTTTTTTGTTTTGTTTTTTCCCCTGACTCATCCTTAGAGGCTAAAGAGACATAGGCGGGGAGAGCTATTTTGAGTAGTTAGGACTAGTGTCTCAACCTTTTTAATCACTGCCAGCCAACCACCTGCTGCTTTGGTAGATTAAGTAGGAGATGACGGAGATAGTAAAAAAAAAAGAAACTGCTAAATAATTTTGTATGTATGTCATTCTTTACTCATTCTAAAGCTGAGTAAGAATGCTTAAAGATTTTATATCTGGTATTATTTAAATTATGTACAAAAGCATATAATAATATCAGGTATAATTTATTGAAGACTTAATTACTCTATGCCAAGCATTATACTAAGCACTTTATTTAGTAATGTCTTTTTTTTTTAAATTTTTTCAACAACTTGACTCTGACAAGGTTTTGTTTTTCTTTTTTTATTTTCTGGGGGTGCTGGGCATCAAACCCAGGACCTTGTGCAGGCTAGGCCAGCTTTCTACTATTGAACAACATCTCCAGCCCTTACCACCTGCCCATGCTGGTGATCAAACTAGGCTTCAACCCCAGGCCTAGTTCATGGTAGGCAAGCATTCTCCCACTGAGCTGCATTTTCAACCCTGACAAATCATTATGCTATCTTATGGCATTCTGATTTCTGGCTTCACAGCACACATTACAGCTGTATTGGGAAGGGAGGAAAAAAAAATCTCTAAATAATTAGTTCTTTCATGTCTGACTCACCTGCTAGACTGAAAACTCCATAAATGTAGGGACCATCTATATCTGTCTTATATTCCCAGCACCTAGACCATGCCTGGTACATGGTAGATGCATAGATAAAATGTGTTCAATAAACAAATGAAAGTGTGAATGACTGAATGCATGAATAGGTTTGGAGCCCTACTGAATAGGCTCTGATATCATCTGTACTTTATATACCCAGAAATAGAGACTGAGTCTTCAACTGAAGTCTGTCTGACTCCAGAACATGTGACCACTATATTTAAATGGCTACTGGGAAGCATAAAAATCATCATGGCTTTGGGAAAACATGAAATTTCAAAGTCATTCTGAATGTTGACTCTTTCTTCAAAAGTAATTTTCTTGTAAATTTGGATCAGGATTGGGGGAGGCTGTTATCTTTCTTCTCTCAGGTTGAAGAAGGATAGTTCCCCTAAGCCTCAACTCCTAAGCTATATCAGAATATTGATTAGTAAAACAGTTGACTGCCCAGAAAGCTCTTTCTGAGTTCTGTTGCCAAAAGTACTTTGAGCTCTTACTCACTTTAGGAGAGGGAACCAGAAACTTTTTGTACAGATTAGCTCCTTTAAAGAACAAAAGTCTCTTTGGGAATTTACTAATTCCCTCACCTCCCATGGTGCCCCTGTTCATTCCTGTGGCCTCGTGTTAGGACTTTGCTCCAGGGCAGTTTTCCAGCTCAAGAGAGATCCTCAAGCCCCTGCTGCCCCAACAGTGTTGCAGAGCTGTGCCTGATTAACTGGACAAAGTCAGACTTGCCTTTTACAGCACCCCTAGAGATAGACCCTCTGCTAAGAAATCCCAGCAATGTCTTAATTCTCTGGATATAAGCAGATCAGAGCACCATAGGCCCTAGGAGCTCTGTGCTTTTGCAGCTTTCTACCCTTAAAAGTGATGGTAAACATTTTATTCTGTTGAGTAATATAAGGTACTTTATAGCAATGCTTTATGTTCCCCACTCCCCTAAAAACTCGGAGGGTGAGGAAGAACTATCCTCTGAAATTTGAACATAAATTAAAGAAGGAAAATTGGTTCGAAGCATCCAGTAACTCATTAGCAACTACAGAATTATATGAAGACTAAGAAGACTTTAGCTAAGCATGTGAATAGCAGTAGCAGCAGCTACCTGTTGGTCACTTGGACTTTTCCCCTGCTAATGTATATCACTAAAGGGATTGGTTATGAGAACATTATTGTACCAAAAGAGAACTTATTCACCAATTTGGGAATCTAAAATGCTTAATGCAGGACCCACTGAGGCCAAGAAAAAGGAAGAGCACATTGAATACTTCATTGTCAGTGTCTAATTGGGTCTGCAGGCATGGTTCAGCCCCATCAAAGCCAGTCTTGAAAAAGAAAGCTCTGTTATCAGACAAACACTTTTTGTGGTTCTTAATTACTTTCTCATGGGTTTCTTATTTTCTAGGTCTTAGTTATTGTACTAAAATACAAGTGAAATCAGGCATTTAAGCAACAGATAGAGAAGGATAGCTGGGATCCCAGAAACTCATAAGTTAATTACTTCAATCTTTCATCAGGAACGTTTACCTATTGCTACCATGGTGTAACCTCTCTTTTTTTTGCATATCAAGAACCTCTACATGTTTTGAAGATAAAGTTAGCCATTGTGGAATGTGGTGACACACGTTTTCCTATAATCCCAGCAACTCAGGAGGATGAGACAGAAGGATTGCACATTCGAGGCCAGCCTTGGAAATTTAGCAAGGCCTTCAGCAACTTACTGAGAACCTTGTCTCAAAATGAAAAATGAAAAAGGTTGGGGATATAGCTCGGTGATAAAGTGACCCAGGGTTCAATCCCCATCCCTGGTATCCAAAAAAACAAAACAACAACAACAAAAAAAAAAACAGGTAGCCCTAGATTCTAAATTGATATAATCTAGGGAGAATGTTTTTGACAATCTCTTGGGTTCTCCTTTCTGACCTGTGGGTAGTGCTTTACCACAGATGATTGGGCAGCTCCATTGTGCCATTTAGGTGCTTACCAAAGGTGTAAATTTGTATGGTGCTAAGGAATAGAGAAACCTCAGTTTCCTCCATGATTTGGAATTTTAGAGGAAGCAAATTTTTTTTCCCTGAGGGTTTTTGTTTCTATCATTCCAGCGGCTTCATATACAGATAGCTCTGATGATGAGACATCCCCCAGGGACAAACAGCAAAAGAACTCTAAGGGAAGCAGTGACTTCTGTGTCAAGAACATCAAACAGGCAGAATTTGGACGAAGAGAAATTGAAATTGCTGAACAAGGTAAAGAAAGCAAGCACCTTCTCCACCTGCCTGTGTCTTTTGTCCATGTTAATCTCTTTGTTCATCCTGGGGCCTACTAGCTTTTGAAATTTCAGTGTGATAGTCAAGGATACTTAAAATGAAAAATTCCAAGTTCAGAAAACACTATGGGAAAGGAGACTCTAGGGGGTATAGAAGGGACTATTAGGACTGGCATATAGGGAGTCAGAACCCTACATTTGCCTCTGAAATCCCCTTATAAAAGAAAATTCTGGTTAATATCTTGATCCCTTGAGAAACCTGATTTAACAGAGAACCTGACCAGCAGAAGAATCTTAACCTTAGAGAATAAATTTTTTTCCCTTTTAAAAAATTCATTATTTTAAAATATACATGACAGTAGAGTGTATTTTGACATACTATACATATATGGAATATAACTTCCATTCTTGTGGTCGTACATGATGTGTAGTTATATTGATCATGTATTTATGTATGAACATAGGAAAGTTATGTCCAATTCATTCTATTGTCTTTCCTATTCTCATTCTCCCTTCCTTTTATTCTCCTTTGTCTAATCCAATGAACTTCTATTCTTTACCTTCCTTATTGTGTGTTAGCATCTGCATATCAGAGAGAACATTCTCCCTTTGGTTTTTTGGGGATTGGCTTATTTCATTTAGCATGATATTCTAGCGTACCATCCATTTATCAGCAAATACCATAATTTCATTTTTCTTTATGGCTAATATTCCATTGTGTATGTATATCACATTTCTTTATCCATTCATCTGTTGAAGGGCATCTAGGCTGGTTCCATAGCTTAGCTATTGTGAATTGAGCTACTATAAACATTGCCATGGCTGCATCACTGTAGTATGCTGATTTTAAGTCCTTTGGGTATACACTGAGAAGTGGGATAACTGGGTCAAATGGTGGTTCTATTCCAAGTTTTAGGAGAAATCTAAGAGAATAAGTTTTTCTGTTTATTCCTTTATCTTTTGTTCCCTCCTTCCTAATATTGCTGTTTGTATTGGACCTTTTCAGAAATGCCTGCACTGATGGCTTTGAGGAAGCGAGCTCAAGGAGAAAAGCCTTTGGCTGGAGCCAAAATTGTGGGTTGCACACACATCACTGCGCAGACTGCTGTGAGTCCTGTTCCTTCTCCTCTTAACAGCAATAGTTAATAATTGCCACCAGCCATTGAGTGCTTATAACATGCCAGCACCAAGTTAACAGCTGGACATGGAGTTCGATAATCCTCACAACATGATGTAAAACAGAGACTCCTCTTTTCATTTGTAAACAAGGAAACTAAAGCTCTGAGGGTTTAGTAATAACATCAGTGTATCAATATAAGCAAGCTTAGACTTTCTCTACTGTACTACATTGCTTCCTCTTACTATCCCTTCCACTGTCATCTCTACGGTGCAACTTTGTGTTAGCCTGGTTCCAGTTGCAGAAAGGAAAACATCTGATTCTGACTTATATGTAAAGAAATTTATTATGTTACATAGCTAAAAGTGCAGTGGGAGCCAGAGTGGTACACACTCATAATCCAGTGACTCTGGAGGCTAAAGAAGGAGGATCACGAGTTTGAGGCCAGTCTGGGTAACTTAATGAGGCCCTGAAAATAAAAAATGAAAAAGGCTGAGGATGTAGCTCAGTGGTAGAGCACCCTTTGGCTTCATCAGGGAGGAGAGTCCAGTGGGAAGAGTGACTTCAGATGCAAGATCTCACGGCTTCCACTGCATTTCTCCATAACTCACTTAGGCTGCCTCCTCAGTGTGCTTGCTGATTGTAAGGTGGTTACAACTAGTCTAGTCAAAACAAGCTGACATGAAAAGGAAGAACCATTTCTTCCTTTCTCTCAAGAGCAAGGAAACCTTTCCCAGAAGTTCTTGAGGATTCTCCATTGGGTCTCACTGAGCAGAACTGATCACATGCCCATGCTCCTCCATTCCTGGGAAGGGGACTAGAATCACAGTGGGCTTAGAACAGTGATTCCTGCCCTTGACAGATTTAATGACTCCTTTTTATCTATAAATATTTTAGTGTCCCTAAATTGTCTCAAAATGAAATTCAGATATAGCATATTTAGGTACACACAATTTTTTTTTAAAAGAGAGAGTGAGAGAGAGAGAGAGAGAGAGAGAGAGAGAACTTTTTAATATTTATTTTTTAGTTTTTGGCGGACACAACATCTTTCTTTGTATGTGGTGCTGAGGATCGAACCCAGGCCACACGCATGCCAGGTGAGCGCGCTACCACTTGAGCCACATCCCCAGCCCACACACAAAAATTTTAAATTAAAAAAAATATATATTAACTTAAGGCAGTCACAGTGGTACACACCTGTGATCTAGCAAATTGGTGAGATCTTGTGTCAAAAAAAAAAAAAAGAGAAATAAGTAAATAAATAAGATAAAATGTTGAAAAGAGGCAGGGGAGCTAGAGATAAAGTCCCCATTTTAAAGTATCCCAGGTTCAATCCCCAGTCCTGGAAAAAAAAGATCTTATATACAAAAGAAGAATAAGAGGAAAGTAATTTATAATTTTTAAAAATTTCAGTATGTGATTCTTGGGCACTGTGGAAGAATATGTGTGTTATTGATTCCAGAGCATCAGGGCAGCATTACCAAATTATATGATTTTCTGAAATAGAAAACAACTCTGTAAATTTCTGAGCAACAACCACAATGAAACGTATGAGTTTTCTCTTGATTTACATAATTGTTGCCTTCCTGAAAAAATTATTCTTATTTTGTATTAAAACTATAAAAATATTCTTAATGTATAACATGAAATTGGGTTCTAACTCTGAGAATTATAAATGGCTTTTTCACCTGTGAACTTTCAGTGGGACATTTGAAAATTATACCAGACTGGCACAGATTTTTTGTTATAAGTGGCTGTCCTGCACTTTCATCATGTCCAGATCCCTGGCCCTTCCCAATAAATGCTGGTAGCACTCCCCTGCCAATCATTGTGACAACCAAAAATGCTCCTTTAGTGTTCTAAATCTTCTCTTTGAGTCATCCTCAAAGATGTAATAGCACTACAAATAAACAAATAAGTAAAAATAAAGATGTGATACAACCATATTGAGACCACTAGAGGGAAATAGGTAGATTGAGAAAATAGTCTATTATGGAATTTATAAGGTCTGAGTCATCTGTATAGCTCAAAAAATATGCAAAAGTCCAGATTGACTTTCAAAAGATTGTCTCTCCCGAAGCACACTCTTATGTGGTCACATTCCTGATTAAGGACAGTAGAGATTCCTCAAGACAGATGATTTCTGTTTTCACTCTGAGACTTTTCTGGGTTCTATATTCTCTGAGGAATAGAGTGCCTTGACTGACCAAAATTAATATAATAAATTGAAAGCTAACTCTTTTTGAAGTTATAGTCTAATGAATTGAGGCAGAAATGCTCTTGAAACCTTTTTTGGGCCTCCTCAGTCAGGGACATGAGACATGGTGACTTAAAATAGTAAGTATTTCTCTACTGTCTCATGTTGCTAAGTTATATCTAGTTTGTTGTTTATCTCCACGCTCGCTGAACATTACCAGCCTTCAGGGTTCCCTCTCTATTTTTCCTTAGTATTAATCACTGTTTATCAATTTTAATATTATTTTATCATTACTTCCTTATATTTTTCTTTTTCCTTAAAATAGTTACAAGAGTATTTTTTTCCTTTTGCTTTAGATCTCTATTTTATATTCCTGATTACATATTCATGTCCATTTAAGAATCTTCAAACATTACCATAAGATTATAATGCAGAAAGACAAAGTCTCAGTAACAAATAACCCAATAACAAATAACCCAATCAGTAAATGGCAAAGGAACTGAACAGGCACTTCACAGAAGAAAAATGAATGGTCAAAAATAAATGAAAAAATTTTCAACATATCTAGCAATTAGAGAAATTCAAATTAAAACTATACTGAGATTATATCTCACTCCAGTCAGAATGGCAGTTATTAAGAATACAGGTAATAATAAATGTTGCTGATGGGCTGGGGTCGTGGCTCAGTGGTAGTACTGAGCACTGCATATAAAAAAATAAATAAAATAGAGGTCCATCAACAACTAAAAAAAAATTTTTTTAAATGTTGCTGAGGATGTGGGAAAAAAGGTTCATTCATACATTGCTGGGGGGACTGCAAATTGGTGCAACCTCTCTGGAAAGCAATATGGGAACTCCTTAGAAAACTTCGGATGAACCACCATTATCCCACTCATAGGACTTAAAATCAGCATATTACAGTGACACAGCCACATCAGTGTTTATAGCAGCTCAATACACAGTAGGCAAGCTATAGAACCAACTTAGGTACACTTCAACAGATGGATAAAGAAAATGCAGTACATACATACATACACAGTGGAATATTAGCCATAAAGAATGAAATTATGACATTTGCTGATAAATGGATGGTACTCTAGAATATTATGCTAAGTGAAATAAGACAGTCCCAAAAACCTAAGGTCAGATGTTCTCTCTGATATTTGGATGCCAACCCATAATAAGGGAGGATAGGGAGAGGAAGTATAGAAACTTATTGGATTAGACAAAGGGGAATGAAGGAAGGGAATAGGAAAGATAGTAGAATGAATCAGACATAACTTTACTCCTATATGAATACATGACCAGTATAACTCCACAGCATGTTCAACCACAAGAATGGAATCAAAATTGTAATGGGTTGTACCCCGTGTATGTATAATATGTCAAAATACACCCTACTATCATGTATATCTAAAAACAACAAATAAAAAGATTTTTTTTAAAAAAAAAAACTGTGCATTCACAAAAGAAAGAAAAAGTCTCATAAACCAGTCTCCACAAATAACTACCATGGTTAATGGTTTCCTGTCCATATTTCTAATAGACACAGATCTATTTATATATTTTAGGTGTTTTCCCACAGTTCTTCTAACCCTAATTCCATTGCTTTTCCTTCTAAATAATAATGATTTGAAGTCATGTTAAACAGTTTCTAAGCTCTATCCTCCTCCTCTGCTTCCTCACCTGCCTTTACTCCTGTTTGATCCCAAATAGCCAACTGTCTTGACTCACAATTCTTTCTTTTTTTTAGTATTGGAGCTTGAATCCAGGGTTGCTCTACCACTGAGCTACAGCATCCCCCACCACCAACAACTATCTTGTTTGTGTGTTTGTTTTGTGACAGGGTCTCACTGAGATGCTAAGGCAAGCCTCAGACTTGTAATACTCCTGCCTTAGCCTCCAGAGTCACTAGCATTACAGGCATATGCCACTGTCCCTGGCTCTAATAATTTTTAAAAATTCAAAATAAATACAGATATACAGAAAAATTGGAAGTTCAGCACAGACAACTTTATTTTCTGAACCATTGAAGAGTAAGTTGCTAACCTAATACTCCCTTCACCTTTGTCTTAGTTATCTTGGGCTGCTATAATAAAATACTTTAGACTGAGTAGTTTATAAACAACATAAACTTGCTATTTATAATAATTTATAAACAAAAGAAATGTATTATGTACAATTCTAGAGGCTGGGCAAGGACAAGCAGATTCAGTGTCTGTTGAGGCTTATTCCTCATAGGTGGCACACCTCTTAATACTGCTACCTTGGGGGTTAGATTTCAACATAAGACACTGGGGTACACATACATTCAGACCACAGCAATACCCAAATATTTAGTGTATAGTTTCCATGAACAAGGACATTCTTTTTATACAATCAGTACATTCATCAAAATTAGGAAATTAACATTGATTATTACCACTTACTCCTCAGATCCAATGCGAGTTTCACTTGTTGTTTCAGTAGTACTTTGTTTTTTAGATATTTTTCTTAGATGTTGATGGACCTTTATTTTATTTATTTATTTGTGTGTGGTGCTGAGAATCGAACCCAGGACCTCACACATACTAGGCAAGTGCTCTTACCACTGAGCCACAACTCCAGCCTCTCGGTAGGACTTTTCATAACAAAATAATCCAGTCCATACCTGTGTCACACTTGATTGTCATGTTTCTCTTTGGTCTCCTTTATTTTCTTTTATTTTTTTAATTGCTTTTATTTTTTAAATACATGATAGTGGAATGCATCACAATGCTTATTACACATATAGAATACAATTTTTCATATCTCTGTATATAAAGTATGTTCACACCAATTCATGTCTTCATACATGTACTTTGGATATCTTTAATCTCCTCTAGTCCAGAACAGTTACTCATTCTTTCTTAGCTTTTCATGAGCTTGATACTCCTGAAGATTACAGAGGAATTATTTTGTAATGTCCTCAGTTTATGTTTTTCTGCTGCTTCCTCATTATTTGATTGAGATTATGCATCTATAATAGGACTATCACAGAAATGATGCTGCATTTTCCCCACTGAATCCAATTAGGTGGTTATAATTTCATTTTGTTCCATATTGTTGATGTTGTTTGATCCCGTAAGATGAAATCTCCCTGCTTTTCCTTCATAAAAGTTATTTTTTTCTCTTTGTAATTAATGCATTTTTGTAACTATCCTATTCTTCATTAGACTTTGCATTTATTTTTTTTAGTTATACATGGACACAATACCTTTATTTTATTTTTATGTGGTACTGAGGATCGAATCCAGTGTCTCATATGTGCCAGGCAAGCGCTCTTCCACTGAGCTACAGCCCCAGCCCTCATTTATTTTTATTTGTATAAAATTTTTGTTTTTTATTTTATGTAGTGGGTGATAGGCCTTACTATCATTATTTTGATGTTTATGTTGTCCCCAGGCCAGGAGGAGCCCTTTGGTATGGCTTTCATGGCTTGTATTTTGATGTCTTTGAACGTTTTCTTGATTGCAGTAGAAGATATTCTAAGCTCTGCTGTAGCCTTGGAATCAGTTATATTTCCAAGGACCCCTGGCTCTTTTAAGAAGATCTGGGCATTAATATAATCTTTGCTATTGGAATGTCATTGTTTCTGGATCCTCTTTTATTAATTTTGGAAAATAACTGCTTATTAACTCTTTTTTTTTTTAACAGCAAAGGATTGAATCTGGGGGTGCTCTATTGCTGAGCTAGAGCCCTTTTTATTTATTTATTTTTTTATGCATATCTATTGGTACTGAGATTGATCCCACTGGGTGCTTTGCCACTGAGCTAATTCCCAGTACTTGCTTTTTTTTTTTTTTTTTTTTTGAGACAGTCTTGCTAAGTTGCCCAGCGCTGGCTTTGAACTTGCAACCCCCTTGCCTCAGCCTCCTGAGTCACTGGGATTATAGACCACCATGCCCAGGTATCCCTTCTATTTTTGAGAAGAGTCACACAGTGTTGTTGACTCTGGCTTGAACTTGTGATCCTCCTACTTCAGGCACCACTCCTAGCTTCTGGCTGTAATTCTTGACACTGGGCTTACTTTTGTCACTTTTTTGTGTTCCTTAAAATTTTTTGAGTGACAGCATATTAGTTTTTGTTACAGCTATGAATTGAACTAGATTTAGCTTTTGTTGTTGTGCATCAAAGGCTTCAAATTCCTTTAGCAGTGGGATACTGTTACCTTGTGATTTGATTTTACTTCCAGAGGGCTTTTCTAGTGTTTCTGCCATCATCCTCAGCATTCAACTGCTTCAGTATATATATTCTACAGGGAACTCTGTCTTCAAGTGCCTGCCCCCACTATAGCACAAGTGGTTGCTCTTTGTTTCCCAGGGTCAGCCTCCTGGTGAGGGCTGGAGGAGTCCAGTCAGTGTTAGGCAGGCAGCGTTCTTGCCTCTCCTTTATGTAGCAGCCAGATTTTGCCTTGTACCTGTGGGAGTCTCAGGCAAAAGATGTTTTTTGCCCTTCCTGGAGAGGTAGCAGATCCGTGAACTGTCCTGTGCTCAAGAGGGTTCCCTGCTACTCTCCCAGAAGCAGAGAGTTTTTGTTTCTGCCCTCCCTCAGGAGCACTGAATCTTTACATGGTACCTGAAGACAGTCATGAATCCTATTCTTCCTACAGTGAGAAAAATATAGAAATATGTCCAGGTTCCATGCCTGCCTCTGGGCCCAGCCATCAGCTCTCTGCATGTGAAACTCCTCATGTCTAACTGGGGCTCCAGAAATCCATATGACAAACTTTCCAATGCTTAGCCTTTTATTTTTCTTGTTGTTGTTTTGTACTAGGTCTTGAACCCAGGGGCACTTAACCACTGAGCTACATCCCCAGCCCTTTTTTGTGTTTAATTCAGAGACAGGGTCTCACTGAGTTGCTTAGGGCCTTGCTAAGTTGCTGAGACTGGCTTTGAACTCTCGATCCTCCTGCCTCGGCCTCCCAAGACTCCAGGATTACAGGCATGTGCCACCATGCCTAGCCAATGCTTAGCCTTTAATTAAAATTTTAGTTAATTTTTCTTATCTCAAGTATTGCAGCTATTTCTTATCTCAGTACCACCTATTCCTCCCATATTTTGCCAAAGGCAAAACAATCTTTCCTCCTACTTTAAAAAGATTTATCAGTGGCTGGGGTTGTGGCTTAGCAGAAGAGCACTCTCCTAGCACATGCAAGGCACTGGGTTCAATCCTCAGCACCACATAAAAATAAATAAAACAAAGTTATTGTGTCCAACTACAATTAAAAAAATAAAGACTTATCACTCTTGGGAGTTCAGTTTACTTGGTCATTTTACGACCTTGGCTCTTTGATGGGCTGAAGCTTAACTTTATAGATTACCAGATTTTTCTTGTTGTTAGGGTGGTGGAAGTTTTTCTTGTTTTTTCTGCATCCTAAGCAGAAGCAGAACTGTAAGTGTATGTTTTGTTAAAAAAAAAAAAAGGGAGGGGGTTTCTGAAGTCCTTAGTTTTATGAAATATTAGGCAGATTCAGTATACAAATAGGGTGAAGCATAGAATTCAGCTGGAGCCTCTTGCCTTGCCCTGTGTTCAGAAAACTGAAGAGGTTCTGTTGATCCTCCTTCCTTCCTTCCTTCTTGCCTTTCTTCTTGACAGTGCTGGAAGTCAAACCGAGAACCTCACATATGGTAGGCAAGTGATCTACCACTGAGCCATGTCCCCGGCTCCTGGAGAGGTTCTATAGAGCATGGTTTGAAAATTATTGGTCTGTTATTCCTGATGTACTTTCTCATTGTCAAATATATAAACTTGGGCTGGGTTGTAATTCAGTGATAGAGCACTTGCCTAGCATGTGTGAGGCACTGAGTTCAATTCTCAGTACCACCTAAAAAATAAATAAAGCCAGACGTGATGACATACATCTGTAATCCCAGAGGCTCGGGAGGCTGAAGCAGGAGGATCTTGAGTGAGGTGCTAAGCAACCCAGTGAAACCCTCTCTCTAAATAAAATACAAAATAAGGCTGGGGATGTGGCTCAGTGGTCTAGTACCCCTGAATTCAATCCCTGGTATCAAAAATAAATAAGTAAATAAATAAATAAGTAAAGATATTGTGTTCATCTACAACTATATATATATACACACACACACATATACACATACACATAATTATTAAAAAATATATGTTAGTATAAGCTTGTTCATCTCCTGTCTTCTCTTTAACACAGGTACTTATGGAAACTCTGGGTGCTCTGGGGGCACAGTGCCGATGGGCTGCCTGTAACATCTATTCCACTCTCAATGAAGTGGCTGCTGCTCTAGCAGAAAGTGGTAAGTTCTTTTGCTTGTTTTCTAATGTCTTTGGCTAAAGGAAGTCTCCCAGAAGTGCCATTGTCTGTATATAAATGTTTTAGAAAGATTGACAGTAAAGCATTTGCCTGGTAAGAAATGGATCCCTGTTCTTGATAAGTTTGCTCTTTTTCTAGGTTTCTCTTGTCAAATACAATCTAGTTAACTTTGTTCTTTTGTAGTTGGCATATATGTACCTATATGTAATTTTCTGTTATTCATGCTCCACTTTGACAAATAGAACACTGGTGAATGTTACTGGCTGTCTTAAGATAATGTGGATTAGAGAAAAGAATGCTTCAGCCACAGTTTTGTGGCCTTGCAGGTTTTGCAATCAATAGTTTCCTCTGGTTTGATGTTTGGTGTTTCTGCTTCAGCAGTAAAGAGGACTTGACCTGGCAAATTAATTTTGATCATAACATCTACTGACACTTGAAGGACAAAAGAAATAGGGAAGTATGGACCTTGTCAGCTTCCTGCCTTCACTTTCTGATGCAAGGCACAGATCAGGGAACCAACCAAGCAATATGTCAGAGCCCCTGGAAAAGCCTTACACAGCATGCATGTCTCTCCTTTTGCTAGTACTTTTGGCATTTCATTTGTGGTTTTTTGTTGTTGTTTATATTCATTTATTTATAAAATTTTATTGATGTACATATGATAGAAAAGTACACAAATATTAAATGAATAGCCCAATGAGTTGTACATATGTATCATTGTTTTTCTTTCCCAACAAATGTTTATTATTTTAAGAGATAAAAAAACAGGGATAGGAAGGGCAGCAGAATAGACAATATGATTGATGTATGTACATTCCATGTATGTATTATATGTCAAAATACATTCTGCTGTCATGTATGACTAAAAAAATAAAAATAAATAAAATTTTAAAAAAGAGATCAAAAAACAAATGAGGCCCTGTGCAGTACAACATGCCTGAAATCCCAGGGACTCAGGAGGCTGAAGCAGAAGAATTCAAGTTCAAGGCTAGCCTCAGCAATTTTGTGAGAAGACACCGTCTAAAAATTTAAAAAATTAAAAGGGCTTGAGATGTAGCTCAGTGGTAGAGGCCCTTCAGGTTCGATTCCCCCGCCCCCAAAAAAAGACAAATGAGACAATATCTTTGCCCTTAGAATCTTACACTGTACTAGAAGAGAGAGAATACATTTGCATAAATAATGATAATACAAGGACATATGTAGTAAATATGACAATTGAGCATGAATTCATATTCAGTACACATACAGTAGATTTAGAAAAGTTTGGATTCCTTGAGCACCTGCTTCCAACTGGGTTAATTAGTCTTCATTAGGAACATGACACTTAACTGGGCTATGACATGAAGCAAACATTTTAGCAGATGGAGGAAAGCATGAGAGTTTTCCTGATGAAGAGGGTGGGATGACTAAAGTATAGAAGCAACAAAGATCGAAGTGCAGTTGGGAAATGGTAAGAGTGCCAGTTTGACTGAATCAAGAAGTATTTATTTCTGGTTTCTTCTTTTTTCCCTTTAGTCATATTTTTAGAAACCACCATACTCCTGTCTTTATGCTTATCCTCTTTGGGCTAACAAGAACAAAATAACCATCAAAGATAAAAGAATGGGTAAAAGGGCTGAAGGCAATACTAATCATTGAAGAAAGTCAGTCCAAGGAACATAACAAGATTGAGAGTGTTTAGAATTGGGGAAAATCAGTGACTTCTTGCCAAAAATTGGGAGTCAGCTCTTTTTACAACCTTTACTGGTTTCTCTTTATTTCTTTTTCATAGGATTTCCTGTCTTTGCCTGGAAAGGAGAGTCAGAAGATGACTTTTGGTGGTGCATTGACAGATGTGTGAATGTGGAGGGCTGGCAGCCAAACATGGTGGGTCAGATTTCTGCTAACCCACTTCTGTGTGTGTTTGATAGGATGATGGTAGGGAGGGCTCTATGACCTGGGAGAGGATTTCCCAACAAGAAGGAAGGAAAATGGCTCTATTTCTATCTGCGATACCTGGGTTCCCAAGAGAATTGAACCTCTTAAAACTTCAGAGACTAGGGGTTGGAGTTGTGGTTCAGCAGTAGAGCGCTTGCCTAGCATGTGCAAGGCCCTGGGTTCAATCCTCAGCACCACCTAAAAATAAAATAAAAGTATTGTGTCCAACTACAACTAAAACAAAATATTTAAATCAAGCAACTTCAGAGACTTAATTGTTGGTACTGATCATTTGGAAGCATTCATTTTTCTCAGTAATATTAAAATTCTGCCCAAGAGCATTGGCTGGTTTAAAAGCAAGGGTAATGCATTTCCATCTCCTGCCACTGCCTACCACTACCCCCACCCCACACCACCAGTAGCAACCACCAAAAACACTAAATAAATGAAAACCCCCAGCCCCTGATGTACTGAGCTTTTTAAAAGAATTAATGTACTGAATTTATAGCATACCCAAAGATCTTCCAAGTTCAAATTTCTTCTCTTTATTCATTTCCTGCCTAAAAAAGATGACCAGGCAAAGTTTGGGATTTTTTTTAAATTTTTTCTTCATTTTTATTTCTGTTTCATTTTTGTAAAAGAACAAATCTTGAAGGCTGATATAGCACATTAGATTCACATACTGGCAAAAAGCTACACTGAGTATGAGGCACCCCAGCTTTGCAAACATTTCTGCATATTAGTGAGAGGAGAAATTAGAGAATCCACTGAAAAAAGAAACCATTGCTTATTGCTAAAGACCACGGAGCAGGCTTCACCTGGTACAGGACAGAGAAACAGTCTTTTCTGAATTCTGTAGTCCAAGTCACATGGCATCAGGTGCTGGTTTGATGAAGCTGGGTTAAAGTTTTTGTATCCCAGAGGGATATAATACAGTGGCTCTAAGATGAGTCACCTCGTTTTAGCAATTTTAACAGTGACAGAAGAGAGTAATGACTGACAGACACTAGAGAAGATATGCCAAGGGGTTTCTCTTGGGAATAAAACTCTAATTTTATAGTCATAAACACAGGGAGGATATGGTATTTAACCCAGAGAGCTTTTATGAAATGTGGAGCCAGCACAAATAGCTGGAAAGTTAATAAAGTCAATTATACAAGGACAAAAATAGTTGTCACCCCAGAAAAATTAGGACCCTGTGCTTCTTTGGATCTTGTCAAGATCTAATGCTTTTCCTTGCTTTCCAACCTTAGGAAGATTCCCAGATGAACAGAATTTCTATAATAGAATTACATGAGGAAAATTATGAGCTACATTCGTTATATAAATGTTAGGGATAGCCTATATCATATACCTTTGTTAAAAGGGAAAAGTAGATGAGAATGGAGGGACTGACCAGAGAGTTTACAATTATTCAGTCCTTTTTGTCTCTGATCTTTTTTGTGGGATTAGAGACTAAACAGAAAATCTCATGGGATTCCATCAGGCAAAAATGGAGAGAGAAACTCAGAAAATCCTTTGGGTTTTTTAGAGCATCAGTTCTGAGGATTTCTGTTTGAAGTATGGAATGAGGATAAGAGTTCTAATGTGAGCCCTATCTCAGTCTCTCCTCTCAAGCAAGATTGAGTAAGTCAGAGAAAATAGATTGGAAGTAAAAAAGACCAGATGGTAGACATGAAGTTGGGGAGTTTGTGTACTTCGGGGTTCAGGATGACATTTTAGTACTTGTGGTAGGGTTGATATGATGGAACTGTAAAATGGGCACGTGCCAGCTCTGGGGATTTTCTAGACAGATAGGCATAACAATTTAGAAAGTTCTGCCAAGCACACTTCTGACAGCCCAGTGAAGGGCTCAAGTGCCGTAGCCTAGTGCCTGATAGTATTCTAAGCTGATCTTTCTTCAGTTTATTTATAATTCAGTAGCTTTCCTCTGCTGATGAAAGCTCCAGTGGGCACAGCATTGTGTTTATCTTTAATCCCAACCTGAAATAGTGATGAGCTGCTCAGAGGCATGCTTGCACACCTACATGCTGCACGGCTTCCTAGTTATTTTTAATTTGGTTTATACAGAGTGTGAGGTTGTGCTAGGCAAAACCCAACAATGCTGCCTGATACATTGGGTGGGAGAGTGCCTCTACTTTGGGAGAAGTAAAGTATTAACAAATGCAGTTTTATAAACCATTGTTCTGAGATGGAGACTAATTATTCATCCTTTAATTTAAGCTAAGCTTTGATTGAATATATTTAGAGTCCCGAATTTAACCTATAGAAATTAGCTACATGAAGTTTAGGCTTTGTGAATATCTTTGTACATTCATGAGCTAATTAGAAAACCACTTAAGATGTCAACCCATAAAAAGAAAGATCCTCATCATATTGCAGGGTATTGTAATATAGTAGATGTGTTATGTGGGAGGGTCATTTGGCTATGAGAATTACAATTGGCCTTTTACCCCCTTGTTGTCTTTTACTTGAGTATCATTACTGGTAGATTATTACATTAGCTCTGGCTTTAAGTTACTTTGTATGACCATATGAGAAATTTAAATGTCCTTAAATAGGTAACTAGAAATTGAGACACAAGACCCAGAGAACCCTTGAGTCTTCAGCAAAATGAATAACATTACTGATGCTTACTGTTGCAGATCTTGGATGATGGAGGGGATCTTACTCACTGGATTTATAAAAAGTACCCCAATATGTTTAAGAAAATCAAGGGCATAGTCGAGGAGAGTGTTACTGGAGTCCATAGGTAAGATTCAACATGAGCAAAGTGGCTTCATACAGCCTAGATATATAATTTTGTAATCACGTACTTGTAGAACATATTATGTTAAAAATTGGATCCTGCTATGAGATCTGAGATTGCACACTTTTTTTGAAAATAACAAATAACAAAATAGTGAAAGGAAAACAAATGAGGTTCTCATGTTTTCTAGTTCATGTGATGCAGTGAGTGCTTGTTCTTTTTTGGACAAATCCATTTACTCAACAAATGTTTTTTGAACTTCTACAGTGAATTGCTCTAGGTTCTAGGGATCTAATAGTGGACGAAACAGACAAAAACTGTACCCTCACAGAGTTTACTTGCTTATGTAAAGAGCAAGGACTTAGAGTTCTGTTCCCAAATGAACATAATTCCCTTAATAAAATTTGAAATCATTTCTGTTTGCAATTATTCACCCACAAAGACCTTATGAAATAAAATTTGTAGGAAGAAAATTCTGAATAAGCCACCATGACTACTTCAGTGTATCATGAACTTTTTGAATATACAAAATCATAAGTTATAACATAAACTTTAGACCCTTAGAAGGTATGAATTTTGAATAAAACAAATAGATCTAATTTTAATGACTAATTTAATATAAAACTCATAGATATGCATATTTATAGGTATGTATATGGACATTATAAATTTGAGGCTATTTGAAAATTAAAATTATTGCCTTAGAATAGTGAGATTATGCATGATTTTTAAGATTGTACTTAAAGTTACTCCTTTTATAATTAAAAAGGAAAATCATGGCTGGGGATTTTGTTCAGTGGTAGAGCACTTGCCTGGCATGTGCAAGGCCCTGGATTCAATCCCCAGCACCACAAAAAAAGCTGGGGTGGGGGGGAGTAAAGTAAAATTAGTATGAAACTTAAAATTTTTACATTTAAGGCCTTAAAGTTAGGTCAAGGATTTTCTTCACATGACTTTTGGATAAGGTCTTTATTCCTAAGCAGTATGTAGCCTCTAAAACACATTCTTCATTTCTCAGTATCCACCTAACAGGATGGAACTTGTCATGTCTCATGCCCTCAAGCCCACCTCCTCAATACATTTTTAGGATTTGATATGAAACCAACAGAAGATTGTAACATCTCATTGTTTTATATTCTTCTTGACTTTTCTGATCCCCAGGCTGTACCAACTGTCCAAAGCTGGGAAGCTCTGTGTCCCAGCCATGAATGTCAATGACTCAGTCACCAAACAGAAATTTGACAACCTGTACTGTTGCCGTGAATCAATTCTTGATGGGTAATGTTTATTATCTTTGAGATGAGCTTGAGTTACTTTCTTTTTGGTTTTGGTTATTTCTAGAAATGATTCATATGGCCCCTCTGGATCTGTCACCACTTCACACCCAATATTTTATAACCCAGAACTACATTGGTATCACTATTATAAGAAAATCCATTTTACTTAAGCAATGGGACTACTCGTATCTATTAATAGGCAGAATTCTTACTTTGTGACCCTATCAGACCTGTGAGTCATTAACTAAATTCAGTATAAACAAGCAAATATTTTTAATAATTTAGAAAACAGTTCGTAGTCATCCTATTCTAGGTCCTGTCTCATGCTGTATCATAAAATTCTTAAATTCTAACTGTCATGTAATTTTGTGGCCATTTGGAAACCTGTGGTGAAGAAACAATTTCCAGAGGAATTTCTAGCTTTTTCAGATCTGTAGGTACTGCAAGTCTGACAAAATCCACTCATTTCATACCAAATCCTGTGTTCTTCTAATACTCAGTTTGTTTCTATACTTGTGTTCTAACATTCATTCATTGTTGCTAGGAATATCCCACTTGTCAGTCAGCTTTCTGTTACTGTAACAAATACTTGAGACAATCAACTTATAAAGAGAAAGAATTTATTTTGGTTTGTAGCTTTAGAGGTTTCAGTCCTTAGTCAGTTGACTCTGTTTCTTTTGAGCCTGTGGCAAAGCAGCACGTCATGGCAGGGGAAGTGTGGTGAAGCAAAGCTGTTCACCCTACAGCCAGGACATGGGAAGAGAAGAAGAGGAAAGGGTTGGGGTCCCTCTTTCCCTTTCAAGGACATGCCAGTAACTGGAAGACCTTCCACTAGTCCCCACTTCATAGTTTCCATTACCTCCCAATAGCACCAATCTGAGGACCAAGCCTTTAACAGCTGGGCTTTGGGGTATATTCCAGATCCAAACTATAGTACACCATAATTTCCTAAGTGAAACCATTAAAATGGTTTAGAATATTGCCAAGTCAGATGGTTCCCATCATGTGTATGTTAATGGAAAAGTGAAGAAAGGCTCTATGGAACATATTACTAACCTGCTGGAATCTCGGGGCATTGGAGCTAGAATGAACTCTGTTATCTATTTATTTAGCAATACTGGAGATTGAACCCAAGTTCACTCTACCATTGAGCTCTTCCCCATCCTATTTTATTTTATTTTGAGACAGGGGTCTCACTAAGTTGCTGAGATTGACCTTGAACTTATGATCCTCCTGCCTCAGCCTCCCGAGTAGCTGGAATTATAAGCATGTATCACTGTGATGGCTCTGTTGTTTACTTATTAACTGTAAATAAAAAATAGACTGGTTATTTAATTCTCCTATGTGTATTTCCTCATCTGTGAAATGGTGACAGTAAGACCTACCTCAAAGAGTTATTGTGAGGATTAAATGAGAAGATAAGTTTGCTCAGTGTTAATCTCCCTTGCCCTTCTTTCTAGGACTCTGTACAATAAGTTCTAGGGTTGAGTTAGACTTTAGGGGAAGCTTTTTGCTTTGAATTTTTTTATTTGGGGGCTATCCAATACAAATTCCATCTATTGTTAATTATTACTACTATAGGATCAACAGTATTAGCTGATAGATTGAACAGTTTAGTAGATTTTTAGTCTAGTCTGTTATAGTTCTGCACATAGTTCTATGTAGATAAAAGGGTTGCTGTTGTTGTGAATACTTGAGCCTGATCAAATCAATAGTAATCTGGGTATTTTCCTTAAACCATTTGCTTATCCACACAACTAGCTGTCTTTTTGACTTTTCAACTCCTAAATCTGTGAAACTAAAAGCAGCCTATACTAGGTTCAGTAAAAAATTCATAAAGATACCTGCACCAGTTCATAAAAATGGACAGAATCCTTCCCAATCAGGGTTTACCCTGAAGGTAAGAAATGTTCTTTAAAGTCAGAAATGTATGAAGTGAGAAAGCTAGAAGCAGTGGAACAGGAGTAAAGTTAGTTTCCACAGCAAAGAAACAAGAAAACGTCAACTATTCTCTAGAAACTCTCTGAGTGCTAAGAGCTTGTAGGAACCTGCCAATAGTGAAAAACTTTCCAACTGGGTCAAGAACAGTTGTTCCTCTCAGCATAGCTGAGAGCCAGAGAGATGAAAGGAGAGGCAAACTGTGCTCCAGGGAGGGGTGCATGGAAAGGGGAGAACACTCACTCCAGTAGAGTGTCTATATGAGAAAGGTGTTGGTGACTGACCTTCTGTGTTTCTGGGCTGGTTCCCCATGGCAACAAGGGAAGTCCTATAACTAGGATGTAGTGTAAATGCAGCAAGGGCAGCCTTCTGGAGACTGAGGTTTTCCCAGTGCTTCAAAGGTAGTGCTTCAGGTAGGATTTTCAGATCATGTAAGAGCTCCTCTAGAGACCTTAGGGCTAGAAGAATTAAGACAGAAATAGGAACTTGGCATGATTCTAATTCAGCACCAGACAGCTTACTGTACCCAGCCTTCCAAAATCCTTTGGGAGGGGGGGGCGGATTGTGACTCAGTGGCAGAGCACTTGCCTCAGCACCACATAAAAATAAATGAATTAAATATAGGTATTGTGTCCATCTACAACTTAAAAAATATTTTTTAAAGAAATCCTTTCTTGGAGGTGCTGGGGCTGTAGCTCAGTGGCAGAGCACTTCCCTAGCTCGTGTAAGGCACTGGGTTTGATCCTTAGTACTGCATAAAAATAAATAAAAACAAAGGTAGTATTCCATCTGCAACTAAAAAGAAAATTTTTTAAAAAATCCTTTCTTGGCTGAGGTCTTTTCTGTTCTTTATCATTGAACCTTATGACAGATATGGATTTTAAGATCCCAGAGAAATCATTACCTAACTGGAATCCATCCACAAAAGTGCCTAGCTGTTGTTTGCAGAGTAGTGGTTGATGATATTTCCTTTTCCCCACAGCCCCCTGTAGTCACAGTGAGAGAGTGTCTTCCTTGGGAAGAGAGGAGAAAAGGAGGGTGGAGGGTAGTCGAAGCAAAGGAGACCCAGAAATATGATCTTTTGATTCTCCTTGCTGTGCTAGCCATTCCAGAACCACTCCCCTAAGCCACGATTTCTAAGTATAGTAGAAGCCCTGCCAGACTTATCTCTTCACTCAACAAGAATTGCCTCTGCACTTATTGGTATTTGATGATCTCAACTGGGGTGTGTATACTTATTGGTAGAGTTGCCAAATCATTGAAAGAAGGATTACTACTTTGCCTTTGGAACATTTTATTGATTCTATTCAACAGAAGAGGTAAACAGGTAGATAAAAGAGTAAAATGACCTACAAATATTTGTAGAGATTGTCTATTGCAACACAGTCCATTTTTTAGTTGAAAACTTTCTTTTGCCTAGCACAGGATTCCCAGAGAAAGGAGTCTTATTGCATCCCAAGAGGAGCCAGAAATCACTCTGACAAATTCTTTTGAGAAACCCCAGAAACAGAATCAGCTTTGTAGAGAATTACAGACTTGAGATAGAACATGTCTGAGAAGGGATCAACTCCATAAAACTCACTGACTACTTCTGTGGTCGGTGTCAACTTGTGTCAAAGCTCTCCTTCACTCTGTTGCTAATTACTCTCCCTGTTGAATTAATGTAGGACCCACTGGCCATTCTGAAACCACTAACTGTATTACTCATGTACCATTGTTATATTATCTGAATCAATAAGCTGAAATAATGTTTTCATGAAACCAGAGCTCCTAAATTAAAATCACTTTAATTTCTTATTTATCTTTCCTCTTATTTAAACATATTATATATTCTAAATATTATATATTAAGTCTATATATATTGCTGTTAATGTTTAAAAGTTATTCTGTAACTGGGCACATACCCATAATCCCAGAGAGTTCCAAGACTGAAGCGGGAGAATTGCAAGTCTCAATAATTTAGTGAGACCCTGTCTCAAAATAAAAAATTAAAAGGACTGGGGATGTAGCTATGTGGTAGAGCACCCCTGGGCTCAATCCCCTATACTGGGGGAAAAAAATTACCACATAACTCTCATCTTCTCTTCCCCACCACTCCCAAGAAAAACATGAATAAAGGGGGGTGGTGTGAATCTCTCATATACGTAGAATTGGTTGGATGGCAAGGAGTGAGAAAATATGTTCTTTAGTCTTTTGGTTATTAGTTTCTGTAGGGTAGAAACCAAGCTTTTCATCAAAATGAAAAATAAACAACAAGAACTACACAAACAGCCGAGTGCAGTGGGGCATGCCTATAATCCCAGCAGCTCCGGAGGCTGAGGCAGGAGGATCACAAGTTCAAAGCCAGCCTCAACAAAAGTGAGGCACTAAGCAACTCAGTGAGACCCTGTCTCTAAGTAAAATACAAAAGTAGGTCTGAGGATGTGGCTCAGTGGTCAAGTGCCCCTGAATTCAATCCCTGGTACTCCCCACCACCACCACCAAAAAAAAAAAAAAAAAAGAAACCTGATTTAACCTCAGGAGATAATTATTTATTTATTTGTTTGTTTGTTTTAACTTAAATGTTTTTCCCCCTAGACTTAAAAGGACAACAGACATGATGTTTGGTGGAAAGCAAGTGGTAGTCTGTGGCTACGGAGAGGTAAAGTTTAACTTATTATTGATGGGACTGAGGCTGTAGCTCAGTGTTATCACGCCTACCTTACACACATGAGGCATTGGGTTCGATCCTCAGCACCACATAAAAATAAATAAAGATATTATATCCATCTACAACTAAAAAATATTTTTTAAAAAATGTGTTTTGATGACATATTCTAGAACTATTTCCCATACTTATGGACGTAAGAGTATGTTCATTTACCACTTTAGATGGAGAGAAAAAAAATTAGAGGCTTTCTGGTTGAAGTGCAGTCTTTCTTTTTTCCTTTGCGTTTTGCCATTTTTTCTTAGGTTGATTTTTCTGACTTGTTCCAGCACCAATGTTTGTGATGTTCCTTTAGCTTGTGTTTTGATTATAAATCGTGAGTGTGGGTGTTCTGTGCACATGAATGTGCTAAGCAAGGGCCCCCAGAGTTTGTTTATGAACTGCATTTGTTTTTCTTGTTTTAACTCAAGCATGAATCTATTCAACAAAATTCCGTTTGAGGGTGGGAAGGAAGGTACACTTTACCAGAAGCTTTGAGAAACTATTTCTCACCACCTGTTCTTTTATGTGTGCTCTCTCCCCACTTCAGGTTGGGAAGGGGTGCTGTGCTGCTCTGAAAGCCATGGGCTCCATTGTGTACGTTACTGAGATAGACCCCATCTGTGCCCTGCAGGCCTGGTAAGCATGCAAGGGAGACCTGTTTCCTCCTCCACACTAAAGTCTTATAGACCATTTTGGAGATACCTCCAAGAAATGGCCTGCGTAGTACCATCTCTCACCCTGTAGAAGTCCAGATCCTGAGAAAGGCTGCCAAATAGTAAGCTCAGACTTTCAAAGGTCAAGGAGCTACGGTCTGAGAAAAGTTAAGCTTTAGAATTTGAGCCAAAGACCCTTTATTTTCTGCATATGTAGTCTGTGACCCTTTGAAAACGAAATAGTGAGACCAAGGATAGAACATGTGCTTATTAAAATGTGCAAGGCCCAGAGTTCAATTCCCAACACATAGACACACAAACATACACACACCCAAGGGGTGGGAGTTGAGGAAGAAGAAGAAGAAGAAAAGGAGGGAAGGAGGAAAGAAATAGGCTGGTATCAGATGCTTTCTGATGTGATACACTAAAAAAGAACATTTCTATGACATTCTTTCCCAAAATGTATTATTTGAATCTAATTGTTTTAGTCAGCTGTTTTGCTTCTGTGACTAAAAGACTCTACCAGAACAACTGTAGAGAAGGAAAAGTTTATTTAAGGGCTCACGGTTTCAGAATCTTAGTCCATGGAAGGTCAGCTCTATTCCTCAGGGCTCTAGGTGAGGCAGAACATCATGCAGAAGAGTGTGGCAGAGGGAAGCAGCTCGCAAGATGATCAGGAAGCAGAGAGAGAGAGAGATTCCACTGGTCAGCTACAAATGTATACCCCCAAGCCAAGCCCCAATTCCCACCTCCTCCAGCCACACCTACCACTTCATTTACCACTTAGTTAATCCCTATCAGGGGATTAATTCACTGATTGGGTTAAGACTTATAATCCAATCATTTCTTCTCTGAACTTTCTTGCATTGTCTCACACATGAGCTTTTGAGGGACACTACATCCAAACCATAACACCAATCATGAGGAAACATCAGACATATCCAAATTAAGGGTAAAAATCTACTAACTCTGAATGAATGGTATATGGGAATTTATTTGCACTCTTCTTTTAATTATTAAGTTTCAAATTATACCCCACTCAGTCTTTACCACTAACTCTCTAGGGTAAGGTTTCAGGATGGTATAAAGCCATTTCCCTGTGTCCAGCCACTCCTCATACATCCTAACCCTAAACCCACAGGTTTCCCCAGCAGACTTGCTGACCCTCTGAGTTAAGGCTCTAACACATGAGGTGAATCATCATTCTTCAAATACTTTCAGTGTTCATTAGAGAAACCTGAATATGATACTGATTGCAGTACAGTTCGTATTAGCTTATAGATATGAACTGATACATAAATATTTATTTAGGTAGAAATATTTAGATTTTATCCTGAAGATAGTCAATCTCACTGAAGTATTTTAAGCAAGGAAGTGACAAGTTCCTATTGCATTTAGGGATGTCACTCTGCAAAATGATTTTGAGATGTAAGCCTAGAAGTAATGAGATTTTGGCTGAGGGTTACTGCAGTAATTAAGGAAATAAAAAGACATGAACTTAGGCAAGGCCAGCATGTGGGAGAAAAGGGAACATATAGATTCAAGAGATTTTTTTAAGGAATTGAGAAAATAGAATCAACCAAATTTGGGGACAGCTTCAGTTAGGGAGAGGCAATAGGCCAGGATGTTCTAGTTTCTTTGGTTAATTCAGTTTGGTGAACAGTAATACTGCTGATCAAGGTAGAAAATATATAGGAAGAGTAGCTGGGGATAGGAATGTGGAGAAGATAATGAGTTTATTTTCAAACATGGTAAGCTTGAGATTCTTCTGGGATATCTGTGAGGAGCTGTCCAGTAGACAATTTGGTCCTTTGCTATGAAGCTTTGGAGAGAGTTAAGAGATACAAATGTGCAAATTATCTACCTAAAAGTGTTCATTTGCAGCCAAGGTCAGGTTATAAATGAATACTGAAAGAATAAAGAGTCTATGCAGAATCCAATAGAGTACCAGTATTTAAAGGTTGGTAGAGGTTGATAAGAGATGATTAGAAAAGTAGGAGAAAAACCAGGAAGTAAAAGTATCAAGGAGCTCAAAGAGTATAGCGTTTTAAGAATGTAAGTAATGTTTAATGTCACAGAAGAAATCAAGTAGTGAAAGAATCTAAGACATACTTTTATTTTCAGCATGATCATTGATGATCTTGGGAGAGCAGTTTCGGTGGGGGAAGTAGATTCAGTGACTAGGTGGTACTTTCTAGAAACTTGGCTGGGAACTCAATGTAACTCATGTAGAATGAAATAAGTTCCAGTGATACAAAGGTAACTTTTATTTCTCTTGTATAAGCTAAGTAAATGGTTTGGATTTTTCACTGATAGAAATAGTTCCAGCTATCTCAGGAAGTGACACTTCAGGTACCAAAGGAACTTGGTAATAACATTTGAGATTCAGTGGCAAAAGGCTGTCCAGCTGTCTGTTTAAGAAATGATCATGCTTTATCTCTACAGTATGGATGGATTTCGACTGGTGAAATTGAATGAGGTCATCCGACAAGTGGACATTGTTATTACCTGTACAGGTATGATTATGACATATTAAATGGAGTAATACTTGGGAACTCTTTCATGGAGTAATTGAAATATGATTGGAAATGTTCTGAAAACCAAACACAAAAGCCAGGATATTAGTCCATAAAACCAGTCAATCTTTTTCATATTTTTCCTGCCTCTTAAGAACTCAGACCAAATGTATATCATTAGATCTTCCCTTTAGGAAAGTTTCTCTATACCCTTTATTTTATTTATTTTATTTATTTATTTATTTTTTTATTTTTATTTTATTTTTTTTTATTGGTTGTTCAAAACATTACAAAGCTATTGACATATCATGTTTCATACATTAGATTCAAGTTGGTTATGAACTCCCATTTTTACCCCAAATACAGATTGCAGAATCACATCTGTTACATATCCACATTTTTACATAATGCCCTATTAGTATCTGTTGTATTCTGCTCCCTTTCCTATCCTCTACTATCCCCCCTCCCCTCCCCTCCCATCTTGTCTCTCTACCCCGTCTACTGTATTTCACTTCTCTCCTTGTTTATTTACCCATTCCCCTTGCAACCTCTTATGAGTGCTTTAGTATAACAATGAGCGTCTCCCTCCATTACCATGCAATTTCTCTTTTCTCTCCCTTTCCCTCCCACCTATTGTAACTGTTTAATGTTGATCTTTCCTTCCTGCTTATACCCTTTATTACTGTTATATTTCCATCCATCTTTAGCTACCTAGGATACAGCTTAAGATGAGACTCATTTGTAGAGGTTTATTTGGGAAGCCAGATCTTAAATGTATACAGTTGATTTTGTTGTTGTTGTTGTTGCTAGTGATTGAACCCAGCCTTAAGCATGCTAAAAATACACATATTCTACCTTTGAACTGTACCCCTAGTCCCTTAATTATTTGTTTTATCTCCAAAATGAAGTGGCCTTAAGCATGCTAAAAATACACATACTCTACCATTGAACTGTACCCCTAGTCCCTTAATTATTTGTTTTATCTCCAAAATGAAGTATGTCTTTAGTCCCTGGAATTAAGTCAAGGCTAGAGCAAAATTCTTAATAGAGAAAATGAGAGAGGTTATTGTATTAATTCTCAAATGAATAGATTTTGAATTTGAGAGAGGAATATGCAGAGAGAGCTAATTTCTTTAGATTGAGAAGCTTATTTTATTTTTATAAATCATAGAAACACTGGCTTTCTTTTATAATTCTACTTTAAGGGGGGAACTCAGCATATTTAAGAATAAAAGTGTATTTATAGCCTCAGGAAGAGCTGGTGGAAGGGAAAAGGAACTTTAAAAGATTCATCAATTCTGTGAATCTTTTTTTATTTTTAATTGAAATGTAGTTTCCAAACCATATATTTCACTTATTTAAAGTGTACAGTTTGGGCTGGGGGCCCAAGACCCTGGGTTCAATCCGCAGCACCAAAATAAACAAAATATATAATTCAGTATTTTCTAATAAATTCAAATGTTGTACAACCATCACCATAACCTAATTTTTAAAGATATACTTCACAAAGCATAAATTCATCCTTGTGTACAGTTCAGTAGTTTTTAGTAAAGTTGTACAACATTTCTTTTTTTAGTAAGATAGTTGTACTTCTGTGACCAAAATACCCCAAAAGAGGAGGAAAAGTTTATTTGGGGCTCATGGTTTTAGAGGTCTCAGTCCATAGACTGCCAGCCAACTCCATTACAGTTTATCATTTGGTCAGTCCATTCAAACTAGGATGGACAGATTAGATTACCATTCTCATAATCTAATCATTGTATCTCTGGACATTCCTTCCTTAACACAGGAGTTTTTGAGGGACATCTCATATGCAAACCATAACACTACACCTCTGCTCCCTAAAAGTTTATGTCTATCTCACAATGCAAAATGCATTTAGTCCAGCTCCAGGAGTCCCATAGTCTCAACAGTTTTAGCATTGCTTAAAAGTCTAAGTTCAAAGTCTCCTCTGAGACTCAAGGCAAACTCTTGGCTGTGAGCCCCTATAAAATAAAAAGCAAGTTACATATATCCAACATACAGTAACACAGAATAAACATTATGATTCCAAAAGGGAGGAATAGTGGCATAGAAAGAAGGGATGGGGCCAAAGCAAGACCAAAACCCAGCCAGGCAAATAGGTCCTCTGCCCCTTTCTAACTTTTGTATAGCATCTAGAGCACATGGCCCCTTTGGCCTTGCTAGTTGCAGTGTACATAGCTCTCTCTTAGCCCAGCTTTCTCTGCAGCCAGCAGCTTTTCTTGGTGGACAGTCTACATTACTGGCATCTCTTAATTCCTGGGGTCTCCATTCCAGCTTTGACTTCACCTTCATAGCTTCACCCTCTCAAGGGCAGCCTACAGGGACTCCAACTTGCTACACTTCTCCTGGACTCACAGGCCTTCCTTTGAAATCTCAGTGAAAGCCTCCATGATTCCTTAATGTTAACATCCTGTAGAACCAGCTCCACATAGATGATGTCAAAGTCTGCTGCTAGCTTGTGTAATACCCAGGCCCCCTGGAATCAGGGCTGCAGTGGCCTTTGGGTGCTACATGGTTCAGCATGGTAAAACAACTTTCTAGCCCCGCAAGCAGGGTATGCCATGATCTCTTCTCAAAGGAATGTTCTCTTCTGTACCCTGGAACCCCCAGTGAGTGTGGTCTTCCAAATTCCTGAGATGCCCTCAAAGCATCTTTCCTGTTGTTTCATGCAAAGTACTTAACACTTATCTTCAACAAGCATACTTGGTCCCAGTCTTAAAAGCCTTTTCTAGGCAAACTATAAGTTTTTAAAATTATTTAGTTCTGTTTTTTGCTCCTCTTTCTTATGTAAACCTGGCTAACAGCTGCCAGAAATATCCATGCCACTAACTGAATGCTGTCCTGCCTGAAATCTCCTCTATCAAATTAATTAGTCCACCTTTAATTTCATCCTTACACAAAATCTTAGGACATGAGCAAAATGTAACCAAGTTCTCTGTCAGAATATAACGTGAGTGACCTGTAGTCCAACTCCCCATAAAGTTCTCATTTCCCTCAGTCTTCATGAGCATTACCCTTTTGACCTTCCGAGCTGCCACCAGAATCAACCATTAGACTCCACTTATAACATTCTAAAATTTTTCTAGCTTGCATCTCTACACTTTTCAAAATTACCACTAACCAGCTCCAAAGGCTTCTGTACTACATTGTCATGTCAGTCACAGCAGTGACCCCTACTTCTTAGTACCAATTTCTGTTTTAGTGAGCTTTTTGTCACTGAGACCAAAATACCTGACATGAACAACTTAGAGAAAGAAAAGTTTATTTGGGGCTTACAGTTTCAGAGATCTCAGTCTATAGACTGCCAGCGCCATTGCTCTAGACCCAAGATGAAGCAGCACATCATAGGCAATTGCCCAGTAGAGGAAAACAGCTCATGGTGGGGTCTGGAAGCAGAGAAAATGGAAGGGATAGGACCACAGGGAAGATGCACCCTTCTAGGGCATACTTTTAGTGACCCACCTCCTCCAGCTAAGCTTTACCTGCCTACAGTTACCACTTGGTCAGTCCATTCAAAGTAGGATGGACATACTAGATTGCAGCTCTCATAATCTAATCATTTTAGCTCTGAACATTCTTGCATGAACACAAGAACTTTTGAGGGATACCTCCCATCCAAACCATAGCAATCCCATTATTTAATTGTAGAACATTTTCAACATCCCCCAAAGAAACCCTGGCCATGCATAATGGCAGATGTCTGTAATCTCAGCAACTCAGGAGACTGAAGCAGTAGAATCTCAAGTTTGAGGCCAGCCTGGGCAACTAACTTAGTGAGAACCTGACTCAGGAATGTAGCTTGGTAATGAAACAGTCCAGAGCAGTCCCCAGCACTGGAAATAAAAAGAAAAGAAACCCTATACCATAAGCAGTCACTCCTTATTCCATCCTTCCCCTTCTTCTAGCCCTGTATAACTACTAATCTTTCTGTCTCAAGATTTGCCTATTCTGGAAATTTCATGTAAATGGAACATATAATATGTGATCTTTTGACTGGCGCTTTTTTTTTTTTAAACAAGGTCCACCCATATGACAACATGTATCAGTTCTTCATTCGTTTTGTTGCTGAATAGTATTCCATTGTTTGGATATACCACATTTTATTTATCCATTAATTAATTTATGTGGACATATGGCTTGGTTTCACCTTGAAGTAGTTGTGAATGAATACTACTGTGAACATAGTATTTTTTTATTATTGTGTGAATATATATTTTTCATTCTCTTAGATATATACTTAGGAATAGAATAGGTAAGTCATATATATAGTAATTCTACTTTTAACATTTTGAGGATTGCCACACTGTTTTTCAAACTGACTGAACCATTTTACAATCCCACTTGTAGTGCATGGTGGTTCTAATTTCTCTCTATTCTCACCAATTTATTATTGTTGCCATCCCATTGGGTATAAAGTAATATCTCATCATAGGTTGGATTTATTTTGCCCTAATGACTAATTATGTTGAGCATTTTTTTTTCACATGGTCATGGAGAAATATCTATTCAGATTCTTTGTTTTTTATATAGGGTTGTCTTTTTATTATTGAGTGTGAGTTTCTTACATATTATGGATACAAATCCTTTTTCAGTATATGATTTGCAAGAATTTTGTCCCCTTCTGTGGGTTATCTTTTCACTAGTTTGTTGGAGTACGGGGACTTGGTTTGTTTATTATTTGTTTTGTCTTGTTTGTGATAATTAGGTGTCTTTGCATTTTCTTAGTGATGTCATTTGCAATACAAAAGTGTTTAATTTTGATTTAAATGTAATCTAGTATACCTGTTTTTTTTCCTTGGTTTCTTGATATGCTTAAGATGAAAAGATTTATTTTTGTGTTTTATAGTTTTAGTCTCGTGGCAGGTCTTAATCTATTTGGAGTTAATTTTTATATATCATATAAAGTAGGAGTCCAACTTCTTTTCATTTCTCTTCTGTTTTTAAGGTAATAAGAATGTGGTAACCAGAGAACACTTGGACCGTATGAAGAATAGTTGCATCGTTTGTAACATGGGACATTCCAACACGGAGATTGATGTGGTAAGATCAAGTGTTCATTATTGGGGCCTTTTCTTTTTTCTTTTTATTTTCCAAGAAACAAACTGAAAGAACAGGATCATCAGCCATCATAAACACAACTGTCCTGGCAGAGTTGTCCACATCTGTTCACTTTCTAGCCCTCTATGCTTGTGGATATCTTGAAGCCTCTTTGTCTTAATTTAATCATTTCAAATGATTGTCTTCTTCCACCCAAGCTTGATACCTATTATGTACTATAAGCCATTTTCTCTCTTATTTTTGCATTGAGAGCTGGGGAAACTCAAAAACTACAAGATATAATGAATGTGAGTCAGAATGGTAGTCAGTATTGTGGTATTTGATTTTACCATAAAGATAAGTAGGTTGGTCCATATAAACAGGTCAAGGGAGAGAAACCTGTGGCTAGGATGAGTACATTGCTTAAGATTAACTGTGACTGTCAAATACTGTGGTTTCTTCTTTTCTCTTCCTCTTTTACTAGGCTAATTCTCCCCTTACTTAACATGTTTTCTGAACCATAGTAATTGGGTCTGTAGGATTCACAAACAATCCAGTGCTATTGTGTAATAATATGTATACCTCAAACCTGGTAACTTTATCACTGTACTTCTCTAATTTGATTATATTCACCCTAAAATTTTCCAGATATAATAGCACTTGGTCCTAATAATACTTGGTCCCAAGTCATAGTTAATAGAAGGTGTTATTTCTTTTCAGGCTTACCATAGTATCTCTCAGTTGACTTTCACCCTGGTTTTTACATTTTTATGGCATCTTTATGGCACAACTGTATTTCTCTCTGAGTAAATGGCTTAACCATAGCATCCTTCATGTCCATTGAGGGCTGCTCTGATTGAGCTTCAGCATTTCCAGGTAAGGATTAGTTGATATATTGAGAGCCTATTGGATAATATCTATTTTACCTGGTTCTTTCTTTTAACCCTGTGCTCTGTTGTTATTAAAAATAGCTGGTAGGGGCTTGGGATGTACCTTGTGGTAGACCACTTGCCTAGCATGCTCATGGCCCTGGGTTCAATCCCTAGTACCACAGAAATAAATAAAATCTGGCAACACAATCTACTAAAGCATGTTTGTACCTTGGGTTGTCAGTGGAATGGCCCCACTACTGTGTCTCACCATGTATGATAGTTTACTTATTAATAATTTAGTTATCCATGCATGGTAGTGCACATTTTTAATCCCAGCAACTTGGAAGGTTGAGACAGGAGGACCCCCAAGTTCAAGGTCAGCCTCAACAACAACTTATTGAGACTCTGTGTCAAAATAAAATAAAAAGGGCAGGGGATGTAGCTCAGTGGTACAATCACACAAGAAGGTTCAATCACACAAGAAGGCCATATTTGAGCAAACTTTATATATTTATATTTTGGTGGTACTGGGAATTGAATTCAGGCACTTTACCGCTGAACCGAATTCCCAGACCTTTTTATCTTTGATTTTGAGATGCAGTTTCACTAAGTTTCTGAGGCTGATCTTGAACTTGAAATCCTCCTGCCTTAGTTCTCCCAGTAGCTGGGATTATAGGTGTGCACCATTACACCTGGCCTGTTTGAGCAGACTGTAAGGAATTCACCATGTTGATTTTTTGGTAAGGAGCATTTCAAGCAGGAAAAACAGCCAGTACACATGCCCTGAAGAAAGAGTGTGCCTAGTCTATTTGGGGAACAACAAGGAGGCCAGTGTGCTCGGCCCAGAATGAGTACAGGGCAGGGAAGATGAAGATGAGATCAGGCCAGATTTCATAGGCCTTGTAGTGCATCCTAAGTTTTCCTGATTATACTCTGAGAGAAACAGGGAGCTATTTTAGGGCTTATAACAATTCATCTTAGTATTAACAGGATGACTTTTATTTTAAAAGGATTACGATAGCTGTTGTGTTGCAACTAGACTAGTTTTAACTAGTCTAGTTTGCTTGTATTGCTAGGTAGATGCCATCTTTGCCATGACATGAATCAAAGACCGTCTCTCACTTCTTTTTGTGGTCTTGGCAGAAAGGTATATGACTAAATTATATAGTCCAGAAAGGGACATACTCAGAAGGACTTTTGAAAGATTAAATTGTCAACCTTTGGTGATAGTGTTTCAAGACATATAAAGTGAAATTTAAGGAAATAGCAAGCAATTAATAGTTGAAACCAGAATATTCATTTGCTGTTTAGCAAATGTATACTGAGTACTCATTCTGTTCTGTTTCCAGTAGTAATTGGTCAGAGAAATAGCAGTGCACAACATCCTGCTTCTCACAGAGCTTATATTCTGTTGTGGGAGACAGATAAAAAATAGTTATTGTCAGTGCATAGTATTGAAGAAAAAAGCAAAGTGAGAATATTGACGATACTATTTTATTGGGGCAGTCAAGAAAGGTCTCTTTTAGGATATGACATTTGGGGGAAAACATGAATAAAAGATATGAGCATTCTGTTCAGAGAATAGCAAGCTGGGGGTATAGCTCAGTGGTAGAGCACTTCCCTAGCAAGGGTAAGGCCCTGGGTTCCATCCCCAGCACCATCAAAGAAAAAAGAATGGCAAATAAAAGATCCTGGGGTAGAAACCTGCTTGGTATTTGAGGAACAGAAAAGAAGCTGTGGTGGCAGGAACAAAATGGGCAAAGGAGTGAAGACAGAGGCAGCTCAAGGAGGTCGTGGGCTTGCAGGGGTTTTATAGGCTATGATAAGGAAGAACTTTATTCTGAGTAGGAAGGAAGCCATTGGATGGCTTCAGAAAAATTAGTAACAAAATCTGACTTGTGTTTTAAAAAATTAAACTCAGAAACTTTAAAAATGTTCTTCCAGGCAAAGAATGATTTAGCCTGAGACTTATTGTTGATTATATGCTTTATAGAACTACAACCACAGTTTTTCTCCTGTGGTGTGGGGGGAACAACGACTGACGTGCACTGTTCAAAATCATATAATATCAGTTTGTGCAAGCATAATAATGGCTAATTTACAGTGGGATGTATGCTTAGTTTGGGACTGTAGTATGCATAGAGAAAACTTTTCCTGGTAGATTGCTTAAAGATTATAAATCCAGAGTGAAGCCATCTGAATGTCTTTTTTCTTTTCTTTCATTTTTTGCAGTGGTAGTGGTACTGAGGTCTTATACATGCTAAGCACATGCTCTACAACTGAGCTTCACCCCCAGCCCCTATTTGTGCCTTGAGACATATAAAGCTGTGTCAGTTGTAGGTTAGGAACACTTCTGCCAAGGAGTATGACTACCACCCAGATGTTACTAGTCAGGTCATTGGAGCACCCTGGCCAATGGTAGAGATAAGTGTGTCTGTGTCTCTCTCTCTCTCTCTCTCTCTCTCTCTCTCTCTCTCTCTCTCTCTCTCTCTCTCTCTTTAACTGATCTTTGGGTTCTTTTCCCTGAATCAGAGCCAATCTGGAGCTTCAGTACACAGCCTCTAGAGTCACCAGGCCCGTGCTCTACACCTGAGCTACATCCCAAAGCCCCTACTTTTTTTTAAAAGACTTGAATAATAGTCCATTGTATAGAACTTTGCTTAGCCATTGCTTTGTTGATTATTTTTTTCTATTATTAAATAATGCTAGATTGAACATTCTTGGGCATTCATTTGTTTCCCATCTACCTAATAAAGAAATGCCTCAGTCCATGAATATGGTTCTGAATACACTGAAATATAATTATGTCTGTTTTCCCACTAGATTGGTACTTCTTCAGGGCGAGGACCTGTGAATTTCCAAACATTAATTGAGCACCCCATTGTATGTTTAGATGGAACTTAGAGGTATAGAAATGAAAAGAAGATATTGTCCCTGTCCATAAATCATTTGCATTCTAGTAAAGGAATCCAACCTTACCTATATTTGTGTCCTTTACTACAATACTTAAAATATAATATGTGCTTAATATAATGATCAGTGTATAACTTAAAGTATTTCTCTTTGGAAACTTAGTATTTGGCAGAAATTTTCATTTTTATCAAGTGAACCAATAGTAGTTTTAAAATATGAACTGCCTTTCTATTTTAGGCATTGCCCATTGAAAGAAGGAAGCAGTTGTCTTAAGTGTTCACCCTGAGACTGTTACTTGCTGCTGTTAATAAACTTAACATTTTTTCTCTTGTTCTCTGAATATACAATATACAGAAATGGAAGGAGGGTGAGCCATTGGGAGCTTTACTCTATCATAAGCATTTCTTTAAAGCCTACCTCACATTTGCACTTAGGTCACAAAGCTTCTGTAACTTTAGGGTAAACCACCATCATTAATAAGGTGGAACTTGGGACATTGGGACATGAGGGTAGAACCTTGGCCCCAGCATGCTGTGTCTAGGACATTCAGCCTTCTCTAGCTAATCCCACTCAGCTCTTATCCTACTTTTTGTCTGTGTCTCTCAGCACTTATGTATTCAGTTTGCACTATATTAGTTTGCACTAGTTTGCATGTTGCTTTGTAAGTATTTTCCTCTCACATATGTATTGTTTTGTGTCCCCAACTAAAGTGCAAGCTTTTTGAAGGCAGAAGCCATGCCTTTGGTTTCTTTTGTATTTCCCATAGCACCTTATACTGTGCTCAGCAGAGTGGGCGTACAATATGTGTTGTGGAATGACATCCTGAGTGATCTCTCCCTGGCTGGGCCTAAGATTAAATTCCCTGAAATGGAACAGTCCTAACCAACCCAGGACAGGTATTCTCCATGTGGCATGTTGGTTGCTCTTTTCAACTTGCTATTTGAAATGGTTTCCTTCAACCTCTTTCTGTCCCCAACATGGGACTTGCCATGGCTAATGATGCTCTTGCTGTATGTGTTCTAGGCAAGTCTGCGGACACCAGAACTGACCTGGGAACGAGTGAGATCCCAAGTTGACCATGTGATATGGCCTGATGGCAAGAGGATAGTACTGCTGGCAGAGGTAAGACTGAGGCTGGCAGAGATACTCCCCGCTGTCAGGGGAGACTCCAGTACCCTGGTCCTTTCCTCCTCAAGTTCCCTTATCTTTTTCAACCCCTTCTCTTAAACACAAGTTTAACTACTTTACCAAGAGATTTTTCTTCGAATTATGAAAGATCTTTTCATTCAACAATTAAGAAACTATTTTAGTTCCCCACTTTTCACCAATTATCCTGTCTCTCCATGTCACTCTCCACATTGAGTCACATAATAACTATTACTGTGGAAGGAATTAACAGAACAGAATCTCTTTGAGTGATGCTTACAAAGAGATAATGGCATTTGTGGGATGATATAATCAGAAAGCACGAAGTAGGTATTCCTGACTAACTCAGACTATCTTGGGTAGGCTCTGGAAAAGCTAAGTCTTTGCTGATCTGTTTTTTTGAGTGTCCACTCCCATGAATTGAGCCAGATGTTAGTAGGTACTCAACTCTATATTGGTTCTTCATATTTCCCCCTCCTGGTTTCTTCTTGAGTTTCATTCCATGTAGCCTTCCCTCTCGTGTCAGTGTTTTCTTTCTTTTCCTGAAGGCTTCTCTTCCCCAGTCATAGGAATCCTGATTGCTATGATAGCCCCTATTATTATTGCTTTCTCTTTAGGGAAAAACACCAAAATAACAAGGATAATACTACTTTCCTTGGGTTTTAATTTTCAGTTAGTTTTATTTTTTATATTAAAGAAAATAAATTTGAAAATGTAACTGATAACCTGTTTTTATCTAGGGGCCCATAAAGTTAAGTTTGAGCATCCTTACTATTCTCTTCTTCTTTTCATAGCTCATCTCACCTTCTCAAATACTTTAGGACATTTATACAAGGACTGATTATTTCTTCACAAGGAAATAATAAAGGGTATGGATAAGGGATGGGCAGGTTGGTTAAATGGGCATTAATAGCCCACTGTCTGGTAACTTATTTTTAGTTTCCTGGGAGGTCCCATTTAATAATTTTGCTGTCAAAATCAAGCACCACAGGTGTTTTTTGCTATTTTGTTGAGCAAAAAGAATGGTCAGGCTTCCTAGAAAACGAAATAGTGAAATGTGGCATGGAGGCAGTTCTAGCTCTTCTGCCTGAATTACACACTTAAAATTCAAGGCTGTGATCTGGGGATGTAGCTCAATAGTAGAGCACTTGTCCATCATGCATGAGGCCATGGGTTCCATCACTAGCACCACAAACACACCAAAAAAAGAATCAAGGCTGCCCTTGAATTCATAAGACCCATTCTGAGAAAGAAGCAAAAAATCATCAGTTTCCTAAATTCATAGATATCTTTCTTCACAACCTGGAGAGACCCCCACCTGACAAGATCATTGTCTATGACAGTCTTTCAAAGGGATGTCATTCCTCAGAAGGAGCGTATTTTGCTATAGAGTGTGGAAAATCCAAGAGAAATATTCCCTTCCTTGGCAGTATTATGTGACTGTGCTTACTCCTTTTTGCATAATTCCATAAATTATTTAGTTAGTACCTTCAAAGACACACAAAGGGTCAATATCAGTGATCATCAGGGAAATGTAATTTAATTTTTTATTTTTTTGTGGTGCTAGAGATTGAACCACAGGGTCTTGTGCATACTAGGCAAGTGGTCCACTGCTGAGCCACATATCCAGCCCAGGGAAATGTAATTTTAAACCATAATGAGATATCACATCACTCTAGTTTAGAATGACCATTATTGCCTAGTGCAGTGATACACACCTGTAATCCCAGCAACTCAAGAGGCTGAGACAGGAGGATCACAAGGTCAGTACCAATTTAGCAAAGTCTTAAGCAACTTAGTGAGATCCTGTCTCAAAATAAAAAATAAAAAGGACTGGGAATGTAGTACAGTATTAAAGTGCATCTGGGTTTAATCCCCAGTACCAAAAAAAAAAAAAAAAATGACCATTATATATATATATTTTTTTAAAAAAAAAAAGACAAAAAGATAACAAGTCCTGGTGAAGATGTAGAGAAAAGGGAACCCTTGAATACTATTGATGAGAATGTAAATTTGTACAACCATTATGAAAAACAGTATGGAGGTTCTTCAAAACTAAAAACAGAACTATCATCCAGCAATCCCACTACTTGTATATATCCAAAGCAAATGAAATAAGTTTGTCAAAGAGACATCTGCACTCTATTGCAGCACTGTTTACAATGATCAGGAAATGGAAACAACCTAAGTGTTCATCAACTGATAAATGAACAAAGAATGTGTACATATAAACAGTGCAATACTATTCAGCCATAAAAAGTATGAAATCCTATCATTTATGACAATATGGATAGAACTGGAAATCATTATGTTAAGTGAAATAAGTTAGGCACAGAAAGGCAAATACTGCATGAAGTCACACATGGAATGTTTAAAAAAAATGGATCCCATAAAAGTTAAGAATAGTATGGTGGTTACCAGAGGATGGGGAGAGTAGCAGGGAGGGAGGGATGTGGAAAGGTTGGTCAATGGGTACTAAGTCATAGTTAGATAGGAGTAAAAAGTTCAGGTGTTTTATTGCACAGCAAGATGGCTACAGATTACAATTATGTACTGTGTATTTCAAAAGCTAGAAGAAAATTTTTTTTTTTTTGTACTGGGGATTGAACCCAGGGGTGCCTAACCACTAAGCCACATTCCCAGCCCTTTTTAGTTATTATTTTGTATCAGAGTCTTGTTAAATTGCTTAGGGCCGGGCTGGGGATGTGGCTCAAGCAGTAGCGCGCTCGCCTGGCATGCGTGCGGCCCGGGTTCGATCCTCAGCACCACATACAAACAAAGATGTTGTGTCCACCGAGAACTAAAAAATAAACATTAAAAAATTTTCTCTCTCACTCGCTCTCTCTCTTTCACTCTTCCTAAAAAAAAAAAAAAAATGTGAAATTGCTTAGGGCCTTGCTGAGTTGCTGAGGCTGGCTTTGAATTTGCAGTTCTCCTACCTCAGCCTCCTAAGCAGCTGGGGTTACAGGCACGTGCCACCACTCCCAGCTTAAAAGAAAGGATTTTGAAAGTTTTCACCATAAAGAAATGAAAAATGTTTGAAGTGATTGATGTGTTTACCCTGAATTAAACATTATATAATAGATACGTGTATTTAAACATCACATGGTATCCCATAAATACGTACAATTTTAGGGGTTTTTTGTTTTGTTCTTGTACCAGAGATTGAACCCAGGGACACTTAACCACTGAGGCTGGCTTTGAACTTTTGATCCCCCTGCCTCGGCTTCCCAAGCTGCTGGGATTACAGGCCTATGCCACTATGCCCAGCTAATTTTAGTTTTTATGTACCAGTTAAAAATATTTTATATAAAAATTTGGGGGCTGGGGATGTGGCTCAAGCGGTAGCACGCTCACCTGGCTTGCGTGCGGCCCGGGTTCGATCCTTAGCACCACATACAAAACAAAGATGTTGTGTCCACCAATAACTAAAAAATAAATATTAAAATTCTCTCTCTCTCTCCCCCTCTCTCATTCTCTCTTTAAAAAAATATTTTATATAAAAATTTTAAAACACTTAAAAAATAAAATAGATGTCAAGTAACTTGTATGTATTGAACACCTGCTTTTTGTCCATCAATGTTAGTAGGAAAGGGTTTGGGAAATGGCAGTCATTCTCTTCTCTCTCTCCTCAATGGCCAGTGACATTCCTAACCCCTTTGTGTCTTTACCTTTGACCACTAGGGCCGTCTACTGAACCTAAGCTGCTCCACAGTGCCTACATTTGTGCTCTCAATCACTGCTACTACTCAGGTGAGACCTCCAGAGTAGAATAGCAGTGGGCTGAAAAGGGTCCTTAGACCAGCTGGGTTTCACTCTATACAGGGTAGATGGCTGTGAATGGCACGTCAGCATCCATCTCTCTACTCTTCTAGGCTCTCGCCTTGATAGAGCTTTACAATGCTCCTGAGGGTCGCTATAAGCAGGATGTCTACCTGTTGCCTAAGAAAATGGGTAAGCACATACTTTTCTTTCCCCATTCTTACTTTTGTTCAGAGTCAGAGGCTAAATAAAGGAAGCTTGGGGCAATAATTTCTTATGGGTAGGAAAATCTTTATCTTATAAAGTAGTAGCTAGGAGTCCTAGGTTCCACTCCCAGTTGATTTATCCCATTTTCCACATGGGTTACCCTAGCGGAGTTTTGACATTTTGTTGTGATTTAGGTTACCTACCTGTGAATTTTAAGGATTTTTATCTCTCAAAGTATTTTGTATGTAAGAATCTCGGAGATTAAAAAATATCCCCCTCCAAAAGAGAATCATCTCCACCATGTGACATCTGATTTATTCCATTCTAGGCTGCTAAACAGCCCTTGCTTTTCATACTACACCTTCCAACAACTAGCCCCCTTGCCTGAGATCAAGGAAGAGACTGAGTGGTTCTTGGTAGGAGTGTAGTTATGTGGGTGTTTGGTACAAAGGTAACATTAAACTCTACTAAATTTTTTAAAAGCCTGCCTTAAACACCTGAATTGACCCAGTGTGTTTACAGATACCTCAGGCAAAGATCAGAGAATATAATCAACTTCTGGTTTTGTTTTAGCACCTGTTACAAATTGGATATTTTCCCTTTAATAGACAATTAAAAGAATATAAAGGAAATACAGCAGTTCATGTTCTGACCTTATATATAATAAAGTTGAGAAGACCAAATACTTAAGAAATTACATAAAGTTGTGTTATTCATAATTTATGAATATTTACTTATTGTACAGATAATAAAATATAAATCAAAACTCATAATACAGAAGAGTACTGAAAGTAAAGCAAACAGTCTAATAGTATTCTTAGTTATTTCTTTCCAGTCTCCTTGAGTGACCCAAAGAATAGAGTCCAAGGCAGAACTAAAGTTATAGCCTCCCATTATTTAGTCCTCCTACTATCCTATTTTTTTCTTTTAGACCCTAAGACTTATTGCTTTTTTCATCTCTCTCACCCCTCTGGGAAGAAGGAAAGGTTGAAGGCTGAAAGAAGAAGAAATGTTACAACTTTGAAAGGCACTGGGCTTAAAAAAAAAAGCAGCCTTTCCTTAGAATTGAGGGTCAGTGAGCAAAAGTTAAGTTTTTTTCACTTGGCTTCAGGAATTAGAAGGTATCTTAAACTTTTTCAGGCCCTACTTAGGGAGGACAGCCAGATAGGAGGCATGAATGCTCATACCAGGGCTTCTGTGGTCTATTCCAGATGAGTACGTGGCAAGCCTACACCTGCCCACCTTTGATGCCCACCTGACAGAACTGACAGATGAACAGGCCAAGTATCTGGGACTCAACAAGAATGGGCCCTTCAAGCCTAATTACTACAGGTGCTTGGGCTTCCCAGAAACCAGGGAATCCTGTGTAGTGAAGAATTTCCTGCTCTGGAATTGGTCTTCTTTTCCCCTACCACATACATCTGCATGAACACAGAATAAACCCACCACTCCCTCAGTGTCACCTGCAAGAGATTCTTTGAGATCTTCTGCATATATTAGTGTTTCCCTTCCCCAAGAAATACTGTTCTTTTTTCACTGATGTGAAGAAAAAACACAATCATCTACACTCACCATACTCTCCAGAAAAGCCCCTGCCTCCCTGTTACACCTTAAGTAGGCTCTTCTTGTTCTGTCATCCCCCACTACCTGATAAAATCAGTCTTATCTTTTTTATTTCCCTCCAGGTATTAAGTGCCTGTAACTCAAGCCAGAAGACATTATAAGGAATAGAACTCCACACCTTTTCTCCACTACTATCCAAGAAAGACCTTGCAAGCTGCTCCTTCAATCAGCTGCCCGCCGTGCTCACCCTGTGTGTTAGGTTATTTATTTATTAAAATCTAGAATCCTGTGCCTGTAGCCTTGGCCCAGAGTGTGGTTACTGCTCCGAGGGCCATGAGAGCTACAGAGGACAGACTGAGGAAGGAAAGAAATGGGGGACCCATTCCTAATGCATCATACACATCATTCCCCATTGACTCTGAATCCTCAGCAATGGCCATTTTTCTCATGTTCAGGCTCAGGAGTTAGTCCAGGGATTCCAGGCCTCCTGTTCCCTGGGTTTTCTGGAATAAAGTTTTAGTAGCTGCCTTTCTTAGCTTTGGCCCTTCTCCAGGTAAGGCCTTTGGGAGCCACTGAATTAACGTGACCTGAGTTCCCAGCCTTGACCATCACTATCACTGCCTTCTCTATAAAAAGGCTAGTCAGGAAGGAGTGTTAAGGCCTTGGCAAACTGCATTAAGAACTTAGCTGGGCCTGTGACTATGCCTACTGGGGTGTCCTTCCTTACCCAGCATTCCTTTCTTCTTGAATATTTATGTCCATTTTGATGCTTTCTGGTTCCAAGAGGGATATACCTTCATGATCTCATCAACAGCTCTGATGTTTGTCAGACTTTTTTTTTTTTTTAAACCATCTTTCCAACCCCATCAAACTCTACTCAGGAAGTGAGAGCCAGTACCACCAGGACTCATAGTTTTGTTTTATTGTCATTTTACTGGATATTTTCCCAGGAAGACCCCTTCAGATTGGCACTGTCTCAGAAAAGGAGGGCTTGTTGTGGAACACTGCTTGCTTAAACTTTTGTTATTATCTAAAAATACTTCTGAAACAAGTAGGGAAGGCTATACTTTCCCAGGGATTTAAAGGTTTAAGTCCTCCGAAATGGGACAGGTGTTTTAGGCCCACTACTTGACACTCTTAAGAAGCAGGTATGTTTGTTCCCAGAAAAGACTTGGCAGCTTGACTGGCTGAGGGGTAGAGATGACACTATAACCTGTATCCAGATGACCAAAGCTAGTTTGACTAGCTTGAACCTCATCATTCATTTATCCCTTTGGCCATTGCCATGGTAAAACCAACTACAGTTTGATCAGTGGTCTTTGTTCAGCTGGCATATCTTTTGTGTTCTGACCTTTTTAAGATTTCTGTTTCAGAGTTCATTTCTTGAGTAACTCCAGCATTATAAAAAATATTAGTAATGCAAGCAACATGGAATTTTATATCCCACCCAAAAGCTGAATTCCTTTTAGAGGCTAACTTGCTGACTTAAAGGTTTCCATTGGGACCACATTAGTTCTAAGGATTGAAATCTGGAATGACTCTAGGAATCTTGAATTAAATAAGTCTCTCTTCCCTCAGCCAGCCCTATTTAATGCTTTCATGTTTGTTTCCCATTTTTTCCTTATGATGGTCTGCCTCAAAAGTCTCAAGACCAAGGTGACTCAAGGAAATACCAGACCATCCAGAGTTACTAAAACCTTCCCATCCTGACCACCCTCTACCTCCACCCTGTTCAACTTCCCCTGGTCTTCACATATACCCTTAGAGCTAGTCTGGAAATGTCCTTTGTTCTGGAGATACGGAGGTATAACTTGGTAGATGGCTATTTGCGCCATTAAATAAAATATAGACTCAGCCCATTGAGTCTGGTTCTTCAGAGGCCGTTTCTTAGCACTATTGGAAAAGTGCCACATACGTGACTATATTCTAATTTATAAGGAAGACTATAAATGCTGAAACTTCTGCTAGACTATTAAGTTCTTTTGCCTGCCCAGTTCTGATGGTTGTATTAATTGGATCTCTTTACCAAAAGATTCAAATCTTACCTCATCTATGTCCAGCAGATTCCATTAGACATATCTGGACTCTTGCCTATTATGTTCTTAGACCAAAAATCATAACCTGCTGTTTCCCAGCAAAGCCTTGCTCTCTGTGGAGCTTACTATGTGCTGGTACTTTTAACACTCTGCCTCACGATAGTGAAGACACTCACTCCAAAATAGAAGAGGAGCCACATGGGCTTCTAAGTTAGGTTGTCAGTGTTGCTGCCCATGGTGAGCTATTTGCCTCTGAGTTTCAGATGACCTCCCTTCCTCTCTCTCTGGGGACCCTGTTTCATCAACCATTAAAAAGAAGGAGTCCCAGGCCTCCTATTTGGATTGTTTATTAATGTTGGAATCTGATCATTATTCCCTCTACCCTTGGAATCAGAGCAAATATGTCTTCTTTCCTCCAGCCTCTCATCTTAGATGCGCCCTAGGTATCAGGAGGCATGGGAAAGAAGGCCAATTATCTCTTTGTATGTGACCCTGGCCTGTGGGGATACATACCATTTTATCTTCAATGAACTCATGCTAGTTTCAAGGTCTTTTTGCCTTCTTAATGGAAATATTCAATTTCCTTTTTTTCTCACTGAGAAAAAAATGCATCTAGTCTACCTTCCCTCTGCCCTCCCAACTCCCCATCCTACCTTCCCAAGTGAGCATGGCTCTCTGTGGCCACACACTCCTGCAAAGCTTTTTTGCTGCTTGGCTTTTATCTGAACAGATCTGAAATTGCTGCTCCTGTGGTTATCTCAAAACTAACTTTGTCATGGTTTAAAAAGAATCAAAATGCATTGTTGCATTAAGCTTTTTTAATAAAGGAAAATTATGGAAAGAAAATAGGCAACACCAGCAAATTATATGTGGACAAGTCCTAAACTATATATACATATATAAAAAATAATCATCTAGTTCTCACTATCATCTTATTAAAAGGAACAAAAACTTCTAAGGATCGCCATTTCTGAGAAGCTCTTGGAAATCTTTATGTCTAAGTGATTGTATTAGATCAGCAATAATGATTATGTAATCTCAAAAGACAAAATAAAATATTCTTAAAATGGATTCTTGTCTTGAGAGGATTCCTTCTGTTTACTAGGAATTCAGAAATGAAGACTCTGGGCAATGAGCTAACAAGCCTGCTATAGGGCAAGGATGTGAAAAACCAAAGCAGTTACTACTGGTGTGTTAGAGTTAATTATACCTTGAAACCCTTATTCCATGCTGGGCCTCCACTAATAGCTTCTCCTCTCTCCCACCACCACATCCTGGCTATGTTTGTAAAGAAGGTGCCTTGTCAGAACCACTACCCTGGGGAATTGAGGCTATAGTCTTATCAAGGTACAGAAACTGAAGGATGGTTCTAGGTCCTTCAAGCCCTCTATGCCCTGCCTTTAACTAGAGAGTACAGAAAGTTAATATCCCCACAGTTTGGGACCAAAGGATCCAGATACTCAGGACCTAGTTACAACCAGCCAAAAGGAAGAGCAAAATGAATCATGGAGGATTTTTTTGTTTTTTTTTTTTTTAAAGAACTTTTTAATATTTATTTTTTTAGTTTTTTCGGTAGACACAACATCTTTATTTTATTTTTATGTGGTGCTGAGGATCGAACCCAGCACCACCGCGCATGCCAAGCGAGCGCATTACCGCTTGAGCCACATCCCCAGCCCATGGAGGTTTTATTCTAACCCAGGTAACCTGGAGGATGAATCATTCACCTGATTTTTCCCAACTACCAGGGTAGCCATCTCCTTTAATTGACAACCTAAACTAGTTCTATGTACTATATGCAAGGTGTTTTCCTCCCTATCAGAATCTTCTGCCTCTTTGACTTCCATTTATTTAAAATAAGGGCCATTGGGTTAAAATATTTGGGGCAGTTGGTAGTGGCTCAAAGCTTGTGCCATTCCAGTTAAGAGGAGAATGCTGCTAGCAGCATGTAATGAGGCCTGTGAGTCAACTGGCAGGATTTGTTCCCTTCCAGCAGGGCTTGACACCTCCTTTGTGAAGAATGGGTATTTGGGTCTTAGTTTCAGACTCACAGGGTCAGCCTGGCTGCCCACTGCTGGGCAAGTTTCTTTACCTCACAGTATTGTGGAGAGGAGCTTGGACTTTGAATCAGATTAATTTGGGTTTGAATTCCAGCTCTGCCATTTACAGGTTGTGTAAGTTGGCCAAATAATATACCCAATCAAAGCTCTTGTTTTCTTGCCTGTAAAATACATAATGCATATCTCTTAGGATAAAGATTTAATGACCTGTTGTGTAAAAAGTACTGCTTACGAAACCTGGCACATACTGCTTAGTGCATAAACATTAATTCCCTTTCTCATTTTAGGGCCCTACAGACTCCGTTGAATTATTACACCCACACATGCCCTTTCTGCAGAAAAGAGGGTGTTCTATCCTTTTTCTACTGTATTATCCTGGCTGCCTAATACCCTAAAAAACAAGGTACTTTAAATCACCCTGCATCTTATTTAAGACAATTTAAAGTTGTCTCAATGCCAAGTGCTATCTACTTAATCAAGTATTTGACTCCATGGATTAGAGCGCTTAAATGGGAAGAAGGTATGTTTGATCCTTGTGACTGGTAACTATACCTAATCTATACCTCTGAACCTCTGACAGCAGCCTGAGTTTCAGGAAAAGGGAAATTGGTAGTGTAGGGTTTGGGGGATTTTTTGTTGTTGTTCTTTTGGTATTAGGGATTGAATCCAAAGGTGCTTTACCACCAAGCTACATCCTCAGTCTATTTAAGGACAGGGTCTTACTTAATTGCTTAGGGCCTTAATAAATTGCTGAGGCTGGTCTTGGAACTTGTGATCGGCCATCTTGACTCAGCTTCCCAAGTTGCCTGGATCACAGGCATGCACTACTGCCCCCAGCTGGTAGTGTAGGTTTTAAAATAACCCAACACTGTGGCCATCCTTGCAATATGAAAAGACATGTAGACCAGACCTGACTAATTATCTCCCAGGTATATTTGTGGGTGTCTCTGTGGTCAGTGGTATTGATGACTGTCATTCTTTCATTGAAATACAAGCTAAAAGAAAATTTGTATGCCAATTCCGTGGCCAATAGTATCAAGTTTTCAGTTAATCTGTGGACTCTTGTTACTTCTTCTAGTTTTTTTTCTGGATATCTTCCTATATATGACAAGTTCTGTCATATCTGTTCATCCTTTGCAATCTCCACAGCACCAATTTTTCAAATCCCTTCTCTGAAAGTAAAGCCAGGTGGAGCTTTAGGGTCAGCAACTGGCTCTAGAGGCCAGAGGAGATAGAAGGCCTATCCTCATTTCTGCTCCCAGTAGATTTCTTTGCCCTAGGGATAGGCAGGAAAATGAGCAAAGCCTCAAAACTGACCACTGGTAGAGATTGCTGCCTCTGGTGGGGATACTACTGATTTAGTAGGCTCTCAAAAGAATATAAAGTTCTGGGACTATCTGTCCTGGAGGTATGACTGCTTAGGAGAAATATTGGGAGAAAGAACAGTAGATAATGAATTCTTTTTTAGTAAGAAACTCAATGGGCTGTGCTGTGGCAGGTTTATCAAATTAAAGCAGTGATGAGCTAGGCGTGGGTTTTGAATTTTAATGCAGAGTATAAATTTTTAAGAGTTTAAAAATTATTCTCTGAAAAGATTTCAAAATTAAATAATTTAGGCCTTGAGCCAATGACTTTCTTGGAAATTCACATCAGCTCAATTCTGAAAACTAGGAGACCTCAATAGGCCATTTCACTACCCAGGACATCTGCAATATCTTGAGGCAATTTTGGTTGTCACAGAGAATGCTGTTGGCATCTACTGAGGGGAGGCCATGAATCCTACAATGCATGGGACAATCTCTTATAATTTTTTTTTCAGCCCCAAATGTCAATAGGACAGAGGTGGTGAAATCCTGTGTTAAACCTACAGAAATGAAGTATACAAAAATGAATGAAACTTGGCCCTACTCACAAGAAGTTTATATTCACGTTGGGGCAGTCTTGGGAATGGGAGAGTAATGGGAAGATGGATGAGGTCAGTAAGGAGATGTAGGGGATCATAGAAAGGAATCCAGAAATCTCCAAGCGGTGTTTTCACATGCCTGCGGTGATCTGTCATCTACCAACTGGCAAAGGGAAGAATGAGGGAGAGAGATGGCAAGAAAGGGTTGGAGTTATCCCTAAGATATGGAAAAGGGGAATAATTCCTTTGGGAAATGCTAAGATTTGTATCAAGGCAAAGAGGAGTGTCAAAAAGAAGGCTTTCTGAAAAAGAAGGGGGTGATAACTAGAATGTTTAAGGAATAACCGAAGTCAACCAAGAAAACAAAAGTTTCCTTCAGAGATCAACATAGGCAGGACACAGACAAGATACAATATGATACATTGGGAACTGCCCGCAAGGAGTACTCTGTGAGTACTTGTTTCCTCATCAATAATAATTGATTCGTGAGCATAACCTGTCAGAGGCATGACTGATACCTGTAAAGTGCCTAGTGTAATGCCTGCCTGGCATTAAGCACAGTTCAAAAAGTCCCCAAATCCTTTCCTACAGGAACTGGGCTGTGGATAGTGGTCTGGTTCCACCCATTCCCTTCAGTGTGCTTGTTTGGAGTCCATTACCAAGTCAGAGCTGCCAAAAATATTTGCCACAAGCTGCTTTTTGGATAAATGATGAAAAACCACACAACCTTGAATTGCCCCTAGTAACTCTGAGCCCTAGGAAGGATCTTATAAGAAAAGGAAGGAAAGGAAGAAGGGCTTGTTGTCTATTCACACTATGAGTAAGGTGCCCGTACAGCAGAGAAGGGAAGATGACCAGGAGCAGCCCTCAAAGCACCAATCCTACTCTGAACCCTCAGTCCCCTAGCCAGCCTTCACTCTGGGAGGGATGCGTTCTCTTCAGAAAGCTTCCCTAGAGAGCGAGTTCTTCCACCCGGCGGTGCCAACCTTCCCCTGCGGCTAAGCGGAATATGGGACGTATGCAGCAGCCAGGATTTGGGGATCTGGGGTGTGATAATAGGGAAATGCAGACGCAGTGGGGCAGGGAGCGGTGACTAGAGCTCCCGGAAAATGTCTGTTTGGAAGGGGAGAGCGCTGAGAGACACCCATTGAGAAGCGAAGACGTAAACCGCCTTAAGATCAAGGACCCGTGGAGGGAGGGAGGTGGAGCAGGGAGCCACCTAAGAGGGTCGAGGCACCAGGAACGCTGCAGGAATTAAAAAGCAAGAAAAAAAAGAAAAAACGAAAGAAAAGAAAAGGGGGGGTAGGGAGAAAAATATTCCTTGAAAGAGCCCCCACCTCCTCCAAGTCCCGCTCCGACCGGCCCAGCAGCCAATCGCGCAGCGGGGTGGGGCCTCTGGGAGAGGTCACAGCCAATAGTGGCGGAGAGGCAGGGCCCGGCTCGGGGCGCGCGGCGGCCGGGTCGCCCCGGGCAGAGATCGCTGAGGCGCGCCGCTGACCTGCGGCATGGAGGACCCTGCGGCGCCCGGGGCCGGGGGACCGCCCACCAATGGCAATGGCAACGGCAACGGCAACGGCGGCGGCAAAGGGAAGCCGGCGGCACCCAAGGGCCGGGAGGCGTTCCGCAGCCAGCGGCGGGAGTCGGAGGTGAGGAGTTCGGAGAACCTTGGTTGGGGCTGTGAGACGCCTGAAGGCGGGAAGCGGCGGCTGAGGTGATTCAGCCTCGGCCCGGGAGCCCCCGGCGCTCGCGGGCGGCCCTCCTGGAGCCGGTGCCTGCAGGGTCCACCGCAGCGGGACTTGGTTTTGCAGCGCGACCCTTCGCACGTCTGGCTGTGGGGCTTGCCCCAAGCCCTCTGGCCTCCCCTGCCCCCTCTGGCACCAAGACGCAGCGCGGCAGTGAGCGTACCAGATACTTTTCAAATATTAATCTCACTTGTTCGTCCCAGGAAGCAAGAATTCGGATCCGGTTTTACAGGGGAGGGAAAGACGCAGAGAGGTTAAGGGGCCAACCTCAGGGGTGGGAGGCCATAGCTGGCTGCGGGAGGGAAGGTCAACGAGTGCGTGGCCCCTTTCCCACTCCGGGGTACCTGCGATGGGCTCCCAGGATGGTCTACATTGGCCGCGGGTCTCCTGCCACCACCCACCCCGCTGGGTGTGGGGAGCACTTGCGGACATCGGGCCCCTGCCAGTAAGGGTTAAATGAGACAGGATTCAGGTTGGGGCTGTTTGAATGGAACTAGATACCGCTAGGAGTATGAATATTTGGGTCTCTTCCTCCTCTTCTAAAAAAGAAATCCTAACTAGGACGACGAAAGGACTGAATTATTATCACTCCTCCACACCCTCACCCAGCCAGTTTTCATCAACTATCCAAGAGTAGAATTGGATCTGAGCAGGGATCAGGAGAATAGATCAGAAACTGTCAGAGGTGGAAGAATCTTTCGGTATCAACTGGTCTATCCCTTTCATTTACAGAGTAAAAGAGACAGAACTAACTTGTCCAAGATCAGACATCTGGCATAGTGAGTGGCTAAGAACACCAAGCTTCTTGGTTGGTCAAACCAGGTTTTGAATCCCACACTACCTTTTGCTGTCTATGTGGCTTTTGGTAAATTACCAAACCTCTCTGAGCTCCAGTTTCTTCATCTGTGAAATGGGGTTAGCTCCCTACCGCAGAAGATTGTGATAAAGTCAAAATGAGATGATTGAATCTAAAATGTTCACACAATTCATGTAATTAATTGGTCAGTAACATAGTAGCTCTTAACTATATTACTATCATCATCATCATCAACATCATCATCAGAGCTGGCACTAAAAGCTAGGTCTTGGTGTTCCAGTCCACAGTTTATCACTGGATAGTATTTCACAGCTTCCCAAGTGATTTCAGGTATGCTTCCTAATCAGACACAAGCCACATAGGAATTGTTATCTTCCTTTTCATTATTTTTCCCCTCCCTCCCCAGCGCCTAGAAAATGCTAAGTATGTGCTCTACCACTTAAACTTCCAACCCTTGCTTTTTAAAAGATAGAGGAGGTGAAAAGACCGGCCCAAAGTCACCATCTCATATAAGCAAGAGCTCAGCCCTTTTGTCTTCTGGATCATATCTACATCATCTCCCTCCTGAGGGATCTGGTATGCTTCCTTCCCCTGCAAAATTGCTAAAAAAAAAAAAAATGGTAGGGGATGAATTATTTATTAATTCAGCAATACATTGTTAATTCAGAACCTACATGTTAAGTTCTCAGTCTCACAAAGTTATTGAGGCCTTTTGATATGTCAGGCACTGTTTTAGTTTCCAGGGATACATCAGGGAACAAGAAAGGTCTTTGCCCTTGTGCAGTTAACTAGAAAGTGGGGGCAGGAGGCTGACAATCAGCAAATAAAATAATTTTAGAGTGATATAGTCTATGAGAGAATTCAAAAACACTCCCTACCCCTAATCTCTTCTGAAGTAGGAGGCATGTTCCAACTATCAAGTTGTCCTTCAGGAAAAGGCTCTGATAGTACTTTGCTTTTGCCAGTGAGCTCGGTGTCTGGAGACTCAGAGCTTTCCACTTGCACTACAGATTACCTGCTTATTGTCTGCAGCTGTATTCTTCATGCCTGGAAATGAACAACTGCAGTGATCATCTCTATCTGGGTTCAATGCCTGCCAAAAGCCTAGCTGGAAAGATTAGCTTTCCTCCACCTTGCACTGCAGCAGGATGTACCTGTCAGTACATCCCCTGTCACTACAATACCCAGAAGCCAGATCTGCTCTCTCTCTCTTTTTTTTTTTTTTTCCTTCTCTTTGCTGTCCTGTGGAAGACAATCCTTAGAGGAAATTATTTTCTTTTTTCTCTAGGGCTTGTAGATAATTACTAGAAGAGAATTACTGTTGGTACAGAGGGCACTGTTTACCTACCCTCTTCCAAAGCCTTAAAGGTACATGAACATCTCATGAACTAAAAAAGGAAGTTAGAGAATAATTATTTGCTTAATAAGAAGATTCATAGCTGGGTTCAGTGGTGCATGCCTGTAATCCCAGTGGCTTGGAAGGCTGAGACTGGAGGATTTCAAGTTCAAAGCCAGACTCAGCAAAAGCAAGGCGCCAAGCAACTCAGTGAGATCCTGTCTCTGAATAAAATACAAAATAGGGCTGGGGATGTGGCTCAGTAGTTGAGTGTCCCTGAGTTCAAACCCCTGTAAACAACCCCCTGCTGTAAAAAGAAGATTCATAATAGGTTTTACCCCCACCCATCCCCAGTACCATGAAGAGAAGAGGTAAGAAAGGAAGGAAAAAAGAAAAAGATTTCACTCTTACACTTCTTTTAGCCAGATCTTCTTGTTTATTGGTTCCTAAGGTCCTTGACAAAGTTTTTAATGTTGTGTGGGAAAATTAAGGGCAACAAAGTGAGTTTTTCTAAAATTTAACCTCTATATATTGAATTCAAAGGATGTATGCAATTTAAAATTTTAAAACAGTGGTTTTCAAACTGTAGGGGGCAACCTATAAATGGGACCAACTTTTTTTATTTTTTTATTTTTTTGAGGAATAGGATAATAGAAAACATCAGTTCATCTCATATAGTAAGGGTAAATTTTTATTCCAGTTCTTGTATGTTAGCACAATATATAAATTATATTTATTATTTTCTGAAAACACTGTTTTTAATGAAACCACTTTATTCTGAGGTTGTGTTCTTCCCATTTTTGGATTATTAAGCTTTTTAAGTTCCTCCTTACCAGAATAAGAATAAAATATTGTGGGTTGTAGCTTATGGTTGAGCACTTGCCTCACATGCGTGAGGCAATGGGTTTGATCCTCAGCACCACATAAAAATAAATAAATAAAATAAAGATATTACATATATATTGTGCCCATAATAAAAAACTTGGAAATTTTGTTATAGTAGAGTTAAACATGATTACATGATTTGCTTTGTTGGCAGTGTAAGTAAACATCTTGTGGTATACAGACAACCACAAAAATATCCATAAGAGTTGAAAATTCCCTTTATAAGAATTATAAGAATTTATAAGAATCTTAGGAAAGATCCCAAGTATTAAAAAAAATTGTAAGAGTATTATAACTTTATGTTCAAAATTGGAGAATTGATTAAGTAAACCAATAGATACCCATCCATGTATGTAACTATTTAAAGTAATTGTCATAATAATATGAGAAGAATGCTCTTAAAATAAAATATTAAAATTATAAGTAGAGTAACCACCCACATTGTGCTGCCAAATGCTAGGTGTTATACTAAGTGCCTTTCCTAATAACTCATTTAGTCCTTATGTCAACTCTGTGAAGTAAGTCCTATTATTCTCATTTTACAGATTAGAAAACTGAGCACATCAATTTCCAACAATTCCCTGACAAACCTGGATATTTTACATTTCAATTCAATTCTGATACTACCTAGAGTTATCTCATACCCTACATGTTAAGTTCTCAATCTCACTTTAGATACCAGCCCCAGTGGGTAGAATAACCATAGAACTCAGGAATGCATATACTTATGATTACAAATTTTTAGTAAAAGATACAACTTAGAAACAGCCAAATGAAAGGTATGAGCCTAAAGTAGAATGGAGCATCTATGCCCTCTATTAGAGAGCCATACTCCTAGCACATTTATTTGTTCACCAACCCAAAAGCCACCCAAGTAGTTGTTTCATGGTTTTCATATGGAGTTTCATTTCTTAGGCATGATTAAACCATTGATCATGTGACTGAAATCAGTCTATAGTCACCACAACTCAGGTGGGGTGGTGCCAAGTTATATCTTCAAAACACACATTGGTTTTTCTGGCAGGGCCAATTCCTGCCTTGAAACTATCTAAGGATCCTCCATGAATCACCTCATTAGCATAATTTCTGATATGGTTGACAGGGGCTCATTATGAATAACAGACAGTCCTATCAAGAAGTTCTAAAGTTATTAGGAGCTCTGTGCCAAGAACCAAGGGCAAAGATGAAATATATTTTTTTATACCACACTGAGGCACAGAGAGATTAACTTGCCCATGATCGCATAGTTTGTGACAGCTAAAATTCAAAATTTTAAAGTTGTGTAAAAGTATACTTAAAGAAAATACCCTCAATGTTAAAGTGGTAGGATTATATTAAAAGTATTTTTAATATGGTTATATATGCAACATCATAGGAAATTAAGCCTTTAATTCAACTTGGAGTGGAAATGGTACCCCATTTGACAACCTTAAGTTGTGGAATATTAGGGCTGAAAAAACTCTTTGTAAATGAGGACCTGTGATCCACAGTATGAGACATGCCCCAAATCATACAGGGGGTTAATGACAGAAATAAGGCTAGGACCCATTTCTTGTTCTCTAATAAGTTGTCCATCTCATTTTTTAAGGTATCAGTTAGATGCCCCTCTGGTCCATGTTTATGTAGATTAGATAAGGGTATGGGTTGTAGCTTTCATTTCTGCTAACAAATCATGTCCTTTACCACTTTCTGATTTTTATGTAGGAACCTTCATCCCTTTTTATACCAAGCCTCAAGTTTTAGCTTAGAAAAATGAACTTCTCAGGTGAAAGGGCCAAAATGGACTTTGTAATTGATTCCCTGATCTAACCTTGGCCTCCAACAGGGGAAGAAGGTGAAATGAAGGTATAAATTTCCCTTTGCAAATCCTTTCCCCAAGTTACCTTAGTTACCAGAAAAAATTTTCCATTACAGGGTTCTGTGGACTGCCCCACTCTGGAGTTTGAATATGGAGATGCAGATGGGCATGCAGCAGAGTTGTCAGGTATGGAATATATGGGTCACTAGGAAGTGGAACAATAACCAGGAGGAGAGGAAGGTGCCTGTGATCTCTGGCAGTTTCTCTGGTCTCAGCAAGTGGCTGTTGAACAAAGGCTCTTCTCCACATTGCTTTTCCTCTCCATTCTCTAGTGGTAATTATCTCTGTGTTTGTTTTCATATTGTCTTTTGTGAATTCTCTTTGGCTATAGTGTTCTTTCTGCTCACCCTTATTTATTTGTTTTGGTACATTTTCAAATCAGTTTTTTCTCCACCTTCTTCCCATCAACTTCTCTCTCTTCATGTCTTTGCATGCCCATTCTTTCTGCTACCCTCTCTTTATCCCTTAATCTCGCTCTCTTTCTCTTAATCTTCTCTTACCTCCATCTTTCTCCCTTCCATTAATACCTGCCCCTCATGAAAATCTCAGCAATGTCTAAAGAAAACTCTATAGACAACTGGCCAGCTGAGCAAGACTAGCCATGTCACCTGCATCCATCATAGCAGAGCTCTGCCTTTGAATGTTTGTGAGTTAGAGTTAAGTGATCCCATTCTTCTTTCACTTTGGGCTGCATCTCTGTCTAGATTTTTAGCTTAGGGTAAACGTGACCTCACATTAAGAGCCTCAGTGTTACACATGTTATGAATGTTAGTTATTAATAAACGAGCTTCAGTGAAGATGGTACAGAAGTTAAATATTCTGTCACATGGAAGTGAGACTTGAAACATACTTTTTCAGAGTAAAAAGACAAACATTTTAAAAGAAGTTTCTGTGAATAAGCACAGAGAATAAATTTTGTCATGAGTGACAGAGAAATAGAGAACTAAGCTTAATAATGAACAATGGATTCAAATTCAGAATATGTATGTTTATATGTATGTATGTATATTAGAGAGAGAGGGATGGCCAAAGAACTGATGAACAACCCAGTAGAAGTGAACAAAGAATATGAATATGAATTCATAGAAGAGAAAACTGGTCAGTAATTATATGAGTATCTGGGGTGTAATTCAATGTTTTCCTAGCATGCAGTCACTCCCCAGCACCACAAAAATAAACAAACATATGAAAAGATGTTCAGCTTTATTAGTAAATGGGGAAAGGCAAAATAATGAGATATAACTTCACAGTAATCATATTGCAAAACTTAAAAGCCTAAGGTTGGTGAGGATGCAAAGAAATGAGCATTTTTCTGCACTGCTACGTATAGCAGTATGGGGAAGCTAAATATAAAGTTGGAAGGCAATTGGACTTGAACTTATTATCCTCCTGCCCCAGCCTTCTGAACCAATGGGATTACAGGCATGTACCACCATGCTTACTTAGATAAAATATTTTCAAACAGAACAATATAATGTGTTGTTTACAGCTGCATACAAGTCATATCTAATAAAATTGAAAATATAAAATCTATTATGACCCAGTAATTCTATTAGATATATTAGATATATATTCTAAAGAACCTTACACTTGGGCACAAAAAAATGTACAAAGATGTTTATTACAGTCTTGTTTATAATTCTGAAAAATTTAAATCAATCTAAAATACCCATCAGTAGGGGAATGGATAAACTATAGTATATCAGTGTTATAGTCTACTTGTCAGGAGCTGCTCTGGAAATAAATACCCTTAAGTCCTGAGCAAGAGATACTGAACAATTATTGCACCCCACAATAACTTGGGTTTTACCTCTGCTCAGGAGTAGGCGTTACCTCGTGGGGTTAAGTTACCCTCACCTGTTCCTTCGTAATCCTACCCCTTCTGCCTTCTTAGGATAGAATGTCCTAAGAAACAGCTTCCTCTCAAATAAAAGCCCACTTCAAAACTGCTCTCTCTCTCTCATCAGCCTCTTCTCTTGCCCCCCTTTTTGGGGAGCCTGAGGCCGGGAGCCAGGGAAAGCCGTCCTGAAGCTTATAAAAGGTATTCTGTGTCTGTGTGGTATTTTGCATCACCCCAAATTCACACAAGTGACTTTAGTTCAGCATGGGCAGCAGTCTACACTGTAGCCATTAATATAGTTGATCTGTATCAACATGCTTCTATATCAATAAATGCTAAAAACAAAAGTTGGTGGAAAGCAGTGACAGCACAATTTATACAATATGATACTGTTTTAGATAAAAACATTTTTGTACTTGGGTTTGAACTCAGGAGTACTCTACCACTGAGCTCCATCCCCAACCTTTTTTATTTTTTATTTTGAGTCAAGGTCTCATGAAATTGCCTAGGCTGGACTCAAACTTACTATCCTCCTGCCTCAACCTCTTGAGTTACTGGGATTACAGGTGTGTGCCACTAGATAAAATCTTTTCAAACAAAACAATATCATATGATGTTTACAGATATACACATGTGTAGTAAAAGTGGAGATGTGAGGGGCTGTGGCTGTGGCTCAGCAGCAGTGCACCTGCCTGGCATGTGTGTGCACTGGGTTCAGTTCTCAGCACCGCATATAAATAAATAAAATGAACGTCTATCAACATCTAAAAAATTTTTTTTAAAAAGTATACATGTGAAGGATACACACCAATTTTTTTTAAAGAGAGAGTGAGAGAGGAGAGAGAGAGAGAGAATTTTTAATATTTATTTTTTAGTTCTCGGCGGACACAACATCTTTGTTGGTATGTGGTGCTGAGGATCGAACCCAGGCCGCACGCATGCCAGGCAAGCACGCTACCACTTGAGCCAAATCCCCAGCCCACACACCAATTTTATTATAGTGATTACTTCTAGAGAAGGGAATAAAAGACTGGGGAACAGTCTGAAGCAAATATAGCAAATTAACATTTGTTTAATCTGGGTAGAAGATACACAGGTGTCTTAAATGTGTTTTTACTTATCTGTATATGAAATCTTGAGATCTAAAACTTAAAAAATAAGAACTTTAAAAATCAAAGCCCAGTACCTAAGAGCTTTTGCTTATTTTTCTCCTATTCAAGTACTAACCAAGTCCAATTCTCCTTAGCTTCCAAGATCAAATGAAATTGGGCATATTCAGGGTGGTATGGCCATGGACAAGCCTTGTTCACATTTCTGACTGGGCTTGTAGTGCTCTACTCATAAAAAAAATAGTGGCTGGGGTGTAGCTCAATGGTAGAGAACTTGTGTAAATTCAATCCCCAGCACCGCAAAAAAAAAAAAAAAAGAAAGAAAGAAAAAAAGTAAGTCACAGTGAAATCTTTGCCTGCCTACACATGCCTGTAGTCCCAACTACTTGGAAAGCTGAGGCAGGGGGACCATTTGAGCCCAGAGGTTCAAGACCAGCCTGAGCAACTTAGTGAGACCCTGGTTCAAAAAATATATAAGATATATAATATCCACATTCTCCACTAATGACTAAACTATTTAAGATTCAGAGATGAGATTTACTTCTGGTCACTCCCAGATTCTGGAACTTGGGACTCAGAAGCTCTGACAAGGGGTTTCTTATTAGACAGCTGACTGAAATATAAAGGAATTTCTCTTTTTTGTAATTATCTCTGACAGGGGAGTGGGGAATAGAGATTTTAAGGAACTCTTGTTAATCACCTATTGATTTTTAAAATTTCAGTTTTTTATCTTCTATAAGACAAGGGTACAGGTAGAATGTTCTAGAATTTGTGTATTTATAGGAATGAACATTTTTATTCTCAAGCTTTCTGTATTTTATATTAGAGACTACTGTTAGTTAAATTAGGTTTTCCTGAGCATAATCAGCCCTTTTGCAACCATAACTGCTTTCTACATGGTTTGCTGCCCAGGTGGCTATGGACAGAAACCTAAACTTTTATACCTTTCAAGGAAACACAGCAGGGAGAGTGAACTGCCTCCAACCCTGAAGAGCAATCAGCAGGTATTTTTTTCAGTCCTTGTGCTGGCTTCCTGAACAACACAAGGATCTTGCCACTAAATTTCAGGAGTTGTATTGCCTTTCTTTTCTGTAGAGATAGGATAGTTCCATTCTGAGTTGACAAAGTAGAATGGGTGACAGCCCTAAGAAACAGGAGGGATGACTTTAAACCTTCTGTGCTCCAATCCTCCTCCTGGTCCTCACCAAATGTCGAAGGCTGCCTTCTCTGCTGCAGCAGCCAGCTGGCAGGAGGAGGACAGGTTTGATGGTTTAATCACCCAGGGACACAAGTGGCTATTTTTAACTGCTCTGAAAGGGAGGAAGCTGGCTCTGAATTGAATTGGACACAGGAATGTGTTGGAAGTTCAGCTCTTTCATGCCACCCTCTCCACCTTGCCCTCCCGCTTTTTTTTTTGTACTGGGGATTGGACCCAGGAATGCTCAACCACTGGGCCACATCCCCAGCCCCCCCCTTTTTTTAATTTGGGAAAGGGTCTCACTAAGTTGCTTAAGACCTTTCTGAGTTGCTGAAGCTGGCTTCAAACTTGCGATCCTCCTACCTCAGTCTTCCCAGTCACTGGGATTATAGACATGCACCACTGCGCCTGGCCTCAGTCCCTTTCTTTAGGGTCTCCCAAATGTGACCCTGTTCTGTCTTTCCTGCTACAGAATTGTATAGCTACACTGAGAACCTGGAATTCACCACTAACAGGAGATGCTTTGAAGAAGACTTCAAGACTCAAGGTGATCCCAGACCCATACTCATAGAGACATGATTTTTTCCCTCCATGATATCCCAGTCTGATCTATTAAAAGGCTATAGCAAAATATAACTCTTCAGCTTCCTCCCCCATGACCATATACCCTTCCCTCTTGCACGTGGGATACAGGATTCTCTATATCTCAAATAAAGAGGTAATGGGGTAGAAGCGAGAGAATCTTGAGCTGGGCTTCTTTCCCTGGTATAAGGGTCCAAGAGAACAGAGGGTGGTAAGGCAAGGCTGGACTAGTGCCCTTTTGCCTGATGGAACCTCATGCCTACTTTAGTCTTTGACATTAATGTTTAACCTCTGCCTCTAACTCTGCCCCACTCTCAATAGCAATTTTTTGTGCCCACACTATGGTATCTTCACATCTCCATTTTCTTACTTGGTAAAAGGCAATTCAATTTTCAATTCAACAAATGTGTGGTGAGTATGTGTTGTATTAGATGCAGGAATCCGGGAGAAGATAAATTTTCCACTTCTACAAAGAAGTTATGGTTTATAGCAATGGGAAAGTGTATACAAAACTAGTTGAGTCCAAGAGAAAAATACTAAATGTCATAGAAAAATAAAAAAGAGTCTTTGACTGGAGCATTAGTGTAAAAGAGGTCATCTTGTTTCGGGCCTTTAAGGATGATTAGGAGTTAGGTATGGATGGAGATAGCAGGAACTCCTTGAGAAAGGCAGAAAAATAGGACAGAATAGGCTCTGTGTATGTGTAAGACTGAGAAAATTTTGACGATGAGGCTACAGAATGGGTTCAGCACAGAACATTTTGGGTCCTTTTCCTGTTCCTTTTTCTTTCTTAGCTAAATAAGAAAAACTTTGGGCTGGGGATATAGCTTGTAGGTAGAGCACTTGCCTAGCACATGTAAGGCCCTGGGTTTGTTTGTTTGTTTGTTTTCCCAGCACTACAAAACATAACAAATTAGGAAAACTTTTGGAAAAAAATATTTGTTAGGGGGTCTGAGGTTGTAGCTCAGTGGTAGAGCATGTGTCTCTCATGTGTGAGACCCTGGGTTTGATCCTCAGCATCACATAAAAATAAATAAATGAAATAAAGACATTGTGTCCATGTATAATTAAAAAAAAAAGAATTGTTAGGGGCTGAGATCAGAGGTGCTATCAGGAGCCTTTCTGAGAAGGGTTGGCAATAGCCAATACTGTATGTATATGGTCTTTTATTCCCAGTGCAAGGGAAGGAATGGCTGGAATTGGAAGAAGATGCCCAAAAGACCTATGTGATGGGACTTCTGGACCGGCTGGAAGTGGTCAGTAGGGAGCGGCGACTGAAGGTGGCCAGGGCTGTTCTGTATTTGGCCCAAGGTGAGCACCGACTATTTCTAGAGACAAGTAGAGGCTGAGGAGGGAAGTGGAATGAGGCAAACTGTGCTAGGAAAGCAAGTTCCGCTTGCCTCTCAAGGACACATCTTGCCATGGGCTAGGAATAACCCACACTTATGAGGAAGATAAATTGGTGTCGGGTACTATTCTGGATCCCTTGGGATATGACCTTATTAGGCATGTCAGAATTTCTTATGGGATTCTTTTTTCCTAATTTGGACTGTAAGCATATGTGAAGATTACCAAGAGAGTCAGTGTGGTCAAAGCTGACAGTGTACCACCAGCTAAGCATAGAGATGTCTTTCAGTTGTTTGTAGGCCCCAACACTGAAGGAAGGCAAGGGTATATCACAGATCACACATGGACACTCTGCATGGTTTCTTGTTGACATTTTGAAGATTCAAGCCAACATAGCAACAGGAAGGGATGCTGTGAGTAATTTGGTGACAATTAGAACTAATTGAGATTAATTGGGGAACTCTTCCCAGAAGAGACCTGTTAGCTAGGTGTTGGAAAGGAAAAGGAGATAGATAGCCTACCTGGAGTAGTGAAAATAAGCCCTGAGATCATAAATATAAGGATTGTTAGCAAACCAACTAGTTGGGAAATTGTAAAAAATGAAAAATAAATGGAGAAGAAAAAAGATGGACATTGAGTAAAGGAAAAACTATAACAAATAAGGTGGTGCCACCCCATCTCTTGGGTTTGATGCTCTGACTAGTGGCCAATATGGAAGTATTTTTGCCTAAGGATATTCTCTGCAGCCAGGAAGTGTAGGTAATTAATATGCTTTCTGAGTCCAGCAGACCTCATAAAATGACTGACAGTAGTAAGTAGATGAAAAGCCTGATTATCTCACCCCTCATGGTTGGAATATTTCTGAATTGTTTTATAGAGTTCCAGAGCTTCCTCTGGGGTTGAGTGTTTTGGGCTGCCTTCTCTATCTCATTTCTCTACTCCTCTACTGATTTTCCCAAATAAACTACTTGGATTCAGTCCTTACTTATCTCAGGATCTACAACTGGGGGAACCCAAACTTAAAACTCCCTTGTTGAGTACTTTGGACCTAACTCTGGAGATTACCTCACCTCTCCCCTTACTCATTTGATAAAATTCTTTGGGGTTTTGAAGTTCTGCCCTACATTTGTTCGTCTATTTATTAGGCAGGGTATTAGAGAAAAGCCTTAAAACCATGGGGCAAGGTGGAAAGAACTGGGATACCTGTCCCTGCTCAACTTCTATGGCAATTGTCTGGTCCTTTAGGCACTTTTGGGGAATGTGATTCAGAGGTTGATGTGCTACACTGGTCCAGGTACAACTGCTTCCTGCTCTATCAGATGGGGACCTTCTCGGCCTTCCTGGAGCTTCTCCACATGGAAATCGAGTAAGAAACCTTAGGGGAGGGGCTGGCCTAGATAATCCTCTTCTTTGATGGTACCTCATGTTCTATGATGATTTCCTTAGTAGAGACACCTATAGGAGCTGGGTCTACTCAGCTCAAAGCTCACTGAAAGTTCCTTTCCATCTGGCCATTTCCTAATATTCTGTCCTCCATTCTTGAAGTTGTGTTCAGCCCCAGCTTTTGCCCCAACTATAGCTTCAATCCTGGAACCTATCCTGGTTGGGCTCCTTTTTTATCTAAGAACTTTTTCATCTCAGCCAAATTCTGGAATTCATGAAGGAAGCTGTTCTACCTTTATGAACATGACCCAAGAGGAACAGGACCAATTCTTGTCATTGTGCCCAATTCTTCCTAGAGTTTATAGCTCTAGCAGTGGCTTTATCTGCTGCTACTACAGTCACCCCTCATTTTGTCTCATGTCTGTCACCCACCAGTTTAGATGGGGTAAAATCTACTTCTTATTCATCAGGTATTGCTTAGCATCTGTTTTGTGTCCAGCACAGTGCAAGGAAGGCATATTGGGGATCATAAGAATGATATCACAGAACCCACCTTGCCTGTCTTCACCACAGATGAAGGTTTGCTGAGGACAAGGGAATACTATGAACTCACTTACTTTAGACTAGTGTTATTAGCGGCTGCATAGCCAGGGAATGACAGATGTTCTTGTTTATGTGTATGATAAGTGGGAGCTTAGGAAGAAAGTAGGCCTTATAGATTCCTGTTGTCTTCCTCCTCCCCGGCAGCAACAGCCAGGCCTGTAGCAGTGCTCTTCGGAAACCAGCTGTCTCCATTGCTGATAGCACAGAGCTCCGGTAAGTGAGACTGATGTGAGTTTGAGACAGGGACATGTTTAGCACCAGGTTACCCTTTCCCCAAATCCTACCACTAGGAAGTTGCCCTTTAACTAGTCTTCTTGGGTTGGACTCCCACTGGGGAGGTCTCTCATCTTTGGGGTCTCTGACTACAAGCTGAGAACTGTCTTGGAAACCTCATGTGACTCTTCTGTAACACCAGGGTACTGCTGAGTGTCATGTACCTAATGGTGGAAAATATCCGCCTGGAGCGAGAGACAGACCCCTATGGGTGGAGGACAGCACGGGAGACCTTCCGCACTGAATTGAGTAAGAAGTGGCTGCGCTCAAGAAAGGGTTGGAATGGAGTGCTAATGATGGAGGGGAAGTAGAACATCTGCTCAGGATAGGAACATAGTCTTTTTATTTTTCCTTTTTCTTTTTAAAATGAACATACTTTCTTTTGGGATAGATACTACATGGCAAGCATAAGGACTGGGCTTGATTGTCCATTCCCCTGTGTCTATGAGCGAGAACTAGTCATAACTTCTCCATGCCTTGTTTTATATGCTTAGAAGTGGGGATAGCTATCCTTTTCCCATTCCATGAATCCCACATGAAAAAATGAGTTAAACCTCTTTGAAAACTGAGCTCTTTTCAAATGTAATGGTCATCTAACAGGGATAGGATGTGAAGGCATATGAGGTTTGTTTGTTTGTTTGTACCAGGGATTGAACTCAGGGGCACTCAACCACTGAGCCACATCCCCAGCCCTATTTTGTATTTTATTCAGTGACAGGGTCTCACTGAGTTGCTTAGGGTCTCGCCATTGCTGAGTCTGGCTTTGACCTTATGATCCTCCTGCCTCAGCCTTCTGAGGTGCTGGGATTACAGGCATGTGCCACTGCGCCTGGCTTGCATGAGGTTTTTAAAATACATTTATTGATGTGGGAAAGTGAAATGTGTTCCACGAAATATCTCAATTCCTTCAGCCAGAAAGCAATATCCTCATAAATGCCAAAATAACTGTTTGGCATTTATCCACAAAGCATCACCCTAAGCTCTTGGAGTCAAGTCATTTTACCTCTATAGCCTCCCTTTCTGCTCTTGAGGGCCTTCCCTCTGAGTTTCACTAAGACTCATTCTCAGGACCAAAGACTCTGGTATTCTTCAGAATAGGCAAGCACTTTCCTTAGTGGGTTCAAAATCAGGGATACAGGGGCAGGGTTTCAGCTACTTCATCCTCACTTTCTCACTTGTCTTTCTTTATACTTTCAGGCTTCTCCATGCATAATGAGGAACCTTTTGCCCTTCTGCTCTTCTCCATGGTTACCAAGTTCTGCAGTGGCCTAGCCCCCCACTTTCCCATTAAAAAGGTCCTTCTTCTGCTCTGGAAAGTGGTTATGGTGAGTCGCCGATCCTTCCCATTCCATCTCATCAGATCAACAATGCCTAACCTCAATTTCTTCTAGTCTGATTCCAGGAGCTAGAGCTAGGCAGCAGAATGACCAGCTTTTAGTCAATAACTAAGAAGACGTGGTAACAAAGCCATCCTAAAGACATCAGATATTCTATATCAGAGCAGGTTACTGTTTCTGTTGGACAAATGGGAGATGCCACTCCATGAGCTGGAGTGTTAATGGCACCTTCCCTTTATAGAGCTAATGTTTCATTGAATGAATACTGGCTGAAAATTGGGAGAAATAGTTCTATTCATTCTAAGGAACCTTGGGAAATTCTGTGTCTCAGTTTCTTTAGCTATAAAATGTTGGGACTAATGCCTGCACTCCCTCCAGATAAACAAAGGAATTTTTTTTTTTTTTACAAAATGAAGTTCTGGTAAGTATATGATTGCAAGTATATTCAACTAATCTTCATCTCTGGCTCCCATTCCACAGGACTGCCTGATCAACATACCCTTCAGGCAGGCCTCATAGGGGGAACTGTCATTTGACTGCAGAAGAAATTAATTCTGTGGGCTCATAACATCTTCATGAGCCTCTTAAAAAGTAAGATTTAAAAAAAAAATCCAGGTGTGGTGGCATACACCTGTAATGCCAGCAACTCTCGGGGCTGTGGCAGGAAGATCACAAGTTCAAAGCCAGCCTCAAGCAACTTAGTGAGGCCCTAAACAACTTACTGAGATCCTGTCTCAAAAACTAAAAAAGACTGGGAATGTGACTCAGTGGTTAAGTGCCCCTGGGTTCTATCCCTGATTCCAAAAACAAATAAAAATAAATTAAAATAATTTATGAAAAGGTAAGCTCAAGTGGAAAATTTTTAATAAACCAAGATCATTTTCTGTTTTTTCAGGGGAGGCTCCCAGGAATTCCCTTTCTAACTTCTGTTTCCAACCCTGGATCAGTAAATAGGGTTTTATCCTGACCTCTGAGCTCCTTAGACTGAAATGGGAACCATGTCTGCCCCTTGCTGTTTTACTACTTCCTTATTTAGAAAGGAATCTGAAGAGACTGGAGGTTTTGACTTTTTCTTTCAATCCATGTTTCCCTGACCTTACTATCTCTGACTTCCCGCCCTTCCTCTCTCTTCTCTGCCCCTTTCCTCTTTTAGTTTACCCTTGGTGGATTTGAGCATCTGCAGACTCTCAAAATAAAGAAGCGGGCAGAATTGGGCCTGCCTCCACTGGCCGAGGACAGTATCCAGGTGGTGAAGAGCATGCGTGCTGCCTCCCCACCCTCTTACACTCTTGACCTGGGGGAATCTCAGCTGGCACCACCACCCTCCAAGCTGCGAGGCCGTCGTGGTTCTCGAAGGGTATGGACCAAAGCATACAGTAGCACTGCAACACCAGGTGGCCAAGAATCAAGATTCTAAACCATTCTGGGTATGGTAGGAAAGGGAAGTAAATTACCTGGCTTCTGCTCCAGGTGGGCCCTGTGATCAACCCAAAACCTTAGAATCTCTACTTTGTCCTCTATACTCAGCCCTGACAGGCCCCTGTGCTGTCTTTGATGGAACTCTGTGATATCATATCATGGCCATGAGTTCTTCAGGATCATTGATGTGGGCCTCAATGAATGAAGTTCCTAAGCATCCTGAACATTATTTGGGGTAGAGTCCTGGGGATATGGAACCTGAAAGGGGCTACCAGCAAATTCATGTCTGAGGTTAGGTATTAGCATTTTTTAGTAGCAGAAAGATTCACTCTTGAGCCAGTCATACTCTTGTCTGACCATGAAAACACAAACCTACAGTCAAGAGATGACTAGTTAAGGTTTTAGGTATAGTGTACAGTCCTGAAAAAGTCAGAATAAGATACACCGAGACTTAGCCATGTTCCCATGAAAATATCTGCCTGACCTATCTGAGTCCACCAACTAAAGATAACAGAGCCAGACAGTCATGCTTAGCAATCCAATTTGCATTATATGCAGTGGAATTTTTTTGATCTTTGTTTTTTATTTTATAAAGTAATGCTTACTCATTGTAGAAATTTGGAACAAATATAAAAATGTGACAAAGGGAGGAAAGAAAAATCACCCACAACTTAACAACAAGAGGCAGTGTGACTGTTAACTTTTTGGCCTATTTCTGTCCAATCTCTTTCTATAACAAAATTTGAAATTCAGAACTTGCTTCTCTTGCCTAGAAGCAATCTTCTGTGCTCCTCTTCCTCAGTCAGCCAGCTGGAGTATGCTTACATAAGGCAAACTAATTGAATGTTCACTTCAACAGATCATAATTAGGAAGGAAGGTTCTGGCAAAAAAATTTAAAAAGGCATCAATGCTATCTGAAAGCTAAATAACTATAACTTTAGGATTATCTATGCTCTGTTCCTAGCCACATGGTTGCCAGAGGGCTGCTTGTCCTGGGGTTGGCTACTTAGGCTATAAGGTCAAGATAAGAAACAGAATGTTTCTCACATAAGCTGGGGTCCAATTCCATGTTCCCTAAAGTCTGGAAGGCTGTAGGAAGAGGGTGGCTTTAGACAACAGTGCTCAGGGTGAGATCTTAATGTGCTTTCCTCCCCCAACCTCCAGCAACTCCTCACTAAGCAGGATAGCCTCGATATTTACAATGAAAGGGATCTTTTCAAGACTGAGGATCCAGCCACAGAGGAGGAAGAGGAATCTGCTGGTGATGGAGAACGAACCTTAGATGGAGAGTTAGACCTGCTAGAGCAGGACCCTCTGGTGCCACCTCCACCTTCACAGGGACCCCTCTCAGCTGAGAGAGTGGCCTTTCCCAAGGGCTTGCCCTGGGCCCCAAAGGTCAGGTAGGTTTTATTACACCAGGGACCCTGAGCTTTGGAGTTTCAATGACCAAAGGTCCAAGGCAGAATACTTTTTTTTTTTTAATATATTTTTTAGTTGTCAGTAGACCTTTATTTTTATTTATTTATTTATTTATTTATATGTGGTGTTGAGGACTGAACCCAGTGCCTCACACATGCCAAGCTAGAGATCTACCACTGAGCTACAACTCCAGCCCCTGGAGTACTCTTTTTTCAATGCTTATTAATCTGGCCTGACAGTCGGAACTTCTGGATTTGAAGTTCCCTCTGTTGATTGCCATTGTCCCCCCACTGCTCCAAGCTTCCAGTTGGAGGGGCAAGAGCCCAGAAAATTTCTTTCTCTCAATGTTTGCTTTTCTTCCCTTTTCTGGGGTTGTTCTCTCTACCATCCTCTTAGACAAAAGGACATTGAGCACTTCTTGGAGATGAGCAGGAACAAGTTCATCGGATTCACCCTGGGGCAGTAAGTGACTCTGTGGTCAAAACTGGCTATAAAATGGTTCCTAGGGGACTAGAGGAGCAGGTGGCTTGCAATGAGGGGTGTTTCAAGTAGTCATAATGTACCCTAGAACCACCAGGCCCCAGTTACTACTTTGCATTCTTTCTGTGGAAATTTTTCCTTGGGTTCCTTCCAGATTCCTCAAAGAACTCTTGTGTTTTTAGTGAGGCATAGCATCTTGAATTAACAAGTCATTTCCCAACTGGGCACAAATTTACTCATGAGGGTGTTAGATTAGATGAAGAAGAGGAGATTATGGTCATAACAGATCCAGTCTTCCCATGTTTCCTCACTATCATGAAAGCCTCCCACTGGCCTCTACAAAACCTAGAAGGCTTTGTTATTGGGGTTTTAATGTCAAAAGTGTCTTTGGGCTGCATACCCTTTAAAGTAGAAACCTATCACTGCCAGACCAAGCGAGTCTCCAAGGAATCTCCTAATTTTCAGGAAAACTTCTGTGTGCCATTGTTATCTTTGTGTTCTGAAGCAAGATGGGGGAAGCTTGCAGAAGAAAGTCCAGAGTATCAGAGGTAGATGCTGAAAGTGGCATTGTCCCTGTGACTCCAGGATGCATGGGTAGTTTTCTGTTATTTTTGAAGCTTATGGTTTGGTGATTCTGGCCTTTCACAGGGACACAGATACCTTGGTTGGATTACCCAGACCCATCCATGAAAGTGTGAAGACCCTAAAGCAGGTGACCAGGGTGGGCTCTCAATCTTCAGGGATAGGGAGCCATCAAGGCAAGTTGAATTACCAGGGTTTGGGGTACTGGGAGGAGCTCTTCTACCAGACACATTCAGGACCTTCTCCATTTCCCCTGCAGGCCTTTTGGCCAAATAGGGAAAACCAAATCCCTTTCTACTTATCCAGTTTACTACATTCAGATAGATGAAAAAGTTTTCCTTTCTTCCTCTCATTCCTTTTCCCTATTTCCATTCTTCTCTTTCTTCCCACTCCTTGCTTCCTTTCCTTTCCTTTCACTTTTCTCTCCCCATAGGTCCGCTTACTTTCAAAGGCCCAAGATTGGGTAGAAATCTGCTCCACATCTATGTGGGTGTCAGCACAGAGTACGGAGTCACCATTCCATACACACATGCATGGCCATCAAGACTCTCAGGGCAGTGGTCTAGGGGCAAAAACCTGTTCTTGGTTTCCCTTAGCACTTTGTTTGAAGGTAAATGCTTAGGTATTTGCTGTTCAACAAAGGTAGAAATATGTCATACATAAAAACACTGTTTGTGAAGCACTTTGATCAGTGCTGCTGATACCAAGATTAATAAGACTCCTGCCTTCAAAGAGTTCATCTCTTTTTGGAGTAACAGACCCACAGTAGAACATTTCCTTGTTAGTGAAGAAGTTAAATAATGTGATTGAGGCCTTCAGTCCTTGTCTTCTTATCTTCACCAGCACAAGTATGTCTCCATCGCAGATGTGCAGATCAAAAATGAAGAAGAACTAGAGAAATGCCCCATGTCTTTGGTGAGCCAAGGGGGTCCTGCACAGGAGGAGGGAAGAAGGGACTCTGTCTTCAGTACTGTTACAGAGCATATATGCATGCATTGATTTAGCTTGTTGGTCTTTTTCTGAGTGTCAGGCAAGACCAAGTTTCTGCTTCCAGGCCATTTTAAAGTTTGGGAAGAAAGTAATGAACAGGGCTGGGGATATATAGCCCAGTGTGTATATAAGTAGAGTGCTTATCTAGTGTATAGAAGTCCCTGGGTTTAATCTCCAGCACCACCAAAAAAAAAAAAAAAAAAGGCTAAGAATGGATAATAATAAATAAATGAGGCTATCAGAGAATGATAGATACAATGAAGAAAATTTAAATAGGATAACATGATAGAAGCATCTATAGTAGACTACTGTAATATACAGGTATATTTTGTAGCTTTTTTTTGGGGGGGTGATGCTGGAATTTAACCCAGGGCCTTGTGTATGCAAAGCAAACCTTCTACCACCAGGCTACATCCTCAGCCCAATAGACTACTTTAGATTGGGTAGTCAGGGTAGGTAGAATAAAAGAATGCAGTCAGAGACTGGGCAGATCTGATGTTGAAAAGATGGTGTGTCTTTTTGTTTGTTTCTGTTTTCTTCATGAAGCATGGAGTAGGGTCAGAAGCCATTGAGAGATTATGGGCAAGGGGGTTTGAAGACAGGGAAGAAGTTAGGAAGTAGGCCTTTTGGGGAAGAGAAAGGCACACCTGCCAGGATTTCCAGGCTTTGTTGAATGCCCATTTAAGACTTATGTCCAGTAAGCCTTAGCTGAGTAATGTAGGATAGAAGGGGCCCAGTCACTCCACCCTGCTTCAGGGTCTCATGGCATTGATCCTTGCCCTATAACAGAGGGGCCTTCATGGAGGAGGGACTGTATTTGCCAAAGATGACACTGAGGTCTAAGCAGCCTTTTGAGTACCTGCACCCCCATTCTGATAAAGACTAAGTTAGGGTCATCAAGAGGTCAGACATGCATGAAGGGCCTGATCAGAAAGGAGAAAGTGATATTGGTAAGACTAATGAAGAGGGAAAAATTAGTTTTCATCCACCTAAAAAGCATCCTTGTTTTGTTTTCTGGCTCTCTGGCTATAGGTTACTTAACTCCCTTACTAATCCTCCCTATTGAGCCACCTACCCCACCTTTCTGCCTCGTAGAGCATTCTAGAGCTCTCCATTGATCTCAGAATGGGGTATCTTTTCCCAGGAGTATCAATAGCCTAAGTTAAACCCATGTTTATCCAGAGTGGTTCTGTGTGTGTCCAGCAAAGTAGTAGTTTGAGCCAACTCCTAGGTGGGAGTTTTGACTCTTGATCTGTCATGTGACATGGAAATAAAAATTCTAGATAAGTTGCAAATAATGAGAAAACAATATTCTTAGACTGTTGGGATAGGAAGAGGCCTCAGAAGGCATCCAGGCCAACCCACTGATCTGATTGAAGAGAAAACTAGGGCTCAGGGAGGAAAGGTCATTTATCCATGGTCATATAGCAAGTCATTAGCACAGCCAGGATAGCAACCTAGATCTGACTCCCACATTGATGCTTTTTTCATTCTGCCTCTTATAACCAAGAAAATGTGGCCTTTGGTTACCCAGAAAGTGGCCTGGATAAACTATGTGTTTCCTGCCATAGGGAGAAGAGGTGGTACCAGAAACACCATGTGAAATCCTTTACCAAGGCATGCTGTACAGCCTCCCCCAATACATGGTAAGGAGATGGCTGGGCCAGAACTGCCCTTCTCTGCTGCTAGAAAGAGACAGCTAAGAACCATTTCAGACTGAGCTATCCATCGTTTGAATTTTTTCCTGAGGCTTTGCCCCACATACAGAGCATTCTCTAATACATTAGAATTCTGAGCCTGTCTCAGAGCTCCTCTCCCTAGTCCTTCTTTGGGAGGAGTGGAGAATGAGATGGGTTCTGTATAGAATGCATTGAGGGGCCAACCTTCTAGGTAAGTACCAGAATCCTGAGATCTGCCACTATCTGTCATGTCTTAGAGATCCTCAGGCTGGGAGTGGTGATAATGCTGATGGTTTTCAGAGTTAGAGAAGGAAAAAGAAAGGCAAAGTTGGGCTTATGCCTCTTCCATCTTATTTCTGTGTGTTGCCCCTCCCACTTTACTTCTTCCATTCTCTCCTTTGGAAAGAGAAATCTTGGAGCTAAACTGTATGTAAGCTCCCTTCTGGCTTCCTCTTTAGTCTCACAGGCAAACCTCAGGACTGGTCACCTCTGCACTTCTGGATGCGGGGGAGATTTGGTCACAGAAAGAAGAACTTAAGAGAAATGCTTAAAACACTTTTCATTGTGCTGGTGAGGGGTAGAAGAAATGTGACTTCTCCTTTTCTACTTCCTAGATTGCTCTGCTTAAGATTCTCCTGGCTGCAGCCCCAACCTCCAAGGCTAAGACAGACTCTATCAATATTTTGGCCGATGTCTTGCCTGAGGAGATGCCGTGAGTACTCCCACTGGGGCAGCTGCTAGATATTATGTCTTGTCTGCAAGGCCTCTCTGTCCTACCCCACCTTATTAACACAGGGATTGTCTTCAAAGAGGTCTCTCCTTTCCCATCAGTATCCCCTTTTCCTGCAGGGCTTTCTACTGTGCTCTATTTAAAAACCCAGCACTGGGGGGTCTGATTTCAGTGCCAGTTATTGGCTGCCTGAGTATGTGGGTGGACATTGCTGAGGGATGAGTTTGCCAAAGAGAGATATGGCAACAAAGAGATCAGTGGAGCTTTTCTCCAGACAAGTTTATAAGTGGGAACTCTGGGGGTTTTCCTAGCATAGAAGTTCAAGTTTTCCAGGTTCTGGCTCTCTTGTGTATCATTGTATCTGACCCAAATCCCTGTGTTCTTATAGCCCTCCCTCCAATTGGGGCTACCTTCTACACTGACTTCTTTCTCCATTGTAGCATCACTGTTCTCCAGAGCATGAAACTAGGCATTGATGTGAATAGGCACAAGGAGATCATAGTAAAAAGTATTGCTGCCCTGCTCCTACTACTCCTCAAACACTTCAAACTCAACCATATCTACCAGGTGAGCATCTAGGAGCATTTCTCCACAGTACTTTGAGTGTTTTCCTGGCCCTGGTGAAGGACACAAGGGCCCTTATAGTCCCACTAAGCATCTTTTGACTTTTTCTTTTTCCTCATTGAGAGAACCTAGTTTTTGTTGTGTAAGCTTGGGATAAGGATATAGAGTGGGATGTGGGAAACTGCCCTAGAAAGATACAGATGTCAGTGTCCTTGGAAAGATAGCTCATGGTCATGGATAGAAATTCTTAGGAACATGCCCAGCCAGTTCTGAAACAATGTAAGTCAGAATTCAAATGTTCCACAAAAAGTGGGGGCAGTAAGTTGACTGTACTTTTCTGTATGTAAAGTAATTTGAGTTGTAATTCTGAATAAGGCACTGTTCTGATTCTTAAAGGTGCTGAAGTCTTGTAAAGAATACAGATATAAATAGCCAGTTGTAGAGTGATAAGTACTGTGATGCAGGTAAACATTAGCTGCTATGGAAATACCTAATCCAACTTGAGACAAAGAAGAGGTGACTTCTAACCTGAGTCCTGAAACAGATGTTAGTCAGTATATGGGAGTTGTCAGGGAAGGAGGACAGGAAGCAATTCAAGCAGAAAAGCTAATAGGTCCAGAGGGAAGAGAGCAAAGTTCTTATAGAAACTGTAATTAAATGTTGCTGAAGTTCTGCCTGAAATAGGGGGAGATGAACACAGCCTGATGATACATGAACCATAGGAGTTGGCAGACAGATTGTAATAAGTAGATTGCACACAATTACTGGGTACCCATAATGTGCCTGGCACCCCTAAGCTTGTGTAGGGCCTCACTTAATTCTCTCACCCCTATAAGGAAGGTCTTATTTTATTCCTGTTTTATGGGTGAAAAAAACCCACAAAATTAAGAAAAGCAAGACCCTGCTTCGTTTTCCCATGGAGGCATTGTTTGCCTTGCTAAGGAGTTTGGACTTGGTCCTGTGGGCATTACCAAGATTAGTGATAAGATGGGGGCTTCCCACCTGGGAGGCTATAGGGAGGAGAGGAAGCTCATTCTTGCCCAGAGGCTTTTTCCATTTTCCTCCTAAGAAGTCAGAATCAAGCTTGCTGATAGAAAGTAGGTCCTCGGAGTATAAGCAGGCCCCTGCAGACTTTATGACCATGGCCCTATATGACTAAAACAGAGTATCCTTCCACTTTAGTACATTCATGACATCTTTGGGTGTGATAGGGTATTCTGGTTATTTACACTTCTATTGATGTTTGCTGAGAAGCAACAGGGTTGGGAGGAATAAGAGTGGGTAAGAGATGGTATTCCCAGCAGAAAGAGAACAGAGAACTATGGATGTGTGTTTATGTCTGCTTCTTTTGGTGGGTGGTATGTAGATAAATAACTGGACTGGTGTGCAGCTTGATGGGCCTTGCCATTGTGTGTCAGTGTGGGTGAATCCTTACAGGGCCTGGACATAGCTCAACCTGAAAAAACTTTCTGCCCTTCGATAATGGATATGTGTTGGTTCCTCTGTCTGGGGCTTTGGAAAATACTCTGGGTCAGCTTCCAGGGAGAAAATATTGAGCAAAAGAGGGAAGTAGTTATGACACAAGCTTACTCCCCACTTCTGACCACATACGCAGGGACATTTTGCTTGCTGCCATTTTGCTGATGAGGCAGAGCTAGGAGATTGAAAACACAACAGTTCTCAACCCAGTTTCTGTACTGTCCCAGGTTCTAGCTTCTTCATCTGTAGAGAAATTGTTTCTGATGCTTCTCGGTATATCATAGACAAAACCCAGGGTGACTAGTCCCATAACACTGCTCTTTTGACCAATATACCTCACTAGGTCTACCTGGACACAAACGCTATCAAAGTTCAAGAAGGCAAATGGAGCCCCCATGTTCTAGTGCTTATCCCATCAAAGACATCTTGGATTTCTCAGTGCAGTGTCTGTTGGCTGAAGGGCCATTCATTCATTAAAATTCTTAACTGATATTCTAAGTACTAGGAATAATGTTGTGTACCAGACAGACTGCAGCTGGAGCCACATTCCAGTGGTTCATTTGCTTACTATGTGCTGTCTCCATCCTGATGGAGTGATGCCAGCAGTTGCCAGGAGTAAGCTGCACCTGTCCCTGCTATATCAATCACAGTTGAAATTATGAGCCAGAGGTTTGGTATGGAAAACAGCTCTCTTAGGGAGCCTTCTTTTCCTGTTGAGCTTAGGAACAAATCTCACAGTGATTCTATTTATGTGGAGTGTTTTTCGCTCTGGCTTGTTTACATTTTGCTTTTGGTCAGGAGCTTACAATACATTGCAGGTTGTCCCTCTCCATGTAGGATGGGCTGGCAGAAGATAAATGTTATCATTTCATAGAAAGGAAGACTGATAACACAAGTAGAAAGTGGATATTCTTTTTTCTTTATTCGTCTTGATTTTGTTCTGTTTTGCTTTTGGTGCTGGGGGTTGAACCCAGGGCCTCACACATGCTATACCACTGAACTGTACCCCAACCCCAATATTCTTAGGAATGGATACCAAATGTGTACTTTTCTCTTTTTTCATACATACCTTCTATTTTCCCTGAAGTCAGTAGCTCTTTCTGCTTTGATCTTTTAATTCAGTTTGAATATGTATCACAACATTTGGTATTTGCCAACTGCATCCCTTTGATCCTGAAGTTCTTCAATCAAAACATCTTATCCTACATCACTGCCAAAAACAGGTATGGACTCTTGACAGGTTTATTTCAAGGAGCTATCTTGGGGTGGTTGAAAAATCTATATCATGTCTGTACTGTTCAGTTTTCCTGGTGACCCTAGTCCCTCCTGTCTTGGAGCTGTCCCTATTAAATTTAATTCCCCTGAAGTGTTAGCTGATGTATAGTTTGGCTTCTTGTATTATAATAGTTTTGAAAACTATTGAATTATAGAAATGAAGCTGCAATGATGAAGTTTCTGTAACGAAAGGACCTGTGGCAAAGACTCAAGAGATTTTTTTTTTCCTTCACTACAACAAGCAGTCTGGCCATCTCTGATCTTTGTATAAATCATGTTGAAGCATCTGGGGCAATCACACTGCTTTGTAAACCATCAAGTGTTAAACAATAGGCCTTTATTTAGGTAGATCAATTTGTAGTTTTAAAAAAATAAGATATTTTCATATTAATTATTTCATTTAATCTCCTCAGCAGTGCTGAGAGATATTATAAGTTTATTTCTCATTAGGAGCCAAATTCAGACAGGTTAACTGACTTGATCAAGACTACAATGCTTGTGAGTTCTTAAAGTAAGCATCAGGCAGGATCAAAACAGGATTTTCTATGAATGTAGTTTGCCTTTCACCCCTTTAGTCAAGCTAGGATTGGGGAATTGCACCCTAAGTTTGCTACTTTCACGAGAATTGGAAACATGTTAGTAGAATTTACCAGAATTCCTCTACTAGAGGCTAAATTCTTAAAGTAGAAGTAAAGGGGCTGCTGTCACACTTGAGGTGACTAATGAGGGAAGGACTAGGAGAGGTTGTCTCACTAGTCTGTCATACCACCTGAATTCCTTGAGAGGCAGTTCTTGTTTGTAGTTTAAAATGCACATACACCCTCCACCACAGAGCCTGAAACCATGAGACCTGGATTCCTGACCTGGATCTGCCATTTGCTAGCCATGTAATCTTAAGCAAAATGCTTTGTTTCTCAGAGCCACATATTTGCATCTTTAAAATGAGAATACCTCCTCTAACTATATAATAGAGCTTTTTTCCCCCTTTTTTTCTTTTTGCAGTCCCAGAGATAAACCTAGAACTTCATACATGCTAGGCAAGTGCTCTACCACTAAGCTACAGCCCAGCTCCATAGAGCTTTTTTAAAGAAAATATTTTTAGCTGTATATGAACACAATATTTTTATTTTACTTTTTTTTATATACTGCTGAGAATCAAACCTAGTGCTTCACACATACTAAGCAAGTGCTCTATCATTGAGCCATAACCCCCCCACAGAGCTTTAATAAGCATTAAGATTAGTGTATATGAAAGTGCTGCTTTAAATATTGTTGCTTTGGGGGGAAACACTGGAGAATGAGTTTTGTTCTAATTACATGGAGACCTCTGCTCTGGTCTTTTTAAAAATGGTACTTAAGATATTCTTGTGGGTTATCAGGGAAAATGAAAGTGTAGATTGGGCTGTGTCAGTGCCACAAATGCATGAGGGCACCTATGTATATCAGTCAAAACTCTTGGTTATAAGTAATCCATTCCAACTAGACTAGACTCATGCATAATAAGGAGTTTATTAGAAGAAAACAAGAGGTGTTATCTTGAGGAACCTAAGTCAGGGCTGGGGATGTGGCTCAGTGATAGAGCTCTTGCCTAGCAAGGCCCCAAGTTATATCCCAAGAACCACAAAAATATATTTAAAAGTAAAAAAGGAACCTAAGGCAGGAATGGAGCTTTGGGGCTGTGGTTTGGTCTATAGTGTGGTGAGCCCAGGAAAACTTGTACCTCCATCTGTGGACATGAGGGCTATACTCCATTCAGACTCTCTCACTGATAGATTTGTCTATCTACTGCTCAGATGACTTGGTGATATATGCCCACATGAGCTGAACATGTCACAATGCCATCTCAGAGACTGAATGGACTTTCAATCCTTATTCAAGATTGCCAGGGTTAGAGATCTAACTATGGCTGGGGAAGTATAGAACCTGAATGTCCCCTCCCCAAGTCCATGGGCCTGAAAAGAAGAGGTAGACAATCTACAAGGTATCCAATCAGGTTCTTTTATAATTCAAAGAATGGTAGTCACAGTCTACAGCTTTTGCTTAGGTTACCCTAGACAAAATGGTCCTTTGGTGTAAAACCTATATGTTTTATTTTAAATGATCCCTTAGAATTTAGAACACCCACAGCTCATCATTGAACAGTTCTCTTATGGCTCTTTCAATCTAGATATTCTAGATGCTTGTAAGTTTCTTTGATATTCCCTTAGGCTAGAATTCTATTCAGTGAGAGATTAGAAATAAATTGCATCTTTGATTTCCTGCCCCCACTTCCTAATCACCAGCACCTATTCTGCCATGGGGCTTTGTCAGTGGAGCTAGTTAGACAGGTAGATGAATGTTTATCCTAATAGGGCAATACAGAACTGGAAACTCTGGGAGAATCCAGAAGAGTGAATCAAGATGACAGATAGATTCACTGCTCTTTTCCTCCCCTCTCCTACCTTGCCTCTCCTAGGTTATTTTGGCCTAGATTTTTAAAGATAATGATAAATATTTCCAACCAAATAAGTTGTTTCCTTTTTTATATATGATTTGACCTTTGATGTGTGGAGGCAGGTCTAAGAAACCCCATATTTATATTTCTTATCCCCTGCTTTGCCAACATCCTTTCTCATTTTGAACTGCACTTACTCAGATAGATTGGTGTTTAAAACCACCTTGAATATCAGATTGAGCATCAGAGCCAGGTGCAGTGGCACACACCTGTAATCCCAGTGGCTCAGGAGGCTGAGGCAGGAGGATCAAAAATTCAAGGCCAGCCTCAGCAATTTAATGAAGCCCTAAGTAACTTAAGTGAGACCCTCTCTCTAAATGAAATATAAATAGGGCTGGGGATGTGGCTAAGCACCCTTAGATTCAATCCCTAGTACCAAAGAGAGAGAGAGAGAGAGAGAGAGAGAGAGAGAAAGAGAGAGAGAGAGAGAGAAACACACATACCCAAATTCTGCATTATACCAGTGGAGGGAGAAAAGGAAAGAAATAGAACAGTCATTTGTTGAGTGACTATCCTTCTGTCATCATGTGGTGACTTATTTTCCTTCCTGCCTCATGCCTGCTTCCCAGGCTCACCAAAGAGCCTGTAGTTTTCTTGCAGTTCCCCACTGTTGATTTTAGGAACAGATGCTCTTACCATTATTGATCTATTTGACTGGCCCTGCTGCAGGAAGCTGCCCTTGCCTCAATCTTCCTTTAGGAGTGATGTCTATAGTCATTCCCTAGAGCTCCTGGCTTTCAGAAAGATCTGGTGAGAGACATTAGAGAAGTTTTCATTTCATCCTCACATCCTCAGATTGTTATTTAGCGAGATGGGTTTGGGCAGCGTCTCTGGGAGCAATTATATTCATGTATGCATTTAAATGCAGAGGCACAAGTGCGCTCAAGTTTACTTATTCCTTAAAGAAGCAAAGAGAGCTAAGAAAAGAGACTCCCTTTCTGCTTTAACTCTACATCTGCTAGATAGGGCCAGCCTGAAAAAAATTCCTTGGTTATTCTCATGACTAAGGAGAGAAAACTGGAGGTGGGGTTTCCAATACCAGTGCCCTCAGTTCCACCTGAGGTCACTAAGCAATTTTGGAAATGGATGGAGCCTGTTGGAGAAAAATAACTCCTGCCCTTTTCAGATGTAGCCATTTCCTGCTGTTGCCATTTACCTAAATCCTGTCCTTATCTCTGTATCTTACAGCATCTCAGTCCTGGATTATCCCGGCTGTACCATCCAGGATTTGCCAGAGCTCACTACCGAAAGTCTGGTAAGCCTATGGGGATTTAGTAGCCTTTGAAATTTCCAGGTGGCAAAAGCTGGCATTTGCTCTTTCATTTCTTCTCCAGTCCCATAATGTCCTAGTTTGGGAGTCTCAGATCAATGAAGGCAAGTGTGTAGAGGCTGTAGGGGTTTAAGAGCTGCTGACCCAGTTGAGAATGATTTGGAAACGCTGAGCTTAGCATTTTTTTAGAGAAAAGAGCCAGTGAAAAACACTGAGGAGGAGAAGGAATTTAGAAAGATAATGGGACTGAAATTCAATGTGAACATCTATGCTAAATGGCAGAATTTCTACTGAGCACAATTATCTTCTTTCTGCTATAGCCCATTTGCTTCTCATTTTCATATTAGTTATAAAAATCAGGGCATGTACTTCAGAAAATACCTTGCCTCTCTGAGGCAAAAGTCAGTATAGCCATAGAAGGATATCCCAGAAAGTTCCTCATTCTGGAAAGAGCTCTAGGCTAATCAGAAAAGTTCCTCTGAGTTATTCTGAATTCCCTGCAACTGACTGACCAAAAAGTATATTTAAAGATAAGTTGTCTACTTCATCATTTATTGCCACAGTTCTTTAGAATACTATAGTCCATAACCTTATCCTATTGCATTGTAATTACTTATCTGCAACTTTCTCAATTTGATGGTAAACTTCTTGATGGGGGGATAACACCATCTTTATTTTTATGTCCCTAGAATCTAGCACTATGTCTGGTACATTGAACACTTCAACAAATGCTAAATGATTGAATAATGGTACCCATGGGTGCTACAACCCTTTTTCCCCCCAATTTTAATACCTGAAAAATGTTGAGTCAAATAAGTGTATTATGCAAAAATATATTTCTGTGGTACAGGTTTTATGACCCTTAGGAGTTTTGCCTGGAGGGAACCTAAGAGCCACTGACCCAATTCCCTTATATTTCAAAGATAAGAAAACTGAGTTCCCAGTAGATGAAACTGTCTGCTCATAGAGTACACTCCTCACAGCTAACAGACCCCAAATTAGACCTGAGATTAAAGACCCTGAGGATACCAATCTAGCATATTTTTGCCACCAGTACAGAGATTCCCTGTCTTATTTAGATGTGGTCTCGGCAGCTGGAAAAACTGGAAACTTTTTACTCCTACAGAGAAATAACAAATTGTCTAAACAGCTTATTTACATGATTATATTCAATCTTTAAAACAACTCTATGAGTTTGATATTACTATTTTGTAAATGGAGAACTAACTGCCAAGACATTACAGTGGGAAATAGCAGTCAGGATAAAGACATGCATCCCTGCCATTCATAGTTGAATGAAGGATACATTTTATACAAAAATAGTGGTACACAATAGCAATAAAATTCTGTTAGTAGAGTATTTCAGAACAAAAAGCCAGTTTTTAGGCTTGAATTTTATTCTTTGATACCATTCCAGCTGTGTTGATTCATTTACAGAAATTGATGAGAACTATATTTTCACATCAATTGCAACTGACCTTTTGGAATATGAGCATAAAATTATCGAAATGATTATTATGCCTTCTTAAAGACTTTATTATTATCCAAGAGTAGGTGAAAGCATGAGGCATGTATCCTTTTTTTTTTTTTCCTAGCAGTATTAGGGATTGAACCCATAGGTGCTCTACCACTGAGTTATATCCCTAGCCCTTTTAATTGGGGGGGGGGGCTGGGTACTGGAGACTGAACTCGGGGGGCACTTGACCACTGAGCCACACCCCCAGCCCTATTTCATACTTTATTTAGAGACAGGATCTTACTGAGTTGCTTAGGGCCTTGCCATTGCTGGGGCTGGCTTTGAACTCGAGACCCTTCTGTCTTTGCTTCCCAAGCCATTGGGATTACAGGTGTGCACCACCACACCCGGCTCCTAGCCCTTTTAATTTTTAATTTTGAGATGGGATCTTGCTAAACTGCCCAAACTGGCCTCAAATTTCCAATCCTCCCACCTCAGCCTCCCAAGTAGCTAGGATTATAGGCCTGTATCACCACACCTGGCCATTGATCCTTCTTAATTAAGAAAAAAAAAAAGTCATGCTAGTCCTTTCTGTGGAACAATAGTGGCACCTGGTGGTTTTGTTTAATAACCACAGACTTTTTTCTTCTTTTTTTTTTTTAAATTTTTTTATTAATTAATTTATTTATTTTAATTAGGTATATATGACAGCAGAAGGCATTTTGACTCACTGTACACAATTGCAGCACAACTTTTCATTTCTCTGTACACAACATAGCATTGCACCGTATGTGCAGTCATACATGTACCTAGGGTAATGATGTCCATCTCATTCCACTATCTTTCCTGCTCTTTTTCTCTTGAATATACATTGCAAGTATATTCCCTGTGCCCAGTCATGGCCTTCATTGATTAACAAGTTTACCCACATGGGATCTCAATATAATGATTTATCTAAACTGACAACTTCTGTACTCAGAAAAAACGCTGATGTTTATAAGAGTAAAATTTTATCTCTTTTTAAGTCTTAACAAATTGAAAGCACAGAAAATGTACTGGCTATTTAAGTATAGGTTTTATTTTAAACAATATCTCAAGCATATAGATACATTATTTTTTTGAAAAATAAGGATTTTATATAGTTGTTTCACTTGTCATAGTAAAATTTGTGTTCACAATATGACTTTATTAAACATTTTTTTGGTGGTGCTTGTGATCAAACCCAGGGCTTCATGCATGCTAAGCAGGTTCTCTACAACTGAGCTATATACTTCAGCCCCCTTAAACATTCTTGAGAACATAATTATTAATTATACTCCACTACTTGTTTTTTTAAAATACTTCTTTTTTACTATTGGACATTTATCTCAGTTTTCCCTATCTAACCTCAAACAAATATCCTTTCATATTTTTCTGATTATTTCCCTAAAAGAGACTCCTAGAAATAGAGTTACTAGGCTAAGGTAGTCTTGGTTCATATTTTTATGTTTTCTGAATTTTAATTGAATTCAATTCAGTTTCATTTGGAACTCCAGCTGCATAGCATGGTGGACATGAAATAGTTAATGGCATATTATTTCTGAATTCTTTCCATTCTGTCAGAAGGGTTAGCTTTAGAATAGGTCATCCTCACCCATGTAGGAGGAATTAAGGTTCCTGGATCTCCATTGTCTGTATTCAAATTCAATAGGTAGGACAAAATTAAATTTCAAATCTAAACTTAAATGAAGGACAGTGGATATATGATTATGGGGAAGTTAGGTGTGGCTGTAAAAGGCAGTGGATATAGCCCAGCCTGTCAGATGCTCAACATCTGGATGGTTGTTTAGAGCGGTGGCACAAATTGATGTTTTGGGGGATAGTAGATCGTTTATATATATTAATGTCTTTTTTATTTCTTTATATATACATTATAATGTAATGTTATTATAATGATGCATTTATAATGTATGAGCCAACATAGATATATGTGGGAGTACACAAAGATTATTTTATGGTAGGTATGTGCAATAACAATGTTTAAAGAACACTGCTTTAGAGTATTGTGAAATGTGGGCAAGTTTTTAGGTCAGTTTTCTTTGTGGGCCTGTAAGACCTAAAGAGAAATCATGCAGCCAGGCATGGTGGTGCATGCCTGTAATCCCAGCAACTCAGTAGGCTGAGTCAAGAGTACTGCAAGTTTGAGGCCAGTCTCCACAATTTAGTGAGGCCCTAAGCAACTTAGTGAGATCCTTAGTGAGATCAGAAAAATATGAAAGGATATTTGTTTGAGGTTAGATGAGAAAAACTGAGATAAATGTCCAATGGTAAAAGAGAAGTATTTAAAAAAATAAGTAGTAGAGTATAAAAAGGGTTGGGGATGTAGCTCAGCAATCCTCCTGCCTTAGCCTATTGAGTAACTGAGATCATAAGCATGTACTACCACACCTGGTTTCATTCTTCTCCTTTCTAACAGATTTGGGCAAAGAAAATGTGAAAAAGTATTTGTGCATCTATTGTCACTGCTACAAAGCTGACCTGAAGTTCCAAATGATTATTCCCTCCCATGCTATAGAATGTCATTTAAAATATCAGTATCACATACAGAGGAGGACATGTTTTGAATAGTATGGGTATTCAAGCTGTCCACATGTAGATTCAGGAGAAGGAATGAGGAAAAGGTAGTATTTATGGAATCATGCAGTACCAGAGTTAGAAGTTTCTTGGTCCCTATCTTGCCCAATGCCACCCTTTAGTGATGAGGAAACAGAGTGGTGAACTGATGTTGAAAGCCTTATTAAGGGCTACACAGTCAGTCAACAGTGGATCAGAAATTGCATGACTAGCCATTTGCAAAGAAATATTTGACATTTCCTTTCAGATCTAAGCAAGTGAAATTATTAAGTTAATTTTTAAAACGTAGGTCATCAAAATTGTTCAAATTTGGATTTAATATCTTTTCAGAAAAACTTATAGAAATATGTTCACACCACTTAAAATTATATACTGAATCCTTTCATCAACCTTATTGAATTTAGTTTTTATAACTTCCTAATCCAGATATTTCCAGACACCTCAGATTTCTGTTGTTTTTGGTTTTCTTTTCTTTTTTAAAATATTTTTTTAGTTTTTTATAATTGGATACAATACTTTTATTTTATTTATTTTTATGTGGTGCTGAGGATTGAACCCAATGCCTCACACGTGCTAGGTGAGCCCTCTACCGCTGAGCCACAACCCCAGCTCCTGTTTTGGTTTTCTTTTTGGAATGTAAATAATCATTATGTTCAAACACTAAGTTCTATAACATTCCTTTAAGGCATTATTAACCAATGATTTATGACCTTGATTTAAAATAAAGTCTTTATTCTACTATTCACCATCACTATTTAAAACCAATGATACCTTTAGCATTATTGTTTTTCTATCACAGATAAAAATATATCATATTTCGCACTCAGAGCCTTGCTTTAAAAGTTCAGCCTGATCATAGGCTGACTGAACTCAAGTCTGATGTTACACTTTTTAAGCAGGAAACCTGTTTTTTGTTATTAGTTTTTGTGGGGGTTTTTGAGGAGATTAGAATTATCCACATAATTTTTTTGTTTTGTTTTTGCAGTGCTGCAAATTAAACCCAGAACTTCACACATACTATATTTGATATATACCACAAAGTATATATCAATTTTCCATGAATTATTTATACAGAGAAAGAACCATGGATTAAAAGAAAATTTAGCATTTTATCAATTTTCCTGTTGGTCACTATTTCTATAATGGATTCTTGGGGAGATTAGAATCTCTGGGGTGATTTTCCAAACTCACATGCATACATCCCTTCCAAGGCACATGTAGTTCACTAAAGTACCCAGAAGGATCTTGAAATTTTCTTCTTTCTTACCTATTAACTCCACTTGAGAACCATTATTCTCTTTTATGATACTAGATCTAGGTCCTTAAATCTAGCCGTAATCTGTCAGAAACCCATATGATAAGAGAATTATTCTATAATGATGTGGAAAAGAAAATCTAAAATAAAAAATATGACTTTGTTTTGAGAGTTATATGAGCCATAATAAAGAAATTGATCAAAGAATCATTTGCTGAGAAAAGCTATTGTGAATTTGCAGTCATTGAATATTAAATCTAGCAATTTTTTGTAATAGTTTCAAATAAATGCAAGGATGACAGACATGATAACCTGAAGCACAAAACAAAGAATTAGTAGCTGGAAATATATAAAAGACAGACAGATCTGTTTTTGCCATGAAGGGATCTTGAGCAGGTTTCTATAGATTATAGGATTTTCATCAGTTGAAGGGGAGGGATTGGGTCATTAGATGAACATTTGACTTTCCTATAGCTATAAAATTCTCCTACATTCATTAGAAAACAAATTAATATCAATAACTTTGATTTTTCAATGCAGAGCTGGTTTGTAATTAGAAAGTAAGAATCATCACTTACAGACTTCAATAAGCTATTGAGGAGTTCCAGATATATCGGATTTCACAGTCAGAGCCCTGCTTTAAAAGTTCAGTCTGATCATAGGCTGACTGAACTCAAGTCTGATGTTACGCTTTTTAAGCAGGAAACCTTACTGTTTTTTATTATTAGTTTTTGTGGGGTTTTTTGAAGAGATTAGAATTATCCACATAATTGGTTTTTTGCAGTGCTGCAGATTGAACCCAGAACTTCACACATACTAGGCAAGTACTCTATCAGTGAGCTACACCCAGCTCTTGTTGTTTTTCATGGACACAGTTATCTTCTGCTGGAATTGTAGCAGGATATCAGAAGGGTTTTCTCTACCCTCTGGTCTTCAGGAAGCTCAGAAAGCAATGTAACTAGAAGTTGAACAGAAAACAATCTTCAGATTCAATAGAGATTAGGCACTTATGGTTGAGCACTCATGTGTGACCTTGTACAAGCCCCTTCTCTCTTGGCCTTAATGTTTGCTTCTATGGATGACAGAATTGGACTAGAATAGCTAAATCCCTTCTAGTGTTCAGATTTTGACCAAACTGATTCCATCAGTCCAAAAAGAAGAAAACATTCTGTTCTTGATGATCTGTCTTACTTATCCACATAATTGGTGTCGCCTGGGTTTTTATTTGGCTTTGCTCACTCAGCTAGGATCTTTCAGAACAGAACCCTGGTAATGCATCTTGGAGATCTTCTGATAGGGTATAATGTGATGTCCCTGAAATGAATCCTTAGACTCAAGGTATATTACCAAACAAATAACTTATTTGTGATTGTGGAACATGGGCAAATGTTTTTGTTTTGGGGACTGGGGATCAAACCTAGGGGCTCTCTACCACTGAATTATATCTCCAACTCTTTTTATTTTTTGAGACAGGGTCTTGCTAAGTTGCTGAGGTTGTTCTCAAACCTGCGATCTTCCTACCTCCTGATTAGTTGGGATTATAGGCATGTGCCACCACGCCCAGCTTCTCCTGGGACTAGTTCTAAGCACAATATTAAACATTTATTATAGGAAGAATATTATTTCTAAATACTATTTATAAAGTTTTTGAGAAACTTTTTGACTCTCGATATTAGGAATTAGGAAAGACTAATACCCTCAAAACTCTTGGATGTTCATTCTACATTAGATGTATGCCTGTCTTGCTGGCATCAAATTAATCTAGGGGAGGAGGAGGTAATTTTATGGTTGCCAGACAATAGCTCACTTCTACATATATACACCTCCCTATTCTTGCATTCTCCTGTCACATTGTAGACTTGAGGAATTTCCAAGATTTTGGTTTGGCCATTGTGCATGCTGGGGACCAGACCCAGGGTTTTGCACATAAAAGGCAAGTGCCCTACCACTGAGCTATACCCCCATCTCAGCTGAGTAGGTTTCCAAGTGAAGGATATTATGTGCTCTGAGATTTCTTAAGTGTGTAAAGAGCATGAAGATAAGGAGGTAGCATTCCATATTGGAAACCCTAACCTAAACTGATCAACAGTGATTTGCAGGCCTCTAAGGGTATTACAAACCTTGTGTTGAGATAATGATGGATGTTCTTTATTTCAGGAAGCTGGAGACAACAACCAGTTCTGCTGGAGAAATCTCTTTTCTTGCATCAACCTCCTGAGGCTACTCAATAAACTGACCAAATGGAAACATTCCAGGACCATGGTGAGTGGGGCTTTAGATCACAGAAGTATCTATCTGACTGAATTTTTTAATCATTAATAAGTATTTATGCACAACCTGCTTTATGAGATCTTAGACACTGGATGCTACATAAGTTTCATCACCTAATTCTGGGTGCTTATTCAAAATAAAATGATTGTTCACCAGGGAACTGAATATGGACATTCCTTTAGGGTTGGTAGTTCACACATTCCAAATGATTCAAATGTAACATTACTCATTAAGGCATTGCTGGTAATAACCAAAGATTGGAAATATTACTGGCTCTTTGGGTATTTGTGATCTTTATCAAAAGAATCAAATAAAGGAACATTAGCCCTGGAACGAGGCTTTGTATTCTCATGTTCAATCAGAAGGAAAGTAGCACTTGGGAGACACAAATCCCAGGTTAACCTCCAACAAAGGAAAAAGATCTATAGGGTAGGCAGGGACCCAGTCTCTCAATATCATGTCTCATTCCCTCCTTAAGTCTTCACTAAAGTGTGAGTTTTACTATGCAAATAAAGCAAAGGCAACATATGTTACTTTAGTGACTATTTAACACATGCATTTGTCTCTTACCTCCTGGAATTTTTTCCTTATCACCTGAGAAAGTTTCTAAGTGGTTTTTGGAGCAGGACAGATCATTTACCTGCCTCAGTGAATTTGATTTTAAACATCTTGTTTTTCTTCACTCTGTTTTTGGTACATCTGCCAACCATATAGTTGGCTGAGGTGACTTTCCAACCTCCTGTCTCCTGGTGTGTTATTTTAATTTTATAGCATTAAAGACTGGTATGTTTTTTAACTCCCAATATTGTGTTATGTTTGTTAACCCCCTAAAACTACAAAGCTAACTTAGCTGTCTCAGAAACAATCTAAATGCCCATTAATGTAGGACCCAACTGAAATGATGGTAAGTATTTATATAACCATTAAAAAGAATGAGGCAGTGTTATACTGGTATGGAATAATTTTTAGGTTATTTTGTAAAATAAAAACAAAGATATGAAATAGTATGATAGGATACTGTTGATAGTTGCCTCTCATTAGTATTAGAAAAACAAAAGTAACATGTTATACATAGAATTATCTTCAGGATATATACAAAAAACTGGTAACAGTGAAATGGGGTTTATGGCAGACAAAACTTCTTTTGCCATGCCCTTTGAATATTAGAAACTTTAGAATGATTCCTCTGTATTCTTTTTTAAATATTTTTATTTGTTCTAATTAGTTATATGTGACAGTAGAATGCATTTTTTAGAGCGAGAGAGAGAATTTTTTAATATTTATTTTATAGTTTTCGGTGGACACAACATCTCTATTTTTATGTGGTGCTGAGGATCAAACTCAGCGGCCCACACATGCCAGGTGAGCACGCTACCACTTGAGCCATATCCCCAGCCCCATAGAATGCATTTTTGACTCATCATACATAAATGGAGTATAACTTTTCATTTGTCTTATTGTACATGATGTAGAATTACACAGGTCATGTAATCAGACACGTACATAAGGAAATAATGTCCAATTCATTCCACTATCATCCCTACCTCTGTGCCCCCTCTCCTCCCCCCAATCCCCTCTCTCTAGTCCAAAATACCTCTATTCTCCCCACCCACTTATTGTGAATTAGCATCCACAAATCAGAGAGAATATTAGGCCTTTGGTTCTTTAGGATTGACTTATTTTACTTAGCATAATATTCTCCAGTTCCATCCATTTACCTGCAAATGCCATAATTTCATTCTTCTTTAAGGTTGAGTAATATTCCATTGTGTATATATACCACAGTTTCTTTCATCTGTTGAGGGGCACCTGGCTTGGTTCCATAGTTTAGTTATTGTGAATTGAGCTGCTATAAACATTGATATGGCATGTCACTATAGTATGCTGATTTTAAGTCCTTTGGGTATACCAAGGAGTGGGATGACTGGGTCAAATGGTGGTTCCATTCCAAGTTTTCTTGGGTGATTCCTGTATATTCATTTTAAAAGACACATTCTTTATATATATAAAATATATAATGTGTGTATATATGTGTGTGTGTATATACCTTTATTTACCTTTATTTTTTTAATATGGTGCTGGAGATAGAACCCAGTGCCTCATTCATGTTAGGCAAGCACTCTGAGCCACAAGTCTAGCCCTCTATATTCTTTTTTTTTAATTGTAGTTGGACAAAATACCTTTATTTATTTGTTTCTACGTGGTGTTAAGGATCAAACCCAGGGCCTCGCATGTGGTAGGCAAACGCTCTACCGCTGAGCCATAACCCCAGCCTCAAGCTCTCTATATTCTTGAAGACTAAATCTTAGGGTCTAGACCTTATATTCCCAATAGCTCCCCAAGGCTTTCTTAGGTTTAATTTGTCAGTTGGAAATTCCAAGAAACTTTATATCTTTATAAAGTTCATATCTTTTTCCTTTATATCTTTATATCTTTTTCTTTTCTTTACCCCCACCCCCTTTCATTGGACAGATGCTGGTGGTGTTTAAATCAGCACCAATCTTAAAACGGGCCCTCAAAGTCAAACAGGCCATGCTGCAACTTTATGTCTTGAAGCTGCTAAAGATACAGACCAAGTACCTGGGGCGCCAGTGGAGGAAAAGCAACATGAAAACCATGTCAGCCATTTACCAGAAAGTGCGTCACCGCATGAACGATGACTGGGCTTATGGGAATGGTGAGTATTCTCAAAGCTGTTGACTTCCAGGAGATGCCCAGGATTTAAATAAACTAAATAAACATTTGTCTCTACTCTTTTGGCATGAATTGTTACATATTTTAGATGAGAAAATAGGTCAGAGGCTGATACACCAAACTTTTTTAACGCCCCACACTCTAGTTTGTACCTTGTTCTATATGAACTATGAAAACGTATTTGATAAAAGAAGTAAATTGATATTTCAGAAAAGCTAGAAGAGAGTTAGGGCTGTAGCTCAGTGGTAGGGCATTTGCTTAGCATATATAAGGCCCAAGGTTCAATCCCCAGTACTGCAAAAAAATAAGAAAAAAGGGAAAAAGATAAAAGAAGGAAGGAAAGAGAAAAAAGGACAAAGAATATTGAATATTTTTACCACAAAGAAATGAAAAATGTTTGAGGAGATATACTTACCTTGATCTGAAAAATTATACAACATGTACATGTGTTGAACTATCATATGGTATGATAAGTAGCTTATTATAAAGTATATGTATCTTTTTTCCAATTTTTATCTATTTGGGGGGAAAAAAGCAAGTAAATTGAGAGAAACACTCCTTTCCAAATGTTCCTTTCAATGATCTTTTCTTCAAAAGATATTTTTAAATTTAATTAATTTTTTTTCAGTACTGGGAAATGAACTCAGGATACTACCCCACCCAGCTACATCCCCAGCCCTTTTTATTTTTTATTTTGAGACAGGGTCTTACTTACTTGTCGAGTCGAGGCTGGCCTTGAACTTGTAATCTTCCTGCCTGAGCTTCCCAAGTACCTGGGATTACAGGCATACACTACACACCTGGCTTATGACTTTTTTTATTATTACAAAGCAGTTAGAAAAAAAAATAAAATACAATAAAACATTTTACTATACCCTTGAATATACATCATATTTGTACCACAATAGGTTGCCATTGTTGACATTGTATGTTCTTCCAGATCCTTTTCTATGTATATTTCATTAAAAAGAAAGTAAATAGTATATGCTTCTTTATAATCTCTTTTTAGTTAACATTACCTCTCTTTTTAAAAATTTTATTTGTTTTATGTGGGTGCTGAGGATCAGACCAATGCCTCATATGTGTTAGGCAAGTGCTCTACCACTGAGCTACAACCCCAGCCCCAACTCTATCTTTTCATACCAATATATTTTCTTTTTTTTTCCAATAATCAAGTCCATATTCATAATTCTTACATTGTCCCAAAGTGTTCTTTTTAAATATATATAAATATATATATATATTAGTTGTAGATGGACAGAATACCTTTATTATTATTTTTCTATGTGGTGCTGAGGATCAAACCTAGTGCCTCACACATGCTAGGCAAGTGCTGTATCACTGAGCCACAACCCAGCCCCGCAAAGTGTTCTTTTTTTTTTTTTTTAATAAAAATTTTAACATGGTCCATGTAAATACTCAACGGTCAGAATCACCCACAAGGTATTCTTTATCGCTGTTTTTCCCAAGTCAGAATCTTATTCACAATCTCAAATTGCATCAGGCTATTATATATGTTAATTCATTTTTAATATAGCAGTCTTCTTTCCTCCATAACATTAACTAGACCAATTGTCTTGAAGTACCATTTACCTTATTTCTTTATCCATGTCATTACCTGTATGCTGAAAGTTAGATCTTAAGGTTTGGTAAATTCAATTTAAACTTGTGTGGCTATCATACCTCCAAGCCAATGTTGGAAACTGACATATAGACTGATATCAGGAGGCATAATATCTGGTTGAGCAATCAGAACTTATACTAAGACTGAATGGAGTTTGGAAAAATGTTATTTGGGAGAGTTTTTCCCCCCATGGTATTGCATTTGGTGTAGTGGGATATAACCATTATTTCCATAATTGTATTTAAGAGTTTTTATACCAGGCATAGTTTTGCACATCTATAATCCCAGATACTCTGTAGGATAAGGCAGGAAGTTTACAAGTTCAATGCCACTCTGTCTCAAAATAAAAATAAAAGGGGGTTCAGTGGTAAAGCACTCCTGAGTTCACATCGCAATACAAAACACACCAAAAACAAACAAACAAAAAAACTTTAGTAAGGTGATAAATAACTTATTTTTTCTGGAATTTGCAAGCTGCTTAAATTTTAGAGGTTGATGCAATAAAGAACTCAGAGAACTAAGGGAAGCATTTGGGTATATATTGCTGGTATATGACAAGCCAGCATGTAACTTCTACTGTAAGACATAAAGTGCAATTTGTTATATAAGTTCTTATGCATTTATTTTAATATTTATTTTTTAGGTGTAGATGGACACAACACAGTGCCTTTATTTTTATGTGGTGCTGAGGATTGAACCTGGGTCCCACCCGTGCTAGGCGAGCGCTCTACCACTGAGCCACAATCCTAGCCCTTCTTATGCATTTTTAAAGCATAAAATTTTTTTAGTTGTAGATGAACACAATTCTTTTATTTTTATGTGGTGCTGAGGATTGAACCCAGTGCTTCACCCATACTGGACAAGTACTCTACCACTGAGCTAAAACCCCAGCCCAAAGCATAAAAATGTTTTATCCTAAAAATGACATACTTCTGGTTGCTGCCCTTATGAACTCAAACACAAACTTTTTTTATCACTTTTTGTGATAAATCATTGAATAGGCTGTTTGGAGTAGTAGTGCACACCTGTAATCTGAGAGAATCCAAGTTTGAGGCCAGCTTCAGCAATATAGTGAGATCCTGTCCCAAAATAAAAACTAAAAAGAGCTGGGGATATAACTCATTGTGAAGTACCTCTGGGTTCAATACCCATTAATTGGAAAGACAAAAAAAACTACTGAATGTAGTACATAAGAAATTTGTGAAATTTCTATCTCTAGCCCTGAAAAATGAAAGCAAATCAGATTATGTTTTCTGCTTTTACTTCCATGGACATCTTCATAATCTTAAAATAAGGTGACACCAATTTGTCATGTGCTAGGGGAGATTTCAAGGAATTGAGAAAGTCTTAATAATTGGTCCATTTATTTTTATTTATTATTTATTTATTTTTTTTGTGGGGAGCCGGGTGATGGTGAGGATTAGACCCAGGGTTCAGGCTAAGAATGTGCTCTACCACTGAGCTACACCTGCAGCCCATTCTCATTCTCCATGTCCACTCCTCTTGTTCTCTTGAGAGCTGATGACTGCATTCAAATAGGAAACTCTTATTCCTTACCCTAGGAAAGCTCAATAATGGATATTTAATTATCTTTTTGGAAAACATAGTATATAACTAACTAGTAAGAAAGGAGAATAAAGAGGGACTGGAGTTGTGGCTCAGAGGTAGAGTGCTTGCCTAGCACGTGCAGGGCCCTGGGTTTGATCCTCAGCACCACATAAAAATAAATGAAATAAAGGCATTGTGTCCAAATACAACTAAAAATATTTTTTTTAAAGAAAGTAGGATAAAGAAAAGGAAATATAAGCCAGGTTGCTAATCCCAACTACTTGGGAGACTGAGGCAGGAGGATTGCAAGTTTGAGAACCCAGCAATTTAGCAAGGCCTGTCTTGAAATAAAATTCTTAAAAAGGGCTAGAGACATTGCTCAGTATCAGAGCCCCTATCTAGTATGCATGAAGCCCTAAAAAAAAAAAAAAAAAAAAACAGAAAAGAAAAAAGAAAAAGAGAGGAAGGAAAGAGTCCACCTCCTTCAGAGCCCTTGTTTTCTTTTTCAGAGGTAACTACTGTACACAATTTCAAGACTACCCTTTCTGTATATACAAACTTAAGTTGGAGGGCATATGTGTATCTTCTAAGCCTAAATGTCAGCATGCTATATATTTAATTTGTACATTGTTCTTTATAAAAGAGTTCTGAGCAGTTTCACTGATGGAATCCCGTAGACCATGCTCTATAGAAGAGAAGTGGTGTCTTGGTGGTATACTTCTTTTATTCCTTTCTTCTCAATGCAGACATTGATGCCAGGCCATGGGACTTCCAAGCAGAAGAATGCACCTTGAGAGCCAACATCGAGGCTTTTAACAGCCGCCGATATGACAAACCCCAGGACTCTGAATTTTCACCTGTTGATAACTGCTTACAGAGTGTTCTGGGGCAGAGGTTGGATCTTCCAGAAGATTTCCACTATTCCTATGAGCTGTGGCTGGAGAGAGAGGTGTTTTCACAGCCGATCTGTTGGGAGGAACTGCTCCAAAATCACTGACTGAGCTCTTATCGACAAAGCATCTGATAGATGGAGGTTGGCTCCAAATAAATGGTGCTCTGCCCATTTAGCCTTTGTTTCTGGCTCTAGGATGCATGTCAAGGGAGCATCTGGCCCATACCTGAGGCAGCCAGCATAGTTCAGGGCTATTCTGGAGGAAGTTTAGCCTGGAAATGGCTCCTGAGTCACAACAAACTGATCTGCTTGCCCTAACATCAGCCTTGGAAATCTCTTGGTGGATTTTTGATGAGACCTGCTTTAGTCTTGCCTAGAACCAGGCTAACCTTTGCTGGCCCTAAGAATGAGAGGAAATTTGTTATGGTATTTGATCCATGGCATTTATCATAGGTAGTGGAACAGGAGCAAGTCACAAATAAGAAGAAAGTGCTGGGTGCAGTAGCACATGCCTGAAATCCCAGCTGCTCAGAAGACTGAAGCAGGAGGAATGCCTGGACAATTTAATGAAACCCTGTCTCAATTTTTTTAAAAAAAAAGGGCTAGGGGTATAGCTCAGTGGTAGAGCCTTGCCTAGCAAGCACAAACTCTGGGTTTAATTCCTGGTACCACTAAAAAAATTTAAAAAATTAAAAAAACTAGGTGAAACCAACTTTAAGACTGCATTTTACATTTAAAATTTGGACACTTCTTTCTAAAATCATTAGTTCTAAGATGATTTTAGAGCACCTGCACCTTTTTGCGAAGGATGATGATTTACTATTCCCTAAACATTGCATGTTATAAAAGAGTGTATTGTGTAGAGTGGTTCTTTTATTTTGTAAGAGAGCTATGTTCAATGTGAAAATTATTTCCTTGTATACTCTGTATGGGGCATGGAGTGCTTTGCCATTTGTAAACAGCCATAGTCAATATGAAATGATCAGGCCTTCTTTAAGGATGTTTCATGTTTTTCTGAAATTACTTAGTATTTAAATGGTTGGGTACACTGCAGAAAATTATCCTTTTCATTTAATTCATTTTTTTAAATGACAAGTTAACCACAGGAGGTTTTATTTATTGAGATGGCATGTCCATTTGTGTTGATTATTTTTTTTAATTGAAAAGAACAGCAAGAGAATCACAGCTTACTATTTTTTCTTCTGAAATGTTGATTGATTTATTTTCTTTTTACTGCTAGCAAAGTGTCCTGTGGAGATTTAGCAATGCTGTTTCTACCTAAAAGTTGCACATTTCATAGAAAATAAAAGGGCTGATATATCAACCTTTTTATATTACATTCTTTTTGCAGCAGAACTGCATACTTTCCAAAAGAAACAAGGTTTTTAGAAAGGTTCCTAATTCAGTCAGGATCATTTTTTCTTGTGTTCCCCAGTTATGTCATCTATATCTTCTAGCTTTTTCACTTTAAATTCCACCCTTCCAACAGACACTACTGATTCTTTTTATGATGGCATCAGGACACTATGCCAAGAGGTCTTGTCTAAATTGGCTTTGTCAACTATTTGGAGGTTATGATAGGGTACCTGATAATATCCAAAGGAATTATACCAGAATCTAATAAGTACCTCTTTTTCCTTTAGGATAGCAGGATTTTTGTCTTTATGGAAAAGTCATGAAGAATTTAAGTATATAGTGGATGACACTTATTTAAATATTTAAAAAAATCTTTACCTAAGTAGGACACCTGTCCTCATTGCAATCAAATAATTTACTGAGTAATATCTTCTGTAAATTATATTAATCTGGGGTCCAGCTAGTATGATTTTAATATTATTTGAATGAAAAGATAATTTTCAAGGTAAGAGCAATCATCAATCTATTTCTTTTAAAGCCATGTAATACTCAATTTGTGTCAAGAACAAATTAGTTGCCCTTTAGAAATATGCACATGGGTGCTTTCTGAGGCACAGGAGTATGCCAAGCTTTAACATTTCATACTTGATAATTCTTCTCTAAAGGAAGATTAATTCTCAATGCAGATAGAGAAATTGAAGTACCAATGATAAATAACTGACTTTAAATCACATCATTTTTTTTTTACTGATATGCTGGTTCTAGCTTTCAGGTATTAACATCCAGCCCCATATCTAAGGTAACAAATCTGAATCTCTCAATTTGAGAATCTGTGTGTGTGGTTAGGAATAAATTCCAAATAACCACCCTCTAATGGTGATTACTGTTTCTACATAGAACACTATTTGAGTGATTTATAAAGTAGAGTAGTTTTTTGTTTGTGTTGATTGTTGAAAATACCATTTATCTTGTTAAGCACTATAATAAAAAGAAAAATAAGCTTGAATTAGAAAGTTGGTCTTTTAAAGTCTTCAACATAAATGGAATAAAGTCAAATTAATATGATTTAATAGCAGGTTAATATATAACTCCAAATATCAATGACTTATGACAAATATTTATTTCTACATCATGGGTTGGGGGGTCAGCCACAGTTCTGTTGACTCAGCCTGGTTTGCTAGATTAACTCATTTCCATAAATCTTCTTATTCTACTAGTAGGCTAATGGACTATCCCCTACCTAGTACATACTGTTTCACAATGAAGGTCAAGAGCAAGAAACAAACCATACCATGCAAGCACATTTAAAGTTCCTACCTAGACATAGCATAAGTCAAATTGTTCATATTCCATTGACCAAATGCAATTGAATGAGGACAACCCTAATATTAGACCAGAGAAGTATACAGTACCCTCAAGTGACAAGGGTGGGGCACTATCTCTTACAGTCATGGTCATGAATATCTGCTCCTATCCT